TAATCCGTCTTCGATCCCCCATCGAAATCTACTTCTTCTTACCCAAATTTCATTTCGTACACTTCATTATGAAGTAACACTAAATTCGCTTCGAAGGCACATAGAGATACACAGAACATTGCGGGCTTGCACTCTGACAAATTGGCATAAATTACGATGCGAACGAACTTAATAATAATATCTTTGTCGGATCGTATCATCCACAATATTAGCTAGATGTACGCGCCAACAAATGCCTATTGCATTTGGTAATTTACAATGCTGATAAAAGCGGCAGTGGCAATTTTCGAATAAAATGTCCGACTGGTTATAATTATTTTTTTCATATCGACGGTATGTTGCAACTTCCTGCATACGCGTAGGGGGCCGTTAATGGCGAAGTACGCCAAAAGCCAAACACCTTCTCTAGGACGCTTGTCCAAGATACCGTTACAGTCGGCAAGTGTCATCCGATCATTGAAAATGTCCTTAAATCTAACTTCTGCAAGATGCTGAGCACTGTAGCAGCGATCTCAACGACAATAGCAACTCGATGACGAGTATATTTCTATAGATAAAACGTACGACTGTCGAGATGCTGCTGCTGCTGTCATCCGCAGTTACGACAAGCGTATCAGCGGCCAAGAGACAGTGAAAACACACAGCAAAAAACGGAAAAAATAAGAGAACGTAGTGTACGGTAGGTTTGCATATAGGCCGACTGTGGCCACATGGAAGCGATCATTAGCTGACTGGTCACGTTGATAAGTTCGTGAACGGGACGCCATATCTTCTTTGCTTTCAGTTTTCGTTGGATTTTTTGCCCCTGTCGACATGACTTAGCCCGCGGCATAAAGTTTAACAGTAATCAAATTGTAGCATAACTGTATCGCCATTTGGCTGGGAATCGCTGCGCAGACGCTAAGTTGGTCGCTTCCATATGAAAATATAGGTGTTGCTAATAATATCATTTGAGTTAACAGAAGGTGAAAATACGGCGGAACTTTTCCAGCAGTGGTAGAGAATATAACAGTGATAGCCTTAGCACTTACGCAGGGCAATTGTTCGATCTGGACGCAATAGGCGTGTAGTCTACAATAGCCGTACGTTTGACGAAGCTGGCCTCAGGCAGCTGGTAATACCAGCAGTATCGTGGTAATAATAGTATTTATTATTCTATGTTTACGTACCCAGCGTATCATCCAGTGATGAAAAGATGCGACAGACTATTCAGATAGTTAATTAGTTCGGTAGACAGGGGCATCCCCGAAACAGCGAATAACGGCTAACATTGGCGCTCCCACTATTTCGTTCATTCAGAGTACGTGTATTTACATGTGGGACTGGGACTTGTGTATCTAACGTCGCACTGTTTTGCCCAACATGGTTTCGCCACAGCTGTCGCTCTCGAATGAGACCTTCGTCTGGACACAGCTCAAGTTGCGTCGGACTGGGTTGAAAATGCGACAATGGCCTTTGGCCTTTTGTTGTCTAGGCTCGGCATGTTCGGAAGCGGGACGAGAGCGGATGTTAACTCCTGCTGTCACGTCTGCTTCGATTGCGATTGTTGTCGCTTTTTTGTCGTTTGGGAAGGAGTCCCTAAGCTGGCAACGGCGGTAGCTATAAGGCGGGCAGGACAAAAAAGCGTATCAAGTACAGTACAACTTGACAAATAACTAAGAATAACTGTTGTCCGCTGAAAGGCGTCGTGCGAAAATAGGTTAGACAATCACCGTACCTCACTGTCAGCAGTAATAGCTGCTATAAGCAGCTATCGATGGTGAAAACAGTTTTATTATCTTCCTATAACTGTAGAAGCCGCGTTAATATCATCACTCCGTGTCGAATCCAGCTGTCTGATAGCAGCAGGACCGTGGCCGCTCTTACCTCGACTGCAAGGCATGAAAATTGCATTTTCGATACAGCAATGGCCTGTTAACGGCGAATCGGGCATCAATACGGGCGATGACGTGAGCGAGAGTTTGCATTTTGGCCACGAACATGTGGACGACGGCTATCCCTGTGAAAGGCATCACTACCCAGTACGATGTGGACAACAAGTACAGCCAGTGTGTTACTTTTTTTCATATAGGAGCACGGTTCGTGATGGCCATGGCCGTTATCACTGCCAGAGCCTTGATTCCGTTCGTAATCCGTCCGTAAGCTTGGGCGGATGAAATATGTAACCCATGATGACTGTAGCTTATGTAAGATCCAGTAACCCTAATGTTGCTATTGACGTTAATAATAATGATGATTATGCTAGTTCTTGTTGAAACTAACTAAAAGAAAGAGCTGATTAATGTTTTGTTTTACTGAACATCATCATATTTTCTGATGCATCATTGCTTTTTACGGAAAAATAATGTTAGTCTATTCGGTAACCTGTAGGCAATAATGAGATCCAAATGTTGCAAGACGTTAATTACATACATAGTGGGGTCACTTAAGTGAATATTCCGCTTAGCTACTGGGCTCAGCTAACCCAGTCATGTTACACCAGAGCACAATATTAACTGGAGTTCCATCGAATCGTAGTTCAAGTTACCAACACACGCCACTTAATTAAAAACGTCATAAGTTGCTTAAGACCGATTGTGCATTGAAAGCATGATGTTGGATTTATCGACGCTCTTCAGTCGACACACAAATACACATTGTATATATATATATATATATATATATATATATATATATATATATATATGTACACCAGTGTCTAATGACAAACATGTGTTTGGATGTTATCGTAAGGCCACCAATGTACATTACACGAATTTGCTGGTGCTCATAAATATTTCAAAGCATGCATTCAACTGGATCGTTATTTCTTTTAGCATCAGTAGACCCCTAGTAGCCGAATGACTATAGAGATAACAGGCCACAGGTTAACTAGAACCTAAGGGCAGGCACGTCTGTTTATGTATGGGGGCGGTGCTGAAGTGTTGTTACCCTATCCATAGGGGGCGAAACACCATGCTTATATTCGGTAACTGGACAAGCCATTTAAAGTATCCCTTACGGTCAGTGTCACCCGGAAGTGCTGGAGATACTGGCTGTAGCAGTGTACCAATAGAGCATCGACCGAACACGCAAGCTATCAGCTATGCTGATCCGTATCCGAAAAATCACTCACTGACATTATATCGTCCTAGACAGGCTAAGTCAGGTGTCGTTCCTTCTTACGCACTTACCTCTACTGTAGCTCAAAAATATCTGAACTGAACTGAGATCTGTCGGCAATCGTGTTAATATGAATCGACGCAGCCATCATAGTGCTGAGGTACCCTTTCCGGTCACTGAGGTTAGCTTTTACGGGAATGATAGCTCTGCTTTTGGCCGTCCAATTTTATTTCGCAGTATCTAGCAGTGTGGGGCTCTGTTGCCTGGGAAGCGATTCAGCTGGCCGCCGGAGGCTCCATTGTTGGTCCACTGTAACTATTGCGCAAGCTCTCGAAGGATGGATACAGGGTAACTTTGCGGTGTCGAAGGGTACCTGTTAAGTGAATATTGATCTGTCCCAACTCCTACTTACGACGGTTGTGTTGGGCTGTTGGCGCTATTTTTTCTTAGCATTTCTTTATAGATAGAGGGTAAAAAAAAAATCGGATAGAGGAAACCGGTCTCTCGATTAAAACAGGGTGTCGACGTCGAACAATGTCGGTTAACGGGCCGACGTTAATTTCCCACTGTCCTGTTTACTGTGTGGGAGAACGCTAAAAGATCTTAGTTAGCGCTCAGAGTTCTCAAACGAGAGGTAGAATCGGAAGCATAACATGCTCCGTCTGAGAGTTGACTGGGTGTGGATGCGCGCTTGATTGCCGCTATATTCAATCAGTGCTGTTTTGATACAAGCACTCTAAATGAAGTCGTTTCCGTTTCGGCTAGGCGAGATATTAGTTCTGATAGCGGTTATCGTAGAAATTGCCATACAGTAGCCTATCAGCGAGCTAACAAGATGGAATAGTCAGCAAAGCATATTTGCGGTACCTTTGCAAAGGTCGTACTGTCTCATCGGTACTTTCTAAGATATCTGTTTTTCCCTTCCGCTTGTTGGTGAGCGGCATTTGATTACGCTATTAAAAGTATACAGAGCGTATAATCAGATATCAAACACAAATCTGAATGTTCTGTCTTCAGGAAGAAGTCTACCTGCGAATCGTTTGCTATTGCTATGTACTACAAAATAAGTGAAAAGTAAAAAAGGGTAAACATGATAAGCTAATGCCAGAAGGAATCAATATTACGTTGATTTCGATTCAACTACTACGGCCGTTAATTGTGGCGCGGACGGCCAGTGAGCGGAACTGAGGAAGTCTTGTTAATTTACAATGGACAAATACGATGGGTTTCATTCATTGATGTAGTATATGTGTCGAGTTATTTGTTTAGACACAGTTACTGGATACTCGATAAAATCCTGTTTGACATTATTACCATTAGCCGCAAATGAACTTGTTTCCAAGCAATCAACACAACAACAATACGATAAAATCCAACGTTTGAACAAAAAATTCTGCGTGCCAGTGGAAAGATGTTCCCCGCCAAAATGTATACCAAATAATGTGTTCGGCAACCTCTGCCCTCTTTCGTATCTACTATTAAAGTTACTATAAAAGCATCCGTCGTGTTAGCGAAACTAATTATAAATACTGCTTTGACAACGTATAACGCTACGTAATGACGTTCTTAAAGCTATGTGCGTGCAGTTCCAATATGAATGATCTGTCAGATTCGACAGGCAATGTCAACACCGAGACAAGGCTTAATGCCCTCTCTGATAAAGTATGTTCGTTTTTCTACTGTTTCCTGACCCGGTACTACTCACTAATCGTTATAGCCATGTACTTATCTATTTTAATAACCAGCGATATGTTTTTAACTAGCCACTGTATAAATGTCAGCACCGTATCTAATCGATAGACTCACATAAACGCATGCGTTGGTCCGTTTGCTGTTCTGTTGTTATTTCATGGTTTTTTGCTGATCGCTATTCTACTTGGCGGCTGTCGTCGTTCCAGTGAAGGAAGGCCATGAGTCGCAGAGTGTCGCTAGGGCGAATTCCACTTCATCGCTATCGAGTACAGGAAACCAATGGCGGGGTGGTTCAGGACCAGGAGTCAGAGGAGTGGGTAGCAGCAACGTCAGCCAGAACTCCTCCTCCTCATTGCGAGACAAGGATCAGCGCAAGATGACCTCCTCTGGTACGTAGCGAACGGTAGACGCTTGAATCGACGATGATCTAGAGTTGACACAGATATGCGTGGTAGTCCATATGCGTATATAGGCATTTGCCTGGGGATCAGCTCAAGCAACAGGTAACGGCTGCCTGGCTTTCATGCTGATACATTGTCAGCTGAGATTGATTGTGTTATGCATATGATTATAATTGGTAACGATTACTAACCTTTTAGAATAGTGCTATTAGGCAGAACGATGGCTATAGCACTAGCATGCTTTATCTTTGTGAAAGTAATGCCCTTGATTTTAGCGCCATGTTCTGTTAAGAACATGGTGCTAAAATCAGCCACTAAAACTGTGCTAAAAACAGCTAAAGGTTATGGCATGAGGCAATTAATGCTACACGTGTTTCTTGACATGCGACTTATGTCGTCACTAGACTAGTTCTCGACATCTTCTATCAAAAGGAGATGTTTCCGAATAAGTGATTCTGCTACTGTTCAGAAGATAACTAATTTTGCGGCCTGAGCGGATATCTTTCTCGTTCATATCGAATCACTTGCAGTAAATACGCTTCACCTTTTTTGTGAACCAGGACCAGGCGGAGGTCATAGCCTTTTATCACATCTTGTAACTTGTTTGCATCTCTCTTCATTGTCTGTGACAACATATCATTTTTCCCGTCGTTGAGTGGGTGCCAACTCCTTCTGGGCCCACGGTGAACTCCACACTGTTGGCTTTTGTTCCTGCTTGGCTAACGGAATTTTTTAATACACAAATATCTCTTCAATTAATATTTGGTACAAACCGAAAACACCGGCCTACGGTTAGAACCGGGCTCTAAACGGATGTTTGTTCAATGAAGTCGAATATATTGATTATTCGTCCCCGTGCACGTACGTTCGAAATAGCGTCTAGAGCTTCGGGGGGAGGGGAGGGGTGAGAACAACCGCTCCAGTGTAAATAATTTACCACCCCCAACAATGGTGAGCTGCTGGTGACAGCGATGGTTGTCGCAAGGCCCTTTGCCATCGACAGTCCCTAACGAGCGCCTATTCTACCTACATCTTCTATGGCACGATATGACGGAGAGCCTCGCGCGCCTGCCTAGTTATTGTTGGTCAACCAACAGCTGCGAACGGCTCCACTTCGTAGCTTCGAAGGCTAACGTCTTCACCGGCTGCTTGTACCATCACCAGGTGCTACGCAAAATTCAGCAAGACCGGTATAGCGTTATCTGAGGGGCACCGAAAAGTCTTGAAAGGCACGTCCTCCGACACGCTACGGAGGTACGGTGGCTGTTGCTTTATGGTAAATGTTGAGCTGCGCAGGCCAAATAATGTAAGGCGGACGTTCGCGCACAACGTCAACTACAGGCTAAGCGTAGGACCACGCCTGGCTTGGCGGCTTTATGGCTACAGCGCAGACAGGCCAGTGTAGGACTAAAATGTGCTGCATAGCAGGACAATCGACAGCGAAGTGTCATCTATGTCGATATGCAGACGCGTAAAGGCAACGCGCACTTCTGCTGCTCCCGTCTGTGCAACGACAAATGGGATATGAGTTTGTACCCTTTCTTTTTCGTCAAGCATTTGTATGTCATTCGAGGCTGATAGACGAGAGAGATCAAACAAGAACGACAAGGTGATGCCAGGAGCACCTACAGGAAGCTTGTAAAGCGGAGTACTCATATTGAACTCCCTTTGTTTAATGGACAACGCATTGGCACAAATTCGCCGCCGTACTGTATCAGAGCTTGTTATAAAAATTAATCAATTATTTGATAAAGCTCCTCCACATACGGGTGCCAAAGATTGGGTCGAAATTGAGTTAGAGATAAGAAGATTTAGCTTTTTTTAATGAATAAAAAGTTCTGTGGAAATTTTAATTTCTATTTGTTTTTCTTTATATATATACACATAGTTTTCTTTTCAAATATAATTTCTATTAATAATTCTATAATTTATGTCGCCCGATCGTTTATCGTATGGTTGGCTGAACTAGACCAATAATAGCCGTATCTACAGATAGAGCTGACAAGGAGCTTAGTGTAGCGGCTCGCCTAAACCATAAATCTGAAAATAGCCTTTGAATAATAGATAGGCCTTGTAGGTTCTATGTTATTGTCAGTGCAGTAAAAGCATTGCTTCAGTCGATTGTAGCCCACCAGCCTACCAAGGTACTATTAGGCTCCGGCAGAAAAAATTAACAGTATTGAAAATATCAAATAGAGATAATGCAAGTCAGTTTTGTATTATATAGGAATGTATTAGGGTTGGGAAGGAATTATGTCTATTTTATAAACCTTTTGCGTTTTGTCTAAATGGGATTATACTTGATTTATTTTTTACACGAAGCATTATAGCTTTTTGACTAATGCTGGTTTTAGAATCCAATCTGAGGCTAAACATTTTGGGTTTTATTTCTCACTAGCGCTGACTGGGTCGCAACGAGGCCGTCGGGGTGGCTTGTCTACAGAGGATCTCTCCAGCGAACTCCAACAGATAGCCGACTCACAGAATTCGTGGAAGAATTCGAAAGGCCGACAAGCGATTGGTCGAAAAGCTGGACTTCTCGCCACTGGATACAGGATGGTAAGTAATAGAAATCGACGAGTCTCTATAGAGTAGTACATTGTCTATCCGTTTAAAGCTGTCTAGAAGGAAAACTTCAGGTCCCGGGAGCGTTACACTTGACTGATCGGTGGCAATAGCCTCGGGCAGTTGACCTATCGACAAGCCATATTTGACTAGCGCAAGGTGTTTTCATTAAGATAAAGAGCATATGGGAAAATATTAGCTATAATAAGTTGCTATGAGAAAACATCTTTTAGGCCTACCTTAAACTGGAACGAAATTTTTATTGGAAGTCGAAAGTAGACAAATATAGTAATTGTAACTGCTATCAGTAAGTAAACTTGCGAAAAATTCTTTTAGGGAGTTTAACGGATAGTTCTGATAAGTTTCGAACACGATAACAGATTTGTTTTCATTTAGACTGCTCTATAGAAACTGGGCAAGCCTAAAGTTTGTTATTTTCAAAGTTTACAATCAGCAATAAATGAGAATAAATTGAAAAAAAAAATCAATAGAGACATAATTCTTAATATCCACTGCCCATCAAATGTATGCAGCTTATCTTATAAATTCGATTATCGACAACGCAAAGCTGCAACGGCCTGCGGTATAAAAATCTTGCCTTGACTAGGATATCACTGGAAAAAACATTGTTCAAATACCATATTTGACTGGTTCATTCTGACACTCACTGTTGTCCACCTTCTTTCTCGATGCCCCTATTGACATTAGGATAAGGCCTCGCAGGACAAGGAAGATATGCGTCTGCTTACAGAGTTACTCAACCAGTACGCACAATCAGGCATCCCCGCCATGGCGCTCGGTTACTCAAGCGGTAGCGATGATGACGAGAGTCTATTTTATATCGAGGATAGTTGGAGACAGATTGTCGAATCACCAGAGGTAAAGGCGAAATCGACTTCAGCTCATGTGGCCATTAATGTGTGCTTCAGCTATAATTGCGTAATTACTATTACATTAACGATACTCAATTATCATTTGCAGCTGTGTCTAGGTTTGCTAATTGTGTACATAATGCTTATTTGTACATGATTATTTTTGACGATCGGTTTTTGTCGTATCATAGTTATGTGTTTTTTGCAGGTCTTGGATAAGCAGCTTCAATCTCAACAGGAAGCACTGTGGGAGCTATTAGCCACCGAGGCTTCTTATATTCGTACGTTGAAAGTAGTTGTCGAACTTTTCCTCTCGACACTATGTAACTTACAGGACAAAGGACTGCTCAACGATGTGAGTATTGCATCAAATTATACGTTTATATCTAGCAGTTACTCTATTGTGGAAGACAGTGGGAAGAATGTGCATATGGTAATTCTATAATCAAATCGCTTCCGGGGATCGCCCCTTGTAAGGGTAATTGTTCAGTTGCACGTGTAAATGCTGATGGAGTATACGAATGTAATACTGATCAGGCGTAGATCAAGTCCGCGGCCAAGACGAAGCTACAGTTTCGTTGACATCAATGATAAGAGACATGGACCGCAGCGATACTAACTTTACGGATTCGTTTGGGTCTATTTTACGAGCGTTTATTTTGTGCTGTAAAACTGGTCCGCGAAGTTATATGGCGTTTGGTCAAATTCATCTTCTTTGCCGTATTGCTATTCGTGTAAATAGCCATCGTACGATGCGAGGGGCATACACTTAGCCGGATTTAGGGTTCCAACCACTCATTGCTATCTGATGTTGTTCGAACTGTATTCACCTCACGTATCTGATTTGAAGTGAGGATCCTGTTCGATGTTAGACTGAAATGTTAAAAATCAAGTTGAACCTGAAATAGGTACAGGGAAAGCAATAGGATGGAGATGGATATAGAACGCGATGGAGACGGAGGTCTCAGAGAACAGTGACCCATCTTTCCACTCCGAAATCCAATCTGTATATACGTCCTACGCAACGTCCGACGGTATTCATCGCAGTTCATAACGGTAGCTATTCGACTCTTCCTGTTCGGTTGTTATATCGGTTTTAGATTTATGAACCGGTTGAATCATCAACAAATCATTATTTAATCGAATGAATATGTTTATAGTTTGAACATAAATTGTTTTGGTCATTGTGATAATCATTGCGGTAATTTATCACGGATGGCTGAGCCTGAAAATCAACACTACATGCCATGTTATACCGGTTATCGTAGTATTGCCTCCCGTGCTATATTTAACCAGTTACAGCTCAGATTTACCATAGATAAAGACATTTATTTTACCTTCAACCCATGACTAATTCGTGTATGTATATTTTTAGTATGTGCCAAACGGCAGAAGGTTCTTCAGCTAACATCCTGTTTCTATTTGCTCGCATGTGATACTCAGTATTTTATATACAATATGACCCTATTTCCATTGAGCTTTGTGCACAGTTTATTCACAGTGAGTCGAAAACACACTGATGATTTGTTGGTATTCTTAAAAACACTACAAGGGTTTCATATTGGTACGATATCATACTGATAATGACGTCCGTCGTTTATTAATCTACTGATAAGGTAGCAAAGGAGCTTGGACTTCCAGTGGTATTTCACTGCCGGCCTATTCCTGTGCGGGCTAAAAAAGTTGTCCGTGTCTGTTATAGGTTTTGCGATCGGCATTTGGCGATTCTTTACGCCTCATTTCCCTCGGACATGCATCGATGATAAGAACTTTAACGCGTCCTGGACTCACAGTTTCGTCACTTTTCCCGTGCCCTTTTATCATTTCCTACGTGTCCACATCGGACACTTCTGCTAGAGAACCTAGATACTCGGAAGATACAGTCGCAACATACATTGAATAGTCAAAGAGCTAAGGCCGTAAGGCCGGCTCACATGGTTGCAGGTATCTCTGAAATCTGTAGTGCTACAACGCTTCAGTATTGCCGGTTCAAATCTGCGGCCTAAGAACTAATTGCCTCTAGTAACTGGAAATAAAGAATGCATGAGGAGCGGCGGTCACGGCGACAATAGCGAATGCTTCGTCATGACGAAGACGCGTGCGGGCAAAGTCGGTTGGTATGTTGGTCATTCTAATTTTTTAGAAAATAGCGATGGATTACAAAATACCAATGATATGCAGCAGGCACCTACCGCGTTATGTTATGCCGCGATGTCAAAGATAAGACGGCTTTCTTTACATACGTATTTCTATGTCAAATATAACACACATCGCAGAGACAGTGCAGATATATTGGGTGAAAACTATAATTGGCAGCGGTGTCAAGAAAGACGGGAGCGACGAGGGATGGTTGTTCGTCCCAGAGATGAAGATTATGGTGGCTGTGGTGCAAGTAAGCTACGCCATCGCTGGCCGCTGGCAACCAAGTTCAACAATAGTCACTGCAGTCGTAGCAACACTGGCTAGCAAAATTGTAATGTGATGTTAGAAAGAGCTTGTTCGATTTCTTCTGGAAGGATGTGAAGGGAGATGGACCGGCGTTTCGAATGACATAAGGCTATGGAGAACGGGCCCGCTGCTCTTACAAGCAGACACAAAAGGCAACAAAGATCGTAAAAATCCGATCGTCTGTGATTCCGCACGTCTCCCCCAAATCCGATCCGGCCTCCGGTAATGAGGCCAAATGCTCCTGGTTACCGTTGCCATTGGTGGAATTTAATTTCTCCAAATCCTTGTGATAGCGAAGTGGTAACGTACCTGCTTGTAGAGCTTTGGGACACTCGGTAGTCTAGGTTCGAGCCTGGGTGTCGTAAATACTTTTTGGCACGTACTGGTAAGAAATAGCCAACTGAAAGAATACCAGACACCTTAAATTTGTTCAAGTACAATTGATGAAAAAAAGAGAAGTCAAAGTGGGAACGGCAGGTGAAGGTCGAAAAAGTATGAACAGCGAAGGGATATCAAAAAGGGAGTAGGGTTTTGGGTCTGAGAATGGTCGGTTTGTCGAAAATTTGCCCCTAGTTAATCATGATCCCCCGTCCTGATTAGGTTCTTTCTCTCAAATCCTCAATGTTGTGTTAAAGAAGTCGTATGTCGTCGTTTTCGTGTACGTTGATGCACGAAGATTCTACGGTAGCTAGAAATAGAGACAGACATTTAAGATGAGGCGTTTTTTTTTCAAGTTTCGACCTCGTTTTGGGCTAAAGGTTAAATGTATATATACACGTCACAAGAGCTGCATGAAAGCTGGGCAATATCAAAATGCACCTAGTAATTGTCGCCGTTTATTGCACCCAATACAACACCCCTCAGCGGTGATTACACGAGAAGTGGCAAATACACGCCAAGATTCTGTACGAACAGAATCAACTGGCGAGTGTCTGATCAGCCGAGATTTCTTCAGCGCGATGCCTGCTGTAGCTATAATAACAGTGATGGAAGTATCGGTAGCAAAAAGAAAATTACAAAGGTCAATTTTGTGTAAAATGTTTGTGGCTTTAGCGCCTTTAGTGAAGCTTTGTTGCCGATGTAAGAGAATATGCTTCGGGACTCAGGGCCGCTAGCTTTGCTGTCAACAGCAACCCCGAATTACCCTACTGACACGCGCCCTTCAGAGGACACGAAGTCTTAAACATGACATTGGTTTTCTTAGTGACGGCTAAGACTATTAGACAGCTGGCAGACACTTTTCACCAATATCCTAGATGTAGAGTTAGGGGAGAGAAAAAATCATACAATAAACGTTCGTTTCCGTATCAGTCTAGCACTATTACCGGAAACAGGACGGTATCTACAGAGTGCTGGCTTTGGAGTGTTTGAATGTGTATGTGTGTGCCCGCACAATAATATCCTAAATGGAGGTTTAAGTTAGACGACACGTACTAATCGGAGGACACAGTGCTGTGCTTAATTGAGCCGTTGGTCGCGTACATTAAAGTAGCATACCACGTTTAAGCCATCGGCGATTAGCGGATTTCAGGTGTCAGAAAAGCTATTTAATTGACGAAATCTTTTGTTTTCTCAGAACAATGGTTAATACTTCATCTTGCCTAGAAGCAAAAGATTAATTAACAAACCAACTGCATAGGTTACAGTAATTAGTCAGTTCTACCATGTAGGTGGGCCGAAGATTCGTTAGAAGATCTCCATAGAGATCCAATAAAACGTACGGTAGAACAAGATCAGTCTCGTTAAAAAGACCGCTTGTAGCAATTTAACAAAGCACGCATTGTTAGTGACACCGGTGAAGCCAGACTCTGATCACGGAATATCGTAGTTAATGCCGGCAAAGAAACAATGATCCTCAGCTTATTATCAGTGGTTGCGTTCTCTACAGAAATGATGATAAAACCGGAGATTTTTTAATGGCTCAACCGGATATGCATCACGATTGAGATCTATTGCAATCAGTAAGCATGTCCAATGTTGTTTCTCTTAGTAATATGGTAAGCAAAAAAAAGCCGCAGCATTTGTTGTTTTCCCAACGAGGAACACGGACGTTTTTATAAGTTGTTTTTTTAGGCAAATATTATTGTTGTTGTAACTGCTGCTGCTGCTGCTGCTGTTGTCGTTGCGATCGCGTTTTTCTCTCAAAGGGGTGTCCATGATTAGTCGCTCTTTTGTACACTTTACTTTAACCTGAGTCGGAATCGTGCGGCAGTACGGAAAAGGCACGAACAGAGGTCTCGCGAATAACTAAAACATTGCTGTCCTTAGGCCAAACTTTAATCGAAAATTCGTAATAGAGAATTCGTGTCAGATTATTTACTGAAGAGGAACAGTGTCAACGCCATGCCACGCCACGCACTTTTCCAATAGCACCAGTATTTGACAGCTACTAATCATAAAGCAGCGTAATCTAACAGCAGATACACACCGAGGTAACGAAAACAACGCCATTCAAAAGGAGCATAGCTCTCGTTGCAACGTCCCAGGAGTAATGATACCTATCAAAAAGCAGCAAGAAGTGCGCGCCAGGATCTAGCGTTGTCTGCTATGAAAGATGCGACAGCTCTAACTAAAATTAGAGATAAAGGGAGCGTACAGGCGGAATGCATGGCAGAACAAGGCCAGAGAAGATAGCTTGAAGAAGAAGTGCAGTAGTAGCTTAGGAATAACTTAAATAGGAGAGCGGATGACGAAAGAAGGCTACTTCTGAAGGTGAACGTGCAGTCCTGGAGGCGAGCCCAGGTCTGCGCCTTTTTGCTACTCGGTCAGGTGACGAGCTCAAAAGCAGAGTTCAGAGAATGAACGTCACTGAACAAGAGTAGACGCAGGACACAAGTTAAAGATGGAGAAACATGAAAGCCGAATAGAAAACGAGGAGGAGAGCGCGGATGGGCTGCGGAAAGGAGTTGGACAAAAAATAAGAGCCGACACGTGAAACCGAAACTACGAGAAGCAGATACTAGGCAAACTAGAAGACTTAAAATGAAACACGAGATAAAACGAGAACCAAATGAAGCTAGCGAAAGATTTTCACGCGAGCAAGCGTACTCAGTGAAGTGTAAGGGCGAGTTCTTGACAAACGCAGGCTCCAAATGATGTAGAAAAGCCGAACATTTTCTTTACTCGAAAATGAAAAAAATTACTTCTTTACTAAATTTTTCCTGTATATCAAGAGCAAAGCGCTTTCATTCAAAACGGCGACGATGGATAACGTTGAGCCACAACAACGGAGAACGTTTCAGGTTTCCCCCGGACGCTCATTACCTGGTTCGAAGAGACTTTCCTGCCTTCTCCGGCAGAGGCTGGTAGAACATAAGTAAAACTAACAAGAAACCCATATGGGTTATAACGTACCAGCCATATATGCTCGTGTACGGGCAGTAAGCAGTGAAATGTTTTACGCGTACGACTGTGACGGGCTGTAGGTAGGTGGACGCGCCCCGATACAAATGAGCTTTACGCGACTCTCACTTATCTGGTCGGACGATGGTCAAAGTCACGGACAACGAAGCTGCTTGAACGTCCACATCGTTCCAGGGACCATTAGGCTCAAGCGTGTATGGTGCTGGAAACGGTACAGACGGCAATGGAGGATTCTGAAAGCGCGCACAAACGCTTTCACGCGAACACTTCGTTCCGAAAGCCAAAGACGATAAAAGCAAGGGCGTTCAAAATGACAACCTCATTGTGTATTCTACATAATGGAGTTAGCAAAGTACGGACCGTAGGGTAGAGGGACGCATTATGAGAGCCAGAGTATGTTGTCGTAATTGTTGGCTGGTATATTGCAAGCCCCACTTTAACATGAATAGGGTAAAAATAAATGGGGCGATAAAACATCATCAAAAGAGTCAAGCGCAGTCGCCGCTACATAGAACAGTGAAGTTGGAAACAAGTTGTGCGGGAATAGTGCGGTGTCTTTTCAAGACAGCAGCAAAAAAAGAAAAAGATGGAATATGATGCACGTTAATGTAATTTGCTTATATTGCTAAGCATCTATGGTAATAAAGCTAGTTGCATAAAGTATTCGTTACGTAAATGAGATCGAATTAGGTAGGAAAAATTTGATGTATAAACATCTATAGAATACTGTGCTATAGTATGTATGCTGTTATGCAATTTTATAGCAAAATAGATATACACAAAATGCCATGCCACGATAAATTCCTCCAAGGCCCCACGTCGATGTATATCACTAGACAGTAAAAAAACGCGAGAACGGAAGAAACTAAGACAGTAAATTCAAGGTGGCCCTATAGTGTAAGCTAATTAAACGTAGGCAATATACACGGCTTGACTAATGGGCAACATGGAAGCTATGTAGGGAAGGGGGCAAACGTTTTAGACTCTTCACTTGCTTCCTTTTGTTTATATTGCAGCTATAAAATGAAAACTTTACAATTGATTTATTAAAAAAAAAAAACTGCAAAAAGATTTTTGGTCCTCCTTGTAGATTCATATATATAAACGTGCATATTAAAAAACTTTGTACACTTGAACTAATTCCGAAACTATCGATCTAACACATGACTAAAGCACCAAATGCTATTCAATCCTGTGCTCGTGTGTTATTTATGCTAGCTCGAACTTAACAACACAGCTACCTAACTACAAGTATAGGAAATGTGCTTTTCTCCTTGTACGTACGGGGGCATCTCGCCTTTTTATCCGTGCTGCCTGTTTTCCCCGCAGACCACGAAAAGGTTTTAAGCTGTATTCTCTAGCCGAGTAAACAAAAAAATAGTGTCCGTTGAACCGAAACGTCTAATACCCAATGTTATCGTCAGCGATAATGGCGTAGTTCGGGTCGGTGGGACTCGAATAATTTCAAACAGGTCCTGAGGCGAATCGAGCGAGTACACGGAACTTCGAAGAATCGGTGTAGTTGACCTAAACAGAGGGATAATCGTCTCTCAAATATGAATCACGCTTACTTACCCTATTACGTTGGCACTCGCACAATGCCGACTGTATTTGTTTCGCGTTGAAACATGTATGCCGTTTCTGCAATCGTTTCGACACGGTTTTTCAAGCGCAGCCACACTTGCAGTGCACGACTTTGTACTAAAATATCTATGCAATAACAGAACCATTAGCCATAGTCGGTACCTTCAGTTTTATTTTTGCACTAGTCGCAAGCAGCTGCATGACTGCACGAATCTATGTGCATGCACATGTTCCCTGAAAGCTGTGAAGCTAATAGGTAACACGCCATTAGCTATCAGCTTCATCGCGTCCATTTCTCGTAGGCAGTTTTCCCGTCAATAATGGCTCGTTCAAGTGTCGAATAAACTTTCCAAAACGGTTTAATAAATCGTGTACGCTGAAACAATAGCAGCAGCTAACGGACGATCGGGAGCAGCGCTCATCGATGAACCGCAAAGTTATGTTTCTCTGTCGTAGCGCTTGCTGCGTCTTAGTCCCGTTGCATTGGCGTATTTGTTTACTAGCCGCCTATGCGTCTTAACCTTTTCGTTTTTCATTGCGACTATGAACAGGGTGAAATAAAAATGTTGGCAACCATTCCCGAAAACAATACTACCCTCTCAGGTCATATGCATAGTTGAATTTTCGCGCGGACCTAACGGAGCGCAAATTTGAGTTGGTCGCTTTCCTTTCGAACATTCAGAAATCGGCAGAGGCTATGATGCTGCAATAGCTTGTCGAGCTTAATTTTCTCCACGTTTCGAGGCCGATTTGCTAGCGTCCGTGTTGATAGTGTGGTGTATCCGCGATGGGAGCCATAAGAACGCGATAACTTACGACACTGTTTACGTTATTGGGATATGTTCAAATAGACGGAGACCAATTCAGGTGCAAAGTTTGCGGAAGAAAATGTTAAATTTGCGCGGTTTAAGATGCTTATAAACTTTATAGCAGTCATTTTGAGTCAATGGCTCTGAAATTTCACTGATGTTTTGGTAAATCTAATCGAAATTATGAGATGGAAGTTTCTCGTATAAAACAATTCGTTTGCCAGTATTAGTAAATCACACGAATGGGATGTTTAGAGTGGAACGCCATGTAGTGCTCTATGGAATCATGTGATGGTGATGAAAAACGTTTCGAATTTGCCCCTATGAAATTTGCACGCATCTACCATCAAATTTTTATTTAAAACTAAAGCGTATTGAATAAAATAAAACCAAGTGAATGTGATCAACCAAAACATGCCTGGTTCTATGACTGCCTATGGTTACTTATTTAGAGACCACTTTGACTCAAATGCTGTTGTTCTATCATCTGACTAAATTGCAGATCGACGTTGACAAAATGTTCAGTAATATCGTGGACATATACGAAGTGAACAGGACATTCTGGACGAAATGTCTTCAACCGCTTCTTCGCGAGGGTCGTATACATCGGCGACCTTTGAATCCACTGCGGCTACGCGACGGATTTATTCATTTCGAAGAACTCTTCGAGCCATATATAAAATACTGCCTAGAGCAAGCCACCTGTCTCGCATATGTTAAAGAAAATCGTCACGAGTCTGTTCTCTTCAAAAGCTATGTCGCGGTAAGTCTCGGTTTGGCAAGTTCTGCTTTACTCATTTTTAGGACCCTATCTATTGAGTTGCTTTCCCTTAAAGTTTTCTCCTTACATATTTAACTAAAATTATTTCTTAGACAGCCTCGTGCAAAAAGATAGTAGACTTACATCATGGACAGGGATTCGACCAAAATTATACGACGGTAGTGCGATTCCAAGCGCAATAGAAAAAACGAATAGAAAATCGACTGCCGGTTTAATATATTGTAAACATAATAAATAAAGCTGCCAATGCGACACTGAGAAGCAGCTTGCATCGGTCGACCTTTCCGATTCCCTTGTTAGCGGCTTACAGTTTTTTCCGGATTTTTTTAGCTGGTCCACTAGTTTTGTAGGCTCTTCACAGTGGTTGGCTTCACGGTCACGCGATTTTCCCTGCAAAATTTGTCCTTGCGTCTTGCCTTTCTTCCCATAGTTATACGGACGGTTGGTTGACAACCGCCAGCAGGTAGGGGAAATCAGATGCTTTTCTGACTTAGCTACAATCAGATTTTGCTCAACCGTAATCACTTTTAACTTAAGGATTTTTCGTCGCCTTTGACCTAAGTTTGCCGCGCGTCAGCCACACAAAGCTATCGTCCTTAGCCCACTTTTAATGGCACAATGCACCCCGAGTATGACGAACGGCGAGATCGGTAAATAGAAGAAGACGTGCTACGGGTGGGCTGAGTTGTTAAGGAGAGTTAAGAGAAGAGTGTGCAGAATGCGTAGAATTCAATAGCATGACGTAAGTCTGCCCTGTCCGCAGGTTGCTTTCGTAGTCATCCTCTCCTCGACAGACACTCTCTCTGATTACTTAGTGATAGAATGATAGCGGAATCGCCCATGTACCTGTCAAGCACTCAACTCCAATCGTAATCGTTGTTCTTCGTGTGACATCAGTGCCGCTGGTAGAGTTCCCTAAAAAAAATTCTGCGAAGAAAAGAAGCAGGAAAACGATTTTGTTAGTCGAACCTCAGATTTCCACCGCAGCGCATCTCGTTATCTATTAGGATTTCATTCCAGTCCGCTTCGGACCTTTAGGGCTGAACTCACGTCGAGAGAGCAAATAACTTGGTGTACCTTGCTGACTTTATATTCTCCGTATACTACGGGCTAAGCTTATCATAGTAGGAGCGCGCGAGTTGTAGCGCAGAGGCAAAGCTATCCAAGACCGATTCCTACTAAGCGGGTTCTGCTTCTAATTCTATCTGAACCTATCAGGAGACGCGTTAAACTATATAACCAGAAAAAAACTAGCTAACATTTTACGTATTAAAGTAGCTAAAACGCGTTAATATCATTGTCCACTTTGCGAGGCTGCGAACATTTACGATTAAATTTGGTAAGCTACTAGTTCCAGTTCAGTTGCTTACGGTATATAAATAAAGCACAATAAAATACTTCCCATTGGGCAGTTACGTAGTCGCAAATGTGAGCGAAATAATGCAATATACATAAGCTCATATTTACGTAATTTTCTTAGTTGTTGTATGAAAAAAATAATAGTATATGATGACTGTTTTATTATAATATCATTATTTTTGTTATTTGGCAATCTGCCTACTTAAATCTATGCTTATCTGTTTCTTGTATCCTTACATGTCTTGTAAATGGAAGACCCGAGTAAATATTTTATTTTGATAAAGCATTCGGTCAATTCCGCAAAAATGAAGTGAAATTAGTCTAATGAAAGAAAGCCTTTTAAGTGGCTATATTTTCGTCCCAAATTACAGCTCAGTACAAAAATGGTCCGTGTCGTACGTCGTCGGCCAGCGCTGTTTACATTTATTGTACTGCTCGATTTGCTTTAATATTTGATAACAGGCCATAATTAAAATGCTGCTGGGTTCTGTGCGCTTTAGAGGGTTCTCTGTCAAAAACGAGGAAGTCATTATTTTTTCTCCGTCCATTCTCGCACCTAATGGCGCTTCTGAATCTTGTCCATTCGAAAGGGCCCGCCAGAAAAGTGGACAATTTCAAGTTCAATCGTATTTAGAGGTCCTTCAGTCGCTGAACGAGAACGAGACTTTAGCAACTGAGTCTACGATGAGCGGAAGCTCACAAGACAAGACCAAAGCGGCACGGAAGACCTGCCGAACTTGATCTTGTCTGACCAATTCAGAAGGTCAATGCTGTGTTTCGAGCGGAGATTCAGGCTTCCGAGTTTTGCTTCTACTTCCGCTGTTTTTGTTTCAACCTTTCTGATGCTCCCACACCGTTGGGTTAAGTTTTCTAAGGGCGTTGATGGGCGCAGACCGAGACTCATACAGCGGCCGAATGCTTCAAGCAGTGAGTCTGCTGGCTGTTCTGAAGCTCACACCACGATTCCTTTAAGTTTTCGAATTTCTTCCGAGGAACACGTGAGTAACCTTTGGCTACCGGAAATGCTAACCAAGGCATTTCAATAGATAATTATATCATCATATTGCTATTACACCAACCCTGATCAGTAAAATAGATATCATTGTCGTTGAGATCGCTGTTGCTATGACTTTTTGTGTGTCACTTGAACCATTTTGTATCAGTTTGCGCAGTTGCACAAATTCTGTTTCTGAAGAAATATTGACACTTTTCAATTTCTTCGTCGAAAAATTGCCGTGGCGCGAACTAATCGATCCAATGATGTAAGAACATAGGGGTTAAAGTGCAAGAGGACGATTTTGCCAGAAGGATGAGAAGATCCTATGCTTTTTATGGAGCGTCGGAGCGATTCGAGGTTAGCAATAAAGAAAATCGAGAGGCTTTACACGACGACCGGCAAAATGAACATGAAGAAGACGGCTGGTTCATTGTTAACTTGTACGTTTATTTCCATCAAATAAACGGGTCGGTCGTGGCAGCGTCTTGTTCAGACAAACAGAACAAGCGGTCGCGAGAGAGGAATGAAAACATTGAATTATATATGCAGTGGTGTTCTTTTGATTTCTTGCTGTATCACTAATTTGTTTACTAATATTTCATTTGAAAGCATTTTAAACCATGAAGGCTTATTAGAGCCTACATTCGCAAACTGTGCCTATATGGTTGATAACCGTGCGGAGGAACCTTAAAAACATCAATAATAGCATGTATATGGAGGTGTATAATTATTCAAGCCAAAACTCATGATGCGCCTATTCGCTTGTTGGGTAGTCGTGCATTGAAGTTTTAGCATATGAGACCCTTGAGGGTCGACTGCTATACGAAATTTAACGAGCATATTACCTCCTTCTCGCCTTTCAATAATCCTATCCTTTCAGCCTTATAACACGTATAGCAAATATATCTTAGATAACAGTAGGAACGGAAGTAGCTGCCTGTTCGGCCATTACTCTATAAAAAAGCTATCTTAAGCTTCCATAACGGATTCTAGTACTCTATCACGGACCTTCGCAGACATTAACGTCCAGATGCACAACACCCAATACATCATTTACATCCCAAAGTACAACCGCAGCCTTGATGCAGGAATAAGTTGCGCTTCCTGGCAGGATGAGTGATCTAAGTACGTGGTGTGCACCAACATGAAATTTCGAAAAATACTTCTCTATACAAATTTTCTAGAAACGCGTCCTACTTTTTGGAAGGCAGGCTATAGGTCAGAAGAGAGGGTACAATGTACGTTTTCATATTCAAATAGAGGCTGTACTTTAACAGTTTATTTGTACGTTTTGTCGCTAGGTCGTCTATCCTAATTCATTGCCAACAACAAAACCTATCCAAGATAGCCTAACCCTACTGTCCAAGTATGCTCAGTAGGTACAGTTAGTCGAATCTATCACCTGATGCGACCGATTGGCCCGTGTGTGACGTTGAATGTGGCCGTTGTGGTGCAACAGCGGATTGACATTGAAGAGTTTCTGATCTGTAGTTGTTTTTCTCAAATTCGAAAAATCCGCTATGTCTCGTAGTGTGAAATAGTGTGAAAAGAACAATTCGTAACTAATGTTTTGTTTACCATTCTTGCTCGTACCTCAAATCAATATGTCGGATACAACAACGTCACCACAGTGGTGTGAATCGCAGAAAGAGTGCGGTCGGTTACGATTTACCGATTTGCTCGTGAAGCCGATGCAGCGGCTAACCAAGTACTCGCTACTCCTAAAGGCCATACTGAAGAAAACAGACCAATTGGAAACGCGTGCTGGTCTAGCCGAAATGAATGACATGGTCGAGCGATTCGTCTGCAACGTTGACGCTCAGTAAGTTAGTTAATTAAACAGTTTAAATACACATGCAAGTATTGCAAGCATAATTGTTACTATTTAAATGCAGGGCCGACTACACTGTTTCATTCTCCCAGAAGTCACATCAGTTTGGGAGCAGCCAATTATGGTCTAGCAGAAATTTGAGAATTGCGGATGTCAGTAACACAGATTGGGTTCAAGAGCAAAAAAACACCATTGTTTTTATATGATGTTTTTTAAATGTACAATTAGCTGATATGTGTGGGCGTAGCGTTTTATTGTTTAGGAATAACGATATTCCTGGCTGGATAAATAATTAAGTAACCCTTATAAACCGAACATATACTTTTAAAATAATAAAATATTGAGATGCGCTAACTGAGATTAAAACCTATGAAAAGATTCTTACGTTCAGAATATTCTAAAGTAGAAAATTTAATTTTAATATCAGTAACACCGAGAATTCACTGTTTCTTAGTGAAGAGGATTTCAGTCGTTTCCCTGTTTCAGGATATGGCGAATACACCTGCGAGTATTTAAACGCTAAACCTTACTAAAAAGGTTTAGCGTAAATGAGCAGAAAAAAGTCGAAATTTTATTTTGCAGTAACCGTATGTTGTATTAGAGAAATAGACGCGAAATTCGTTCGAAGTGCGATGTATCAAACATAATATGGCTTACGTTCACGTTGAGTTAATTCATTTGATCAAAAGTTTACTGTATTATAAATCGATGGCAGGGAATTACAGCTCCGTTAAGACATTACGGTGATTCAGTATCGGCTCTAAACGTCATAAAGGTCCACGCGTCATCAGACACTAGTCCATCACAAATCTGCGCCTCGCAATGATTCTGTGAATGGCCTTCAGAATACCTAACATCCATATTACGTTCCATATTGCGTCATCTCTAAGCATGCTTTTATAGTACGTATGCCTCAAAGGTGTATCAAATTAGTCGTTCTCTTTTGCCTTTTCCCGATTACTTAAGGCTCCGGCAACGCCACGAACACGAGCGACTAGAATCGCTTATTGGCCGAATTGAGGCGTACGAACCATTCGATACTACCAGTGACGAAGTGGAGAAAGCGCTACGGGACAATTTTACCTTGGACCTAACCTGCGCGATGCCCGGCTGTGGACAGCAGAACCGGCAACTGGTGGCCGAAGTGCCCGGCGTGAAGTTCCGTGACGCCGCCAGTTCCAGCAAGATCGACGTACACTGCCTATTTTTAACCGACATGCTGTTATTATGCAAGTCCATTGGTCGAAAGGGCCAGGACAAGCTTAAGGTAATTCGACAACCATTCGTTGTCGAGCGTTTGATCGTTCGCGATATGAAAGATGCGTCCTTGCTACTTGTCTACCAGAACGAATACCGCGTCGTCGCCTGGTACCTACAGCTTTTTGGCCCGGAGCAAGTGCTGCGCGGGCTGGTGGAGCAGCTACGCAAGGCACAGGATCAGTTCGCCAGAGCCCGTGCGGCGGCCGTGCAGGGACGCCACGCTGGGCTCGCGTACCTGGCCACATCCTACCCGGAAGACCCCGAGGATGACGCCCCACGACCGTCGCTTCTTACTGCAGGACGCTCGCCACGCAGCTCTAGTCACTCAAGTTTGGTGCACTCGCATTCCGGCTCTATCGATATGTCTGACCCCGTATCGGCGAGTTCGCAGGCGCCAACTGTACCCTGTCCTACGCCGCTTTTCGTAAGTGCAGAGCTTATTCTCTTCGGAGGATACAGTACTAGCTTAGCAAGGTAGAACAATAATAGAAATAATAGAAAAAGGTAACAACAATAATAGAAATGACACACAAACACCGATACATTTTAGTAGCACTTGGACGCCCACTCTGAGCTTTTTCAACATTTCACTCGACCTGCCAGTCAGATTCGTCTAACATCGGTATTAACACTCCTAAAGCTATGGATTAGTTCACTGATGATGGCCCGTCGCCTAATCCGATCACAGTCGCATCGGTTTTGAAGCCCTTTTACAACTATGTCAATACTGATATGGGCTACGATTTTTGGGAAAGTTAAATTGATACAAATTTCCGTTTAGTTCAGTGATTTTTAACTTTCATGCTAGTTTCAGCCACTGTAATTTATAACCACATCTAGTTGTCTGTTGCTACATACGAAAAGGGTAGCAAATATGAGAAATAGAATATACGTAACCCGTTGAAACATGTTTATTTGTAGCGATTCCATTTACGATTCAGCACCACAGTAGGGTAATTCTCACTTAAATAGGTCTTTAAACCCTCGATAGTTGTACTTGTTTATAAATCAAACAAATATTGGTCGTCTTTTCACATTTTAAATTTAAAATAAGAAAAAAATTAAATAAAAAATTAAAACACACATTGTAAACAACTTTCGGCTAGTTTGCGCACTATATGTGGTCCGCTCTATGTGCTCTCTTGTAGCGTATATAATTACAACGAAGTAACATGCATTATTTCAAGATTATGAATACTTGCTCTTTGCCCATCACAGTTGGGGCATCTATTGAAGAAGACCCGCACCCGATGTGCTTTCTGTCCGAATAACAAAAGCGTCGCTCTTTCATTTTGATCGCTTTCGCTTTGATCCTTGCAGGGGGCGTCAAGCAGTGGAAGTCCGCAGGGCGGTCGCGCCACGAGCTTCGAACTGGGCGAATTGCAACGACAGGACAGCAGTTGTCAGCTCGATCACCTCGATCTCTTACAGCAGCATCGTTCACGCAGTGTAGAGACACGAGGGACTTCGTCGGTCTCCGTCACCGTAACGAGTCCAAGGCCGGAGCGGCGTGCCTTCTTGCTTAAGGGATGTTCTCCAGTTGGGCCATCTGCAGCTCCTTCAAATACGCTAACAGTTTCTGTGCCGCTCCAGCAACACCAATACGACAAGCAGGATAGTCTCGGATCGCAATTTTCGCCAACAATTCAGGTAATCTCACGGTAATGACGCTGTTAAGTGTGATAAGATGGAATGATAGCTTTGTAGATGTGTCGTCGGGATATGCTTCAGTGGAAATACATGAAATATGCATGTCTAAATTATTGCGCCGCCCGCATCACGTAATCAGCGAAAATTTGATCTGTTTTCTTGTTTTTCTTCGGATAATGTCCTCACACTGGTACTTTAAAGGTCCCTCTGGCATCTCCGACAAAGACGCTATGTCCACACAGTCCGCCATCCCCGCGAACGCTGCAGCGGGCCCTGCTGCACAATTCCAGCCCTACAAAACCGCCGCTGCTGAAGACCAAGAACGTGTCCGGTCTGGTGACGCACAGCGCGCCGGTTAGCGAGGGACCAAGTCCTATACATAGCCTAGATAGCAGCGAATCAACCTCGATATCCCTCAGCCTTCAGCAGCAACGTCCGCAGCTGCAGCAGCCGTCATCACACTCGGGAAGCGACGAAGGCGGCACCGGCGAAGTAAATACTACAACGAACCAGAATTCCGGCCAAGTTTCGCTGCAGCAAACTGGTCAGCAGCCTCAAGCAGCTCACAGTGGGACAACCCCTACGCAGTCATCAGCTGCAGAGGTAAGGCAGAACTTAAATGACAAGGAAGGCGAAGCTGCACTAGCAGCGAAAACGGCGACCACAGCATTTACTTCTTACGATCCTGCTTGAAACGTACCTTGAAAAACTTCTACCGTACGAAAGTCAGTCACCAAAAAGTTATCTTGCAGAATACCTATATATATGATCGTATTTAGTAGGACCCGTAAAAATTATTTCGAAGGCCAATTTGCTAGCATTTGTTGAAAGCAAGTGGTCACTTAGCACACAAGTGGATACTTAGCTGCTTTGGCCATAGATGTTGCCATCTGTATTCAGCCTCTTCTATAATCTTCGCAGCGTCCTTAAGATATTCTTAGCGACAAAAAGGACTGTGCCTAACAACATAGATTGCGTTATCACCCCATTATTTATTTCGTGTTGAAAACTGGTTTTTATTGCTTTCACATTCCATAGTGACATTTGCACGGATAATAAGATTCAACGGTAACATACGCACTATTTAAAGCAAAAAAACATTTTTGCTTTAAATAGTAGTAGTAACGCGAACGCCAATCCTACTGTGCTACATCTTCGTCTGTCTCTAACTTATTCGTTTCTCACAGAGTCCTCGAGCAGCAACGCCGAGAATCAGTTCGATATCGGTGGGGGTTATCCCAGCGATGAGTCCCGTTGAACCGCCGACACCGGTGCAAGAAACACCCAACCCAATTTTACCGCTTCCGCTGGTAGCATACGCCTCGCCACCCCCGGGACAACAGAGCGGGTCATCGTCAACGCCTTCGACTGGCGCGAACTCGGATTCGTCGGTCAGTATACCAGTATCTACCTCAACAACTGAAAATCGTCGCAAAGACGATCCCACACAACTTGTGCGACCCCACCGAGAGCTTCCACCGCCGCCGCCGCGCAGAACTCCGAGAACGGATGGCAGGTTTGTAATTCGACTTTGACATAGGAATGATTTAGTACAATTATGATGTTTGCGTCTTCTCCTACACTTAGTGCAAAAAAGCGTGTTTGCAACGATTACCGTTTCGACAACTATTGTCATGTACCACGATGGGGACCAATTCGAATATATATACTACAGGTAACAATATGCTACGGATATCTGCGCTGGTCAAACGTTACTGCAAGGTGAGCTGGTAGCAATAACGTAAATTGAAAACAAACTTAAGGAAAATTTGCGACGTGTCGGACCTCGGCAATATCCAAAGGCTACTGTTTGCATCCACACGAATCCGTTGACTTAGTCGAGTGTTTTTTGCTTGATTTTCTCCCTAGGAATACAAACATGAAACGGATTTGTTGAGTATCCAAGAATAGAAGCAGTCGAGGCACTAACATCTAAGCTGCTTGAGTACTCAATCGCCCTCGCACGAAACATATTATTAAACACTTAAGCAACATGCAAGCTTTTCATCTCAAAGCTAGAACAACATGTAACCAGACCCTCAAATGATTAGAAAGAATAAACCATTCTACGACAACTTAAAAAGACAATTCTCTAGTCTGAATTGAACGACTCCTTTGCCGTGGTTTATGCTTTGGGCGACTTGTTCTCTGTGCATTATGATGCATACCATTATTACACCTTTATTGGATAATGGTTTTGTAAAGCAACTATTAGGTAGAGACTGGGTTCGCCACTAGATTGCCATCCACAGAACAACCTCGTACACGCTAAGTTTACTAAAGGTGTAATAAGGTAGATGACAAATGTAACAGGCTCTTTTGCCTAATAATTGATATCGCATCAGTGGCCGATTACATCCGAGAAGACATCATACGGCCGATTCGTTCGAACACCTGAAGCAGTCCCGTGACGCTTCGATCCACAAGCGCTTGTCGTGGAATTGCGGCCAGCAGCTTTCTGAGACGGCAGCAGGATGTCCCAGCTCGATCCGAAGTGGCGCGTCTGTCCACGGCCATGGAGTTTCGCCGCATCAGCAGGCCATTATGGCCGCAGACCTTCGTTCCCGTAACCAGTGCCTCAGCTCAGGTTAGCAAAAAATAAGCTACACGAAGGCCGACAGATTTAAAAAGGTCACGCATGACTAATGTTTTTAACAATGTCAACGATTGGTTCTTATCGAGAGCACTTTATCGACTAAAGAGAGATACTTCTTATGCTATCGCAATTAAAAGATGAATTACAACAAGGCTGTTCCATCGGGTAATCGGGTAGAAAGAACGTTGAAGCTAATGGTATTGACAGTCATGTGTTAGCCCCTGCAACCGTTGTATAGCAGTTGTATGTTTAATAACAATTCTGTATCAAGCTGTATGTAACCAAGCGTAATGAAGCCATAACAAAATCGTTCGATCCAAATGTTTTTATCTTACGCTTTCTCATTTATGTGCATTAATCTATCAGCAGTCGTTTTATCGTTGCTTGTTGTCTCTCTTTCTTTTTTGCACTAAACATGAATTCTCTAGAATCCATGTATAGTTCAAGCGGAGTCAGTAGTACAGGGTCGCTTCTGCTGAGCGGGGAGGATGGTTCGGGCGGCTTAATTGGAGGCCCCTTGGGTCCTACAGGAGGCTTGATAGCATTGGAATCCTATTTAGGACAGCACCCCTTCCCGCAGCAAACGATCGTTATCAACGGAATTGACCCGTTCGAGGATGACCCAATTCAGGTATGTGTATCAACTCTTACAAGTCCTAAACACTACACAACGCTTAACATCGTATTCAGGAGGCCTTATTTAAAAACGAGACGTCCAGCTTGTCGAGAGTATACTTTGCTACATATAAACTCTATATTTCTTTTTCTGACTATTGCAGGAAGAGGACGAAGGCTCCGCGGCCGAAGAGACGCCTCAGCCAGTTCCAGTGATTCGAGCGAAACCACAGTACCAACTAGAATATATCGCAGGGCAGCCTGGATCACGGATCAAGATCGACATCTCTGAGGTGAAGATCTAGCCAACGCGGATCAAACGCTAGCCTGCATTGCTCTATTCATCAAAATGAGACCCTTCCTGCCGTAATCCGCTTCTACGTAACCGCCTCCTAGTGCCATGTTCCATCTAATATCCCTTTTTATTTTCTTCTTTCGCTGGGAAAATAAGCCTACCTGCCTGTTTAGAGACTTTCAACTTCCTTCACGCACTTCGGCATACTTTCCTAATTAAGGTAGCCGCGTGTGACACAGTGAAATCATTACGGAACACAACGGATACTCGATGCCAGGTAAAATGCCTTGCTGAGGTTATAGCAGGCGCCACTAAAGGTTAGCGCGCCGATAAAGGACGTGCTACTCTATCTGTTGGATGCGGCCGTTGTTTCAACAAAGAAGGGAAAGTTTGCCTTATTATCGAAACAAACGCACAAATCGGAGCGAAGCAAATACCTTGCCACAACTGTAGACGCCGTCTCTTCCCAGCCGGTTTGTTTACCCAACGATGCGTAGCTACCTGCCTCGGCAAGAGCCCACGATAAACAGAGTCTGAGCCGACTTCACGCGTGAACTTCTTCTTCCTGCGTTCAATCCTTTTGGTTTGTTACGTTTTGTTTTTGCGTGGCTGTTCACTTTGATTGGTAGAGAGATTAGGTTAATGGCTGTACGTATTAAGCAGAGCTTCTACTTACTGAGTCTTCACTTAACTATATCGTATTGTAAGCGCGCCTGAAACTAATAATTGGTATAATCATCTCCGAAATCTCTGAACTACGTTTAGCCATGTGGATTTTTCACAACTACAAAATTGCGCACTTAGGATAGACGTCTCGTTCTTCTGTTTTGAGAAATCAAACCGTCTCTAAAGCAGTGTAGAAATATAATAGGATATTTACGGAATATATATGTTTAGAACAAAATTCGATTATTTCGAAAATAAGCGAAAAAGATTAAATCATTTGTCGATAACCCTAACAAAATGGTAAGGCTGGAAGCATTCTCTATAACTAAAGAGCTCTTATTTGTCGAATTTTATCGCTTGTAGAGGTTAGTGAATCACAAGCTTAAAAAAATACTTCGTATTTTTTTAGAGTTTATGTATGACTGAAATCTTTCAAGTCGCTCGCAATAAATACATGTATGGGAATGGACGAAAATTCGACAAATGAAAACAAGGGAGGCATTGATTGACGTCACCCTACACTAGGTTAGGTTGCCACGTCTTAAATGGATCTTTCTTTATAAAAAATTCGGGCATCAAAATTATAAGTTAAAAAAGCAACGTAATGTACTAGAATCGAGTGAGATCTAGCAAATATCGCGTCAAGCTTTAGCAAAGTTTAAGCAACGCATCTAACCCTAAGCAGTGTTATATCATCATATTCTAGGTCCTTTTTTTTAATTTAATCTCCGCGCTTTTTACTCAGATTACTCCTCAGTGCAGGCAGAAAGACCTCGTTAACATACCGAAGTGCTTACAACCAAGTAAGGCAAAATGCAGATTATTTGGAAGTGCGTGATCGAAACACATTCCAAGACACGCGTCGATACCGTTGCTTATTCGCTCGTTTTATTTAAATGTTCATTTCGTCCAGGTGGCCGAGACCGTCGCCTCCGACGACGCACCTGCGGTCCACTTTGTAACGGCTGGCAGCATCTGCTGCTCCCCTGATACGGAAGCTCTACGAGAGGGACCTAGCTCACCATCGCTCCCTGAACGCCGAGCGAACGATGAGCTGGTAACCCCCCGAAACCTGCCCACAGCGTCGCCACAGCAAACGCAGCGAAAAGAGCAGCAAGAACATCAACAGCAATTATTAAGCATTCAAGTAACTGGAGTACCATCATCACAGCACGTCTATTCGCAGAAGTTGCCGTCTTCTCAAGTCGAAGTATGTTGTCAGCCATCTCCAGCGAGCAAATTGTCGGAGATGCCACTCTCCAGGACTGAAAGGGAGCCCGAAGTAGTCGCTGGAAATTGGGGTAATTCGACAAACGCCCCACAAAGCCCCTCGCAACAAGGCGATACACCTCCGATGACTGCCAATAGAGCCAACGGTCCTCAATCAAAGCGGCAGCCCAAAGATCTGCACCGTATGAAGGAACTCTTATTAGATAACTGCTCTTTTGACGTACAGTAAGTACGTTCCCAGCGTTGGTCTTGTACATACTTTATAATGATGGCAGTATGTCATGTTCCAACGATACCATCTTCCGATATAGGATAAGAGTTTCAGGGTCAAGTGTAGAAGAAAAAAACAATAACTAGTAAAGAATATAAAGTAATAAAAAAAAACAAGTTAAAATCTCAAAAGTAAGAAGATACTTCAGCTTTATTCATCATAGATCTATACGTACATAGCGTATAGAGCTTTGATGCGTGTGGCGTTGGCTCATGATCTCTTAAATAGCAGAAGTGCAAGCAAAGCAACGAATGACAACTACCGTAGAGCAGAATACACAATTATTTATAGAAACAACTAACGCCCATACTAACCTGTCCCTACTAACCTGCAGAGGAAAAATTCTTTGGACAAACAACGACGAATGGTAGCTCTAGGTTTTTTTAGCTTACTAAGTCGGATAAGTTTGCTTGTTTTGGGTCAAATATTTGGGGCTCAGTTCGTTACGACTAACTCACTTTTGCGAGGGGCACTATATTCTAACAAGTAAATCTATTACTGCCTGCCGTTTTCGTCTGTGTTTCAGAGATGTTTGACGAGCGTACTTTCTATTCGACAGCAGAGCGCTCTGAGCACTTTACAGTTGGTTGGCTATAACTTAAAGAAGCAGGTTGTATGTAATCAAAAACACCATCAAGGTCTGCCGAATCGGAGAATTCAGACCTTTAGACTCGACAAACATGGGAAACCGTTTTGTACCTATAGGAAAAACAGTTAACACAGATGATCCACACGCTGAAGACAACAGAAGCTGATTGTAAAATAGAATTCTCCTGCAACAATATATGCGCTTGCACGTACAAGCAAATATGGGCGTCCCGTGGATGTGCCCGTCAAGCATTAACCAGGCCATTCGCGGAGGCCTTTGGCAAACCTGACTAATGATAGGGCTGTGCATGATGGTCTTATTAGTTAAAGGAAGTTACAGGAAGGAGGCGTCACCCAGTCACCAAAAATGTTCCACATTTTCCAAGTAAGGCCGAAAATGTGTCGTATATTGCAAAATCAGCGCAGAAAGTGTCGACTTCTTTCAAATAGCCATCATGGCTAATTTTAGTGTGCGGTAATAAAAGCAGAAGCAGTAGGCTTACGACATATGCAAAGGAAAAGACGAACGAACGAAGAGTGTGTGGCCAATGTAACGGATGGAAACAATCGTGTCAAGTAGATAAGATAACAATATAATAAAAATATATATGAATAGAAGGATGCAACCTTTTCTGCATTCTCTGGCACCTGTTTCGGGGTGGTAAACCTGAATTGATAATAACTTCTGCTGAAAAACCTGCCACATCGGCCGATCTTTCCCTTATATAACAGCACATAGGCTACGGATAATAAATGTTCCCAAGGTTTTTTCCCAGCGATATGCGTCTCCACCTAGCTCATATCACAGTTTTCTCAAAACTCTCTTCCGATAGGCATCTTGTTCGATTCGCTACAAACTATATATAGTGTACATAATTACCCTAATGCAACAATGTATATATATATAATACATATTATATATATATATTTTATATATATGTATATATATATATATACACATACGATGTGGTGTTTTCGGAAGAATTCACAGCTTCAGAGCTCATCTGAGTAATGCTGGGGGCCCACGCTCTCGTTACGGTTACTATTATTTGTTACTACTCCAGCTACGGATTATTATTAATATACCTATATCAATAAGGTTCCATTTAAAATATGATAACATCCTGTATATTGTGTCGCTTTAGTTGCGGATAATTGACGCGAATGGCAAGCGAACTCATTATAGCTGGTGTACCATTGTGATTAGCATCGCTAAAGCTCGGTAGAGCTATTCTTTTATTTGCCTAAACTGAACACCTATCTCAATAGTAATAGGACAACTATCGAAAATTTCGAAGTCGTATCTAGACAGTACTGCTCCTGTTGAGAGGAAAGAAACACAAAGCAACAAGAATTCAAGCTATTACCGTTGCTTTGTGTTCTCATCTGGCTTGCGGAAACAATTGCAGCACGTTTTTGCAATGTAAATATACGGGAAATACTATATAATGACAAGTAATGTCTAATTATCACGGCGGGCTGTGGAAAAAATGCAGAAAAAAAGAAGGCGGTGACGAGCGATCAGAATAAACGAGGGGAGGAAGAAGGGAAGGAAACGTAACAATGGAGAGTGGAACTAGCAGGAGCTAAGAGAACGATGGAAGCGTTTTCTTCGTAGACTGATCCATTATTTCCCTATCATTCTATAATATAATAAGAAAGTGTAATTCAAAGAGAGAGACATTTCGATAATTCATAATTTATTTGGCTATATTGACCAGCTAACATGCATATACGGAGACACACAAACAAACCTAAGATTGTGATGAACTTACGTTTGTCCTATTAATGAAAACTATCCTTTTGCGGGAACAGTTGCTTGTCAGTTGGCTAAAAAGCCAAAGCAACCTCCGCCGGTTAGTCAAGGGACGAGGAGATGACTAATAAAATACAAAGATCACTTGGATTAACGAGTCTGCTTCACTGTCGATAGCTGTGACGCAACCTTAAACGTTATATTACAAAAACGTAAGAAAAACCGTTGAGTGTTCATATAAAGAAACTAATTGACGCAGAGGCCTTCTACGGTGTGTGCAGGTTCTCAAGGATTAAATTTAATCCGATTCGTTTTCTTTCATTGATGTCATTATATAGACCAAAGGAAAGGCGTTTTTTTTCTTGAGAACCTAACCTTTGCATTGAGCCTTCCGTGTATGCGACTAAATGAAGAAGCCGCTGGTTACCTACGATCCAGATCATCTGGATTGTGCAAGCGGCTAAGGACAGGTTTCCTGTTATGTATATAGTAACTATTTGGACTACACACCCTGATAGTTTTGCGATAGAGTTTTGCATAAGGTTGTTCATCTTTGCGATGTTCGAAGAGCGCGTTTGTTGAACGGGTCAACCCAAAGAAATGATTCTATGTGAGGGACAAGCAAATATCAATGATCATTCGTTTTTCCTCAATTGTATCATATCCGTATAAATTACGTTGTGTTGAAATCTACGGACATTTCGCCAAAACTTCTCCAAGGCGACATGTTCCTCGTAAGATTCATGCTGCCGTATTTCGGTCATAACTATTTTGTAAGCGATTAGATCATTTTATGTACAGCGGTTATGTGCACATGTAACATTTTTCGGCTCTTTTTTTTGGTCGCTGGCTACAAGCCAAGAAAATGTATTTATTTTCAATAAAATATAAGTATAGATCTTTTGATTGTCACAATGTTGTTTTCATCATTTTCTGTTCGATTTTGTTCTATGTAATCTATAAGTTTTATTGATATATTACGTTTATTTTTACAATGTATACATTTGTTAATTGAAGTTGTTCGGCGAAGTTTGTTAGGTTGATCAAAACTTCGGATAACCTTTTTTATAAGTAGGCTTGACGTTGCTATAATAGGTAGTCAGAGGGTCAAGCGTTGCTTAGAAGTTTCAATGTTGAATGTATGTTCAATGTTTTTGCGTCAAGAACGTAAAAAAGTAGCTCTGGAAAGAGTAACCAGAAAAGTTTGTTCAGGGTTACTCAGACTTCACATACCTGTAAACTACTAAATATTAAAAAGCTGCAACCTAAAAAAAACACATGAAGATTAAAGACTGGGCCTGAAATCTAGAGACGAGTTCCACAAGGAACAGGAAGGAATGGTTCGTTATAGGACAACATGAAGACCTATGATGACTAAATACAACTGTTAGAAATTGTGACCCCTCATGAACTGATATCCAACCAATTATTTTACACAGTTCGGTAAATCATAATAACAGCATCGAGAAGCTGTCGCAATTGGACTTACTTAACAATGAACAGCATTATATATGTGTATGCAACACCTGCTCGTTCCTGCCTAGAATCATTTCACTCGTCCATTTCTGTCATATTACTTGCACCAAGCTAGCACACCCGAAGTGTTGCAACAATATAGACCTTTTTTCAGTCCTACCTAAAGCGAGTTCAAGTCTGCTTCGCCTTAATCCGTATTCAACACTTACAACTCGTTGCAGCTGTTCATCAACCTGCTGCATGGTTCCTGTTAACTCATTGTAATTAGCCTCATTGTGTCGGGAACTCAAATATATCATGTTCTAATTCACCTATGATTCAATAGCAAGTGCCCTATGTCAATATTCATATATAAAACCGTCGCTATATTATCGTTAACTTAGTATATCCTTACGCTTACTCCGTCTTTGACTTTCGTAAAACGTACTGAATTTTCAGGGTTTTATATTAAATATTGACTTATCTGAGACCCACTTAATACACACACACACATATTATAAATAGGGAATATGAAAATGCTGATACTTTTCAAAAACGCAAAACTGAATATAGCGTCATATTCGACTATGTGGTCGGAAATGGAAAAAAAATACGTTTTGTTTAGGAATTTCAATCGTACTTATGTTAATGTGTTAAATTAAAAAAAATAGGCAACAGCTTCAACAATTAGACAACAATCAGAGACTATTTCTCGAGTGCTGCTGAAAACCAAAATACGAATTTTTACCTAGGTTGCGTTGAAGTTTGTGGCAGCTTTTTGTTATTTATAAACAAACATCATCTTACTCAAATTTTAGCAACGAGTTAATTTATTATGTATTAATTGTCATTTTCCACGATCTTTTCCCATAACTTAGCGTATTGTGTCTTGTCCATAACTTTCTGGATCTGATGTCGTCCAGTCAGTTTTTAGGGCTCTCGGGACTGTCAAATGTTCAATCACGACCTGAGAGTGGTCGAAAACGTAGTAATTTGTCAAAGCTAGATATGGAGAATATGGAGGGTAAGAAAGAACCTTTTATCTGCCGGGAGATTTTACCGACTTTTTTCACCTACGTTCTTGCATTACTGCGCATTACAAACATAACTTTGCCTTGTTTTGGTCTTTTTCTATTGAATAGTTTCGTTCACTCGACGGAACCGACGCTGTTCTCTCGTAGGATTTGCTCAGCCTATGGGGCATCCATTTTTCTAATATCTAATAGAATTACATACATTCAAAATACTTGGCAACGGTTGTTTGTGGCCTATTTGTGTAATCAATTTACTAGCTGTGTATCACTGATCGAAGAAGACCTCGAACAATCAACCGGTATGAAGTAAACCCCAGGTTCGCTCCCAACTTTAAATTTAGCAAAGCAGTCCTCTCAGTTATAAAGCCATCCATACACACGACACAAATATTTCTAGCTGCCTCGGCTCTTTTCGACCCCGGCAAAAAGCGAAATAAAGTACATGTCAAAAATGCATTTTCTTAACATCCATTTTTGGAGCCTGACCTTGAGGTGAAGTTTCGTTCAAAGTGCAATGTAGCTAAAACAAGCTTATGGGTGTCAGAAAGCGCATTCTGAGAGAATGACATATTGGAGTAAGCTCACAGTTTTTGTGAGTTAAAAGAGACACCGTCCTCACCTGATTACCAATTTAATGGAAAAAATATTTTTTCCAATAATATAATTTTCGCTGTTGTATTTTCCCGTTAGGCAATCTCTATGCTTTAAAATAATATAAAACTCTTAGAGCCCGTTTTCAGATGGCACATACGTATATATATATATATATATAGATATATATATATATAAAATCGCCAAGTCGCCTAAAAACCCAGCATTGTAATAACACTAATAATTACTATACTCAGAGCAAACAACGTACGTATATTCTGTATTGTATAGTAAAGGTTGCGCTTTTTCCTTAGTTGCAGCAGGATCTCGTAGTATTGTCTTCTTAGGTATTGCAATTAACTGTTGTACCATATATGCAATGTATGATAACAACACAATTGTACAGCAGATATATTTTTGGGCAAACCATTAATACTAACGTCTATTTCTTCAACATAACATTGCAAGCAAAAAGTGTCTATCTTGATAAGGTGCGGACACCGTCCCGAACTATAATGCTATATATAAAACATCGAAGGACATAACCAAACTATTTCAAAATATAAAACCAACTATAAACAGAAGATTAAGAAAAGGAAAAAGATGATGCTAAGTAGAGGGCATTTTATTTTATAGGGCGAGTCTACTTTTGCTGTGACTCTCTGAATTTTTAAGAAGATTGCTACCTCTACGACATATAGCGATGACGTATGCAGGATAAATTGTTTTTGGGAGAGGACGAAACATTGAAGATGGCGCCATTGTGGCGACTATCAGCGAAGGCCGCATCGCGTCACGTAATGCACTTGCTAGTATATATTATCAGAGAGATAATAGGGACATTGGTAAAGAAGCATAAATGGTTTTTTTAATTTTGAGACATATATTTGGCCAGAGCTGTTCAGCTTATCCAAAATTATGTCATTTGTAGGTTTTTTTTCTTTCAATAAATACAATAGGCCAAACTTCTTGCGGACGCGGGCAGATTGTTCACATTTCAAAATTAACAGTGTAAGAATTTAATAGAACGATTATACAAAATATCGATGATTTGTGGCAGGCAATTGGACATATTACTACTTGCGTTGCAAATCAAACCGAAGCCTAGCGAAAAATACAGGCTTTTTTCAATAAACCAAAGTCGGGTGACGGCCACACGACCGATATATTATGCATATAATGAATCATGTCGATTTTTTATGAGTAATAGTGATTGGTATAGTACATCTTACTGGTGAGGATATTACAGAGCGATAACACAAGCTGCGCAGTCCCCGTAGTTTCTTTGTCGCATTGTGTGAAACGTGAACAATGCAAGATTTGCACACAGAAATACACTTTTGTTAAATTTGATCCTAGGGTCTAAATAAAATGTGCTAGACCATTATCAAGATTCGCAAAATTATAAATAAACTGCACCGTATGCGTGTCAATATATTACTTACTATAATTATATAATAACAATAATGATGACGCTTACGCTGAATGCTCTGTCTCGGACAACCCTAAAAAACTACACATATATAAATATATACCTATATAGAATATATTTACTGAAATGTTATGATATCGCATATGTATCTATTTATTATTGGTATTTGCCGGAAAGCACTTGAAAGTGTACAAACCTGCGTCACACTATATCACGCACTGCCTCTCTATGAATCTATCTAAACATTGTTGTATGTGCAGATCTTATGTACAGTCTTACATGGAGTCTTCGACATGGTTTTCTGTTTTTATCGGCTGGCTTAAGCTAAGTAAATAGCAGACTATTTTTTATCACATACTTCTCGTCGCAATAATTTTATCGCAAAGCTCTTTCATTAGAAGTAAATTAAGCAACTGGAATCTATTTTGTTGTCGGTTTCTCCTCAATGCGCTACATGCTCCAAAGCCTACGTGCATTTTATGCAGTTTAAGCGGCATCTTTTCTAGGATGTGTTAAGTGAGGGATACGCCATTGCGAGTAGCCTAGTTTATATTCGTGGTCAAGCTAGGAATTGACAAGAATTAACCATTTCTAATCAATTTCAGTCTTCAATAATGAACTCTTTGGTGATTTTCCTCAGTCGTATTGTACAGCTCAGATGTCAGCAATATTTTGGATAAGGTCGACATTTTTCCTAACCAAACATGAGAGCAGTTCATATTCAAACCATTTGCTTTAACGTTAGCGCTGCTTGGGAGTAGATTCTCGGCCTCGGCTGCTGAAGAAATCTAATGACAGATCAAAAATAAGCAAATCGACATTTAATGACTAGAAGTTGCTTTCAGTCCCTTGTAAAAGTGAAAACGGTCCGAAACATATCAGATTCCTATTATCGAAAAATAGACACCCCTTATATATATATCCGAGCTATCTCGAAGACGTTTTATCGTTAATCTGCTATTTGCTAATCTTAATTCCTTGAAACGCAATCGGAAGTCTCAATTCGGCAGCCTACTCAGACCCAGTATGCATTGATGTGTCGAAAAAGCTTATAGTAGAGTATTGCAGAGCTACTTTTCTTCTATAGACGATTGTTTTGATATCGACTTTTATACCATATGGTTGCTACTCTGAAGTGTCGTTTGATTTTCGTCTCTATGTTTTACCGTTTACATGTGTTTTTTTACATGCATGTGATATCTAGATGGCGACGTCCGTAGTAGCTGACGACCATGTGACTTTTTTGTCGTGTATTGCTGCTGCTGCTGCTGCTGTTACGCAGACATTATGGCGTGCTTTTCTCCTCCTTGAGTTACATACGTTTTCAATGAAGCCGGCAATAACGTTGTCGTTGATTCATTTAAGTTAACAGCAGGCTCATCGCGCGATGATTCACTTTGGCAGTGCACGTCGTGTAGCTTTCATAGTGTGGCGTGGGGCCTCACTTTTCGTCTTCAGTGACCAGCCAGGAGACCCGTTGCTAATCGCAACTATACCTATATGATATTATTGAAATACAATTGATAGTGACAGTGGTTTGACGTCGATGATTAATATTACTATAATAACATTAAACACAATCATTACACGTATACGCTAACTGTTATTACAGTATATATACACACATGCTGACATTTTACTTGAGCGCATACGTCCATTATGCAGGATGCTGGCAGTTTTTTTTATGTGTACACCGCAGACGAGCGCCATCTATATATACGAAACAAGCACAAGTAGATCCAACGTAAACAGATAGCTTCATCTTCTTTAGAAATGATTCCTCTGTAACAGTGGATTGAGCTGTGGTTCACATAATAGTTTTTGGGTTTAACGACGAAAGCTTGTACCGGTCGTTTTCAATAGTCAATAAATGCTTTTGAATCATGCTGCTAAACAACTATCAGCTACGAATTAAGCTCATTAATAGTAGAATCAAAAAGAAAGGTGTTCAGAATCATAAAGCTCATAACAGACAGCTGCAGAGACATATTTGCAAACTCTTGATTTGTTTGAAAGATGCCCTGTTGCCCCCTAATAGGGTGACAAGTCCACTGTCCAAACAATCTTCAAGTACCAAGCACAAACCTGTCAAAGAAGCGTCGCCTGCGATTTCGTAATCTCAGCCACGATATCTTTTACCTCTAACAAGCAAATGTTAGAGACCGTAATCGAAAAATATACCAGTGTTACACATATAATGATGAGGTATGGGGCTATCTGGCGAAAACAATAATAGATGCTGAGCTGGGTTGTATTCGATACCTCATTTAAACATTTATGATAACATTAAACGATAAACACTTTGCCTTTAATCTTCGAGCAAGTTACCTGTCTTATTAAAATCCATAGACACCTCACGTCTTCAGTTTTTGTTACCTGCAATATGAGGTAGACACCGAGTACATACGTAAATTGCTATATATATATATATATATATATACTGGTCCTATATTTAGGAGTCCAGCTGAAAGTTTGCGGAAAGCCAGCTTACTTATTGACACTGTAGAGCCATAAAAAGATATTATAGAAGATTTATAGAAAGTTGCTCATGGCTTGAGAATAGAGCAGGCTTATGGCTACGCTCGTTGTAAATACGAATACCAAATAGCAACCGTAAAGCTTCTATTTTTTAACCCCGCCACAAATTTTTGAACAATCTGAATGTCCAGATGCATACGCGCTGTGTTCGACGACAAGCAGAAGTGTTCGGTATACTTTAATCATGAATAATTTAGACACAGGAAATGGGGCATTCTCGTTGTTGTGTGATCAATAGTAATGTATTCGTGACCCTTACATTCAATATATTTGCCTATTGTTAACATTACCATATTCTCATTGCTATTTGTTGAAAACATCATACACTAACTATTATTATCACATTTATTTACCATGACGTAAAGATAAAGTAATGCTAGGAAATACCAAATGCCGGAGACTGTTTCTCTACACTCTATATATTTGCGAAGCAGCAGTAATAATACATGATATGTAGCTTAACGACCACATACTTATTAGGTGGAACGTTCTTTTTTAACGGTACGATTATGTTGAAGTAACAAACTGAAGATAACGCTCAAGCATCCTGGAGGTCGGCATTTTTGGCACTTCTCGATCACAACAACACGTCTAGTTAACATTATCCTCAGACAGTCATCAGTTTTACTTTAGTTAGCTTTGCGACGTGCACGGAACTTCAAAACCCCCAGGACCGGGGGTTACACAGTCTGACCTTTGCGTCCTATTAAAGCACTCACTTTCTATGAAAAATACGCGCTGTATAATAGCTCTAGGTAAAGATATATGAATTGATAGTTTGTTATTAACAATAATTTTAATTTGTGCGCACCATCTGCAGTGGGTGTGTTCCTAGGCTTTCGCTACGTATGCCAGTTCTGGGGCTATAGCCATTCTCCTAACCAATCACGAATTTTGCGAGGCAAAGAATTTCCGAATTGAGTGATCGTGCGTTTTTAGTAGTAGTGACTGAATGTCGCTGGAGAGTTTACCTGCACATAAGTCTACGCTGAATCGAAGTGTTTTATTGAAGGCTAGGGTACATCGATATTTCAAAGGTTCTAACGTAATAGAAATTAAGCGCAGTACAGAACTAGGCCCATAACCTGAAAATGTTACAATTGAAGTAAAATAAATGCCCCCTGTGAAGGATTTGTGAAGGGCAACATTTGATTACTGCGATTGCAATTACTGTGTTGATTTGACTGCAAGATAGATTTAGACATAAGATATCCACGATGTTTTTAGCCTGAAGAAAACTATCGCCAATGCTGCTATGTATGCTTAAGCAGTTGTATCATTTACTAGACCTCGCGATTTTATCCTGTAATTTGTTCACCTCAAAACGTGCCAGAGGGTGCCTTTGTTGTTCAGCTGTTTTGTAAGCAACAAGTTCCATTTTATAGAAATAGGTTTCTTTCCTGTGGAGTACATATTAGAGGAATACATGCAGGATTCATCAATTAGGTTAAGGATTTGTTTGAATAATATTACGAATCACTGTATAATTGTCATATACTCCTATACAGGCACACCGTTTCACTTGTCACCGTAGAGAGAAGGTTCCTGTCTATCACTTTAGCACGATAACATTCACACGCAAGCATGTATCGCTATAGTAATGTGACCACTATTTCATTTCGTTCACGACGAGCAGCTCCATCTACCGATCCGAGAAGGTCGAAAGAAAACGTTCACGGTGACCATTCTGTTTACGAAAAGAAACGTCCGAAGCCTTTGCACTGTGATGCTTTGTAATATTATTTTACCTCACTTTCGCATTTCAGCATAACTAGCACCTAAATACATTGTCATGCGGGGAAACGAAACAATTAAAGTGCCCTCATCAATGCGGAATTTGTTAAACATCTATTATAACGCGTATGGAATGGACGCTGGCTAGCTTCAGCTGAAGTAGAACCAAATCACGATAGAACAAAAATAAGTGCACAAAGACGGAGCAGCAACAAACAAAAACAAAGAACACGTTCTGGGAGTAATAGACCTCCAACACAATAAGCATGCACTAACTTTCTCGATGTTTGTGAAGATCGCGAGTGAATGATAGTGTTTCGACAAAGATGAAGGGCATCGCATTAGTTCCGTGGGGATCGCGATGGTAACGAAACTGTTCATAGCTAACCATTGTAAGGGAAGACAACTCTACTCGTAAAAGGGACAGTGGTAATAAAAATCATAGCAAAAGACTGACTGATTGATATTATCAGTAACAGATGAACCAATCAAGGCAATGAAACACTGACCTGGACATAACATGGAATGAGATAATGTACACAGTGCCTCGACTCGACCCGCTCTTAGCCTAACGTAACATACCTTTTGGTTAGCACGTGTTAGTGGCAGGATGATGACCCTGATGGTTATAACGAAAAAAAATAAAAAGAAGAATTATTACGAGATTATTGTCGGCGCACGAATTTGCAAAGATGATGATTATGCCGATAAGCATGATGGTGAGAATAAACGCCTATACAAAAACTCTTTAATAACACATTTAATGGTTGTTCTTAATCTTTGTAGGTAATGGGCTTATTAAATGGAAAGAAATGACTTCTGCGAGAGTTGCTGTAGATACAGATGAAAATGGAACATCAAAATATTATAGATGAATATAGTATGTCAAATAATAATATAAAGTAAGCATTTATATGCATGTACAAACAAAAATCAGCAACAGAGTACTATTTTTACGAAAATTCCAGCTCGCTAGAGGGTAGATAATCCTTGCTGTGCCTCTTGGATTCATCATGGGATGAGCTCTCGAGGGCGTTATATGTCATATATAGAGACATATACAACGAAAAGCCCCACTGAGTTTCATTTACAGACAAACTTTAATAGGTATATGTGATAAACCTGTCGCTTATTAATACTCGATTATGCCAATCGCTAAAAGACAACATTCTTGGAAATATACTTTGTATCGAGTACAATGACGATAAACAATAAAGAGTTAGCCAGGTTGATAAGCTGACTCACCGACTAACCAATCGCTTAGCCAACCGATCCCTTCTTGTAGGACTGGATTTAAGAAGCGTGGCAGACCGATAGCCGCAAGAGGAAGCATCAATGCATCACGCCCAATCTCATCCTGGTGCCACTTTTTTCTAAAGCTGTCTCTCCCAGTCAAGGTACACTTCGTTGGGTGCTAATCCCAAGTTTGAAGATGCAGGCTTATAGGATTTCCTTAACTGACCTTCTTAAATTTGAAAAAAAATGTTGAATAGCAGATCTTAAGTAACGAACATTGACGAGTTGGCTATGGTAGGTGTCCACTGGAAAATAAATTTCAAATACCTTTTTCTTAAAATTGCAAGCTTTGTGTTGCTATGTCGAATTATAATGTTAACGTCATAGCCAGAGTTAATTCCTTTTCTTCCTGCTTGTCATGCATATCGTGTCGTTGTACATATTATTATTAATACGAATAATAATAATAATAACATATAATAAACTAGTTAAAAGATACAACCAACTGTGTGCTGTACGTCTAAAGCAAATAGTAGTTTATGTCGGTAAAACTTCAAATCCATCGAAAACCTTTTTTTTTTTTAGAGATTTTAGTACTGAATAAGCAGGCAGATAGAAGGACAGATGCCCGTAATCATGTTCTGATATCTTTGAGTAGCGCTAGCTAAATGGAGCTCATTGTGGTTTTGGATCGGCCGGTGGTTTCGTTGGGATTCTACAGTTTCACCGCGAGAAACGCGGTATTCCGCATAATCAAAAAGTGATTTGCATCATGCAATCTTCTATTTAAAGGACTTGAAAACGCAGAAAATTAAGTAGGAATTAGATACGCCCTGGCGCGACTCTGTTCCATGCAAGAGCTTCGTCCGATTATTAACCATGAATGTGGCATCCGTTGCTATAAACTGATCTCGGTAGCTACGCTGCAGTCATCTAAAAATCACAATATATATCTAGCTTCAATATAAAATCGCTGGTGGAACGTGAATCCGCGGCTATACCCATAAAAGCAACAGTGCCAGACGAGAGTAGGCAGCCACAGCTTGGTCTACGAGGGCCACTTTAGTTAAAAGGCCGTGGTCACTGTCTTTTCGTGGATGTGCATGAAAAGCTTTTTTTAATTAAACCAAGCAAGCAATTGCAGACATTTTGCAATTATTCTGGTAAAAAATTGCAAGTCCTTCAAGACGATTCCACATTGCCCAGACTACTCGTTTGCAACGGTTAAAATCAATCTAGTCAACCTTGAATTGCTTGACCATCCGCCGTGCTCGCTAAGTCTATCTGGCAGCAATTTGCGCCCAGTTTTAGGTTTCAAAAATCAAACGATCCTTGAGGCACTTTTTCATTTAGCACTTCTGCCTTCAAATTTTCGGCCGCTATCACCCGCAAAGGTATTCGAAGACATCGATTGATTTAGCGCTATTGTTAATCCTATATAAAACCAGCTATATATATATAAAACCTATATAAAACCGGCATACTACTCAATTTCGTTCCTTAATTGATCATCTCCTATAGGGAAGTATTATGGTAGTTAATTGTTTCGTCACATATTTAAGTATTTTTATTAGCTCGAATATGTTCCCAGCCGATCGTAATCTAAGTAACACTGTTGAATTACGGAAAAGTGAGAGCACATCGAACGAACTGTTTGTCCTCTTTATTAAATCGCTCTAAAGGAGACAAGGTAAAACACACACGAACTTTTGTTATAGACAGGAAACTTCGCCTTTTTCGGTGCAACCGGAACGCGATTCGTGAGTGCTTGAATGTTCAGTCGTCCTTTAAAAAAGAGCACATATGATTTCAGTTGATCTTAGAGTACACGGTTTCATATAGCACACACAACAATACCTTCCTCATTTAAATGCAGCGTATATTATATTTGGTACCGTTCCAAGTGACTAAAAGCTTTCACCGCTGACAAAGATTGCCGAAGATGCAGGTCTTATTCTTACATAAACACGTAGACATACCCTCCAAAGTACAACAGAATTCATTCAATTTCTCGGTCGGTCTTTGTCTATTCAGGCTATGCTACTTCCGTCAATCAATCGCCCTAACGAAAAGCGGGGTCATGCGTTATGGCTTAATCTGCTGTATACATCAATTACGCTGCAATTATTTATAAAAGAAATTTTACAACGTTTCCGTAACTCGCATCGAAACGTCAACTTTATTCAAAAGTTCATGTGTTTCGTTTTGTACTGGTCTCAATCGTGAATTTCGATCGAAAATAGTGACGTCGTTAACGGATTGTATTGTGAAGCCTAGTGACGGGATCACCCTAAATTGCATGCCAGTAACATTTACTTATGCATATATTATTGTCATTTATACATGTATACGATTAAACGATCTGTAGATCTATATTGAGATGGATTTGCACTGATAAAATTTCGAGGCCTCGAAATTTTACAAAATAATTTTCATATTTTTCGTATTCATTTATTCGTCCGTCATAGTTTTCATATTAGAATTTTTTTTACATATCTATTTAGCCCTGAAGCAAAGCTTATATTAAAAAAAAAAAAAGTGAAATAATGGCTTTCCTTGACGTGACGTAGGTAGCAATACATGAAGATGAATCCTGGCGTCAGAAGAGTGCATAAAGAATTGGAATTAACTGTTGATTCCATTTACTACAAAAGCAAAATGTTGTCTGTAAACACATGAAATCTAATAAATCCTCTGCTTTTACAATCAAGAAATATTTTACAAACTACCGCGATAGAGTTAAAATACTAACGTGGTATATATGTGACATCCAAAATTGGTCACTTCCTGAATTAGCTACTTATATCCTCATAGGAACACACGCCGAGCACCAAGCTTTACATAGACCCACCCTGATTTTTACTTAATTTTTCCTGCTCACTGCACTTCATCTGACCTTACGTCACGGCGAGAGGCATGTGTCTTCACCGACCGACTCGGAAAATAGTTGAATGTCAAACATGAAAGAATAAGCCATTAGAATGCCTTGTAATATCAGTCTCTACGAATAGTGCTTCAACTATCCCGCCAACGAAAACGTCCCAAGTACGTCATAACGTATGACCTCATGTGATACGAGATAGATAGAGCGGCGTGTCTGCTTAGGGTTGTTATAGTGAGAAGCATTCTCATTAATAGTAATTACAATACAATCTGTACATATAGTCGCATATAGATAAATTATAATCGAAGACAAACAGACCTCGAATAATAGTAGAACGTCAACCGAAAGAAGCAGAGCAAAGTAACATTCGTGTAATTTAGACTTAAAGCTGAGATATCGATGAATTTGAAATCAGTGCTGCTTTTGTTAATACAAGCGCATACTTTCTATTGCCACATATGGTTTTATAGATGAGGATCTCTGAAGTACTTCTATAGGGCCCTTAATAATGTTTTGCTGCGAGGAACTTCAAATCTACTTTAAATTTTTGTGCAGATCTACTGTACAGTAGCTTCTCATGCACCATATGAGATGCATAAACATAAAATATTCACAAAAAGAATTTATCCTGCTATAGTTCTGTTATGTACAAATTCGTATAATTTTGTTAATAGCCTCTCACACTTCAAAGGGAAAAGCAATTGACAAAATTGATTAAAAAATCGATGTAGAAGTATTGTTTAATCAACATCAAGGCGTCGATTCCTACTTCTAATTCTCAAAGAGCACCCGGCCAAGTTTTTATTACATACGGCATGTCTTAGTTTGAATTCGACCACACGTTTCCAGCTGTCTCTTCTATACATGAAAAATAGCCAATCTATTTATATACATTAGCCAAGGAATACTGGATGTGCGGATGTTGCTCAAGCAAGCATTGTAGTTGATTCGATGACGGTTATCCTTTTATTACGAAATCTGCACGCATAATCCTTGCTTGACCAGTCCTGACGGTGACTCCTGTCAGAACTGTCAGAGTTTCGGGATACAACATTTGAGTGCCGGCAGAATACTTTTCAATCCACGGCATTACTGCTAACGTGGAGGCGCCAAGGACGTCCTAATCGACCATCGCCACACTTGTCGGCTGTTCAAGTCTCGGAATTATTGTCTCGTCGTCCATCTATTTCACCGACCCATCGATTTACCTTGATGCAGTTCAGAGTACACGACTTACGCCGGATAGTTCCTTTGCATTAAATTACGTTTAATTAATATTATGCTTGTTTTACACAATATACAGCCAGGTGAGTTCGTAAGCTTTCTCTCCGTTTCTTTCTAAAAAGTTATCATCATGTCTGTCATTACCTGAATGATACCGTGGTAAGTCGCTCTTGACAGCTGTTTTTTAATTGCTGATAGAAATGCTGTATATAGTAATAGGGTGGTCTCGGCTTGCGGCCTGACCCACGACGAGAAAAGGACTAATCTGTTCTCTACACGAGGCTTATACTTTTAGAAATTAGATGTGCTTCCGTTCTGCTTTTTTGCTCTGCATTGCTTATGCAAGCTCTGAGTATCTGCTGAAGTACTTTGAAAACGTTTATCGTCACTACCCAACAATCTACGTTTGTTTTCGATACATTGCCGCCTGCTGCCAGAGTATTATAGCAGATATTCAGATTTTTACACTGCAGCCCGCCACAGTTTGTGAAATAGTCTCCTTTTTCTTCTTAATTGTCAATATATATATATATATATATATATATATTTTTTTTTTTATAACAAGTGTGAATTAACACGAATATCGATACAATAACACCTTGTCACTCTAATGTATGCATATACAAACAACTCGCTGTGGGAGCCTTGTAGATCCGCCAGTGGGTGCTAATTTTATATTACCATGATAATGCAGATTGCACGTTCGCGAGCGTCCTTATGATCTTCTCTCGTGATAACTGGCCATATCAGATGTTTCCGCATCCGAAATACGCGTATGAATTCATTTTTTCTTTTTTTTTTTGTTTTTCCTGGGCGGTTGTGCCTCTGACGCCTCATCCTGCGCAACCTGCACTTCAAGAACAGGTGAAACGCTCTCGTCAGGAGAACTTTCCTTTGCAAGAGATGCTGCAAGTGCTTCTCTTAAATTTTTTTCTGAAAATTCAACCCCGTTTTTATGACGTTCTTCTTCGTCCGCGCCATACTGCGTAACTGCCTGCGAATTGTTGTCACGTAGAATGGGCCCAGCTTGCGTCAGGATGATGGATCTGTCATGATCGTTAAAATTTCGATCAACTTCTCCCGTCGTTACTTCGTTTTGTGGATTTTTGACACGTTTTTCATCGCTAGGGCTGCCACTGCCAGCTGTGTCTATTTTGTCTATCGTACTATTGGGGTTTGGTGTAGTAACTTGAGGCTGGTTTTCTCCTTGCTCCTGTGTTCTGGCAGTTCTTTCTGTTGTAGGACTGTGATTTTTCACTCGACTAGCGGCCCATGGTCCTCTGCTGTTTGGCCATGGTATCGAGTCAAGGTCAGGGTGGGTGGCAATTTCGACAGGTTCGGCTGGCGCTTTTGTTTGATTAGGGTTTTGAACTGGGTCTGGCGCGTAGTATTCGGCTAGCAAGGGCACGTCATGTCTGAAGTGTTGGATAGCGGCATACGTGTGTAGCAAAAGACGTGGAAACCGCAGTGTAAAGTACTCCATGTATTCATTAGGAATCGAACCCAGCTCGGCGCGCAGCTCTTCAGGCAGTTCTCGATAATGATGTTTCTGAAAACAATTATTAGAACGTTAAGTTTCCTTTATAAGTCATGCTGTCCTATTCATAGCACCAAGTACGATTTTATCAAGAATCCAATCAAGCACTTAGTCGAAGTAGAAATAAAACAAGCATTGGTATATATTCAGCAGAAACAAATGGATGATAGTAAATATGAGCATAGTTAGAAAGCTGTGGTTAGGCGCTTACATTACTTGTAAGTGAAGCCTGGTATCTATAAACAGCATTTAGCATTAATTTCTCAAAAGATCAGGCGCTTTACGCGTTAAAATTTTTAACTAAAAGGATCATTTCGCGCAATACTGTAAACAAACTTGAGTTTTAATTAGATTACCTTGTTCCGCAGCGCTCTAAGAAGATCTCTAATGGAATTTCCCTTGTAGCTGCGAAAACGTCGCAGATCTTTTTGCAATTCTGTGGTGATTTGGTCAATCCAGTTAGAGCTATTAAGAATTTTTATTCCCGCTTTCTCAAGAGCTCGTACTACCGGGCTAGTATGGGGTTCCTTTTCGACTCGATCCGACACCTACATATTGATAAGAGTAATTTACCTTTTATATCTAACCTTCTTCGCCATTAGACACAGTCTAATTAACATTAGGCTAATATGATTAAAATAGAGCCGCCATCAAAATCTAATGCCTAATGTCAGTGTTCACGGACAAATTGTATCAATGACGTCATAAGCCATCCAAGAAGTGAAGCAATTCGGTTTCCAAGGGGGTTAGTCTGCTTGTTTTAAGTACTCATTTATAGAGTACGTAGAACAACAACTTAGTATGTCTTTACTTCTGTGGGGTGCGCCGAAAAGCACATTCCACTGTTAGAAGTTATATGCTCAATAGCGCCTAGTCTCAGAGCAAGTATGGCCTTTCATAGCAAGGACACAAAAATTAAACCAACCTCCTGGAAAAAGTTGAGTGTCCGGTTTGCATCCCAAAAGGCAGGATGCCGCGTTACCTGGGCAATGGTTGGCCTCGCCGATGCATCCATTGAAAGCATCTGATGAATTAGGCCCTTTGCGGTCAAATCTAGCGGTAAGCAAAATTAACATTGTCAGCAGGAAGACACTAAACGAAATAACTAAGAAAATTCAATGTCCTTTTTTCCGATAGCCGGCCCAGAAAAAGTAATAATACGAGCCGATAGAAAGATTAAAACGCAGAAGTTGCCACAATCGGCCAGTATTGTGAAGCGAGTATGAAGGTTCTTTCTGTACCTTCGTTACTGTCGCCTAACGCGGCAAGTGAGACCTTCCCGCTGCGAATATTGGCCTGTCGTTCGAGGGTGTCTCCGAACGGGTGTTGTCCACCGCTTATCACGTAGTACATGACACAGCCAAGAGAAAAAACATCGATTGCTTTTGTCACCCTAGACCCGGTATCGTCTTCTAAAACCTAAAAAACCAAATTAAACCAGTTCTGTAAAACACACTGCAGATTTAGTGTTCAATGATAAATTACGTACGAAATATTTAAAGTTTCGGTTGATATTGTTAGGCATACTTCAGTGCCTTTTTCACCATTACGCGCGTCACTAAGCTAGTTTATCTGCCACAATGAGTTTTTTGTGCTATATAAAAGCTGAAACATTGATCAGTTTACGACAACCTAACTTTGCCGTAAACTTATATCACAAGGCATGTTTTTTTTATCTCTCGATATTTGACGTAACGAATATCCGCCAAGTGTTAGCTGAATGCTTTATAAAAAAAAAAAGCCGATCCTCAAGGTGCTAAGCCGGAATTGATGCATCGAGTCATCTCCTGTATAACGGCAGTATCACTGAATGGCCTAGGACAAGTGCCTAGTTGACGATTCGATTCACTGTATGCAACTGCGAAACCATTAGAGCAATAGTAAGCAGGCATATCACCAACCTCAGGAGCAATCCATCCCGCGGTTCCAAGGACACCGCTCCTCTGACTGAAACTTCGAGCATCGTGTGATAACTTTTTGCACAATCCGAAGTCTGAGATCATAACCTGAAGGCCAAGAAGAAAGAAACCCCTCGTTTTAAATCAGCATGCCACTCTTGGAGTTAGTACGGCATACAGTGAAGTTTCATTTTCAAGGAATGTCTCGTAGATAAATATACGAATATTTATAAGTTTGCATAAAGTAGATTAGTATCACAATACGGGTAATTGTAACACAAGTAACTTACTGATTTAACTGAAGCATAAATTGTGGATGTCGGTTACCTTTAACTGACCGGTCCGCGTAGCCGTTGAGATAAGTAAATTCTGCGGTTTGACATCCCGGTGAGCTGGAAGAGCCGTTGCAAGTAACAATCCTTAGCTGACAAAACTCATCACATATTATCTCCACTTACGGAGTTATCAATGTAATAAAATTGATTCTGCCAGCACATAAAATTGAAGAATTAGCTCCAAATTATTTCACAGCACATGTGACTATATGTAACTGTCGCAATAGCATCTTACTGTAATTTCTACTTTTCAAAGGACTGAGGAACTCTCGTGGAATCATTGCTATTAGAAATAATTGTTTTAGCAAGAGTTTTTTTTCGATTATTTGAAAAGCAGAATTGAAAGTAAGTCGCTAAATAGGCTGTTTGAGCTAATACTTAACGACAGTACTGAACGCAATATTCAAAACAATTATATAACAAAAAAACGAATAGAATTCAGTGGTAAGGTTAATAATAAGTTTACTTTCTTACCGATATTTAGATTATGTAAATGTTCTAACCCGGACGCCGCTTGATGAATAGCTTGAAGTGGCTGCAGAGGCGGATTACCTCGATCGAACGACCGATTTTCAACGTACTCTGCTAAGGTTGCTGCACAGAGCTCTAACGCGATGTAGTAAAAATTCGCGTCTTCTTCCATACAAAAATACCTATCAAATAGGAAAAACGCACTTTGAGTTAGGCATCCGGGGTACGATCAAGCCATTTATCACTTGCTTAAAGTCAAATCCAAGTAACCTTGTTTTCGGGAGAAAGCTGGAATGCACTAGCTTGAATTTTCTTGTAACTGACGCTTCATATAATTTCGAACGTCCATATAAATCGGAAGAGAATAACTGTACAATACGAATATATCATACAGATGCAAATTGTGGTAGCGCTTAAAAAGTCACGTAAACACATACAGAAAAATTAAAATTGTCTACCTGACAACGTTTGGATGCTCGTCGGTCTCCCGAAGTAGCTTAACCTCGCGATGTGCCAAGGAGTAACAGATCGGTAGTATTCGTTTAACAGCAACGGGTCGGCCCTCGAAGCAACCCTTAAATACAACAGTACCGTTGCCACCTGAACCAAGTTGTTCTTGGACGGTGTAGTTAATTTTGCCCACGGTATATTCTCCATTCTCATTCATCTCCAATTCTCGGATAGGCTGGCCAGTTTCGCCAGAGATCCGCAGGTTAAAGCCATTGAGACTACGAGAAGACTGATGAAGTGCACGAGCCTGGCGTACAGAAAAGCAGAGCAGTGCACACAGAGCTAACGTGATCAGACAGAATTGTTTAAAGTAAGGAGAACATTGCTCACAAGATTAAAACGTAGAAGCTTCACCGTACGTTAATTTTTGGGTTAAAAAGTTCATTATAAAATAACCCGAATTCTTATATTGAAGGAAGTAAATATGGGACATCCGTTGCAAATTATAAAGCGCGCATAGCTTGCACAAAATGTATACCTGTGGGTATAGGTGGAAGCATGCTGCTATCAGGAAAATAACAACAGCAGCCAAAGCCACCTGAAATAAACATGAAAATAAAACATTGAAGCACATTGGCAATATTTCTTTTACTCTAAGGAAGTTATATTATATATCAAGAAATAGTTGATTATTGCATCGCAGAAAAAAGAAAGTTTGATTTAGTGGCAGTAGTGCATGCACTACGTTCTTCTTAAGTAGCCAAATTTCTGAAATTAACCCTTACAAGCCAGTTAGTCCCAAAGTTTCATTGGGCCTTAGAAAAACATGTGTAGTTCTAGGACGCCATTTAATAAACCTTAAAAGATGCCGAAAACTACGATATGTCTTCATTTTTAGCGCAATCTCTTTAAAAATTTAGCCTGGTTTTCTAAAGCTTTAAATATGACTTTAACAAAGTGGCACAAAGTTACAAAGTATAGCTATAGGTACACAATACCTTCAATACAACCTTGATCCAGTAGAGTTCATCGGAGATATTTTGCACGGCCTGGTCGTGATGCTCTAACGGTTGGCTTCCAGCAGTCGAGTACGTCTGCGCACTTGAGTCACGTGTACGTCGAGGTGGAACTTCAATAATACTTCCTATACACAGACATGTATTACGTAAAAATTAAACATTTTGCTGTTCTCTGTTGTGTTCTTTTATTAATCATACATATGAATCATTACCATTTGACACGAATCCGTGTCATCACTAATATTTTAATTAGAATAAATCTACTTAACAGTTAAGTAAATTGACCTATTTAGGACATATTTGAATTGAGGCGAAATTAGTGATTCCGAAAAAGTCACGTGAAGGGTGAAGAAAGCCATTGTTGTAAGAGAAGAGGTGCGCCTCTAATAAGCCTGGATATATTTAAATCTATTCAGCTGTAAAGATCAACCCGAATTTCCTTTACAATATGCACTAATTCCCACAGAAAGTTCCCAAGACAAAATTGTCGTGCAGTAAGGTCAACGTAACAAAAAGCCCGCAAAATGCTATTTACACACTAGTGAAAAATTACTAAAGGATTTAAGCTCTAAAAGCCGTAAATCTATGCACTGTTTCCTAATATTAATTAGTGGCGTATACACGTAAGATCCTTAGAATAAATAATACAGCATAAGGTCGTCAGTTTAATCACCTAATTAAGATTACGATGTACAAATCGACCTACTGACCTTCTTGATTTTGGTTGAAAGGCGAGGAAGGCTGAAGAAGCCCAGTTGTCGGACCTTGCGAAATTTGGCGGCGCGGCACAAGTTGGCTTACAACGCTGTCTGGCATTTCATAATAACCCTTAAAAAGTTCACCCTGACGATGCCCCTTTGAGCCGTCTTCGTTATAAGGTCCCTCGAGAAGAGGTACGTTCCGTTCACTGCCATCGCACTTATAATTAAACATAAACAAATTACCACGAACACATTTAGCTTTGGAGGATTAGACTCCGGAGGTTCAGGACTAGAGCATTCCAAGCAGACTACTGAAATGTTCACTTTAATTGCTTTTCTAACAAGTATTTTTTTAAACGAAGGATAGTAACTCTTGGCCTTACAGGTATGAGTGGCACGCTTTTGTCGACCATGGCTGGTAGAGCATAAATTTCTGCTGCGTCGGGCTGTGTCATATCTGATTGAGATGATGATGCTACATTCCCGACATACAAGGCAGGAAATAGCAGGCTTTCATCCCACTCTGACATCAAATACCTTCTCCATGTATTGCGCAGAATCCTTCAAAAAAATAACCAGACCGACACCCAATAAAAGGAGTTCTATATAGTTATTCGTCTCACACAAACTACGTGAATTGACTGAATCGATCCTGCAAAGTTCAGATGAATTTTTAAAGCTCATGGCATATGCATGTCAAGGTCGGGCATCACCAGAATCATTAAAGCAATCTATGTTCTTATGCAAATATTAGGAAAGTATAAATATAAAATGTTAATCACCTAGTGCCAATATCGTCCATAGTCCTTTGTGCTAGTGACATGAAGGGCAGCCTTCGAAGGTTTGAATGTGTATCTCGCGGGTCATCAATTAAATAGAGCGCAACGATAGGTGAGTCGAAATCCATTTCCCAAAGAAAATCACCCGTCTTTTTAGCGAATGTCATCACTCGACCGCGCTCGGACGATGCAAAGTGTGCCAGATCTGTAAAAGAACATGAGTTACATAGGTACCTGGATTCGATATTTTATGGAACCTTATCAATTCCATATGACCCTGTAGATCGTTTGATAATATGGAAATTCCTTCATGGACAAAATGCATCATTTACAAGTCTCTTAGCCAAAATCATATCGTAGAAGCGCGTGCACGATTTTACATACATACACCTATAATGGAGTCTTGCCTCTCATTTACTAATGTGATATGCACATCGGTCGCACCTAGGAAGATCTCGTTGAGAGGAACGAGCATTAGATTTAAATTAACAAATAGTCGGACAATGCACGACGCCAATGGTCGTGACAGATGTGCCAATGGTTTTATAAAACAGAACGAGTTGAGGGGGCAATAGATAATTGAACAAACCCCAAGGGTCACAGGACTAGCTTCCACTCACCATATTCTGCGTGAGCGACCTCTAGAATATTGGCTGCCGTTGCAGCGTAGTCATAATATGTGGCATTCCATCGTCGCTCGCCTGTGGCTGCGTCGAACATCGCGATATGGTACTCACTGCGACCGATATACGCAAGACCAGCTCTACCTTGAGGACAAACCGAGTCTGAGCCGTGAAACGAAATTGTCTCTTTCTTTTGGCCTGACGCTAGATCAATAGCAAACCTGACAGATATAAGAACGACATCTTTGTTACTAAAGACAAAATTTTTTTGGCTGCAAGCCAGGACTCTGCTGGGAATTGACCTCTCTTCTCATTTGTGCATGGTAGATAATCTAGTACCTCTTATCGTACATTTCGAGGGCGCCAGTGCTATCTTAAGTCTTGGGCAAACTTAAATCAGTATAACTGGCTTGAAAGCGACGGTCACGCGCAGCTTGATCACATCGATTTGATAAAGAAAATAGTAAGACACTCTCTGTATTTTTATTTCAATTTTGGTATACCATACGTCACGCTTTTGCCCCGTATAGAGCATTCCATCGGACGACCGACAAGGAGATGCTGTAACAAGTTCAGGTATGGTGAAGGGAAGCTTTTTTATGAACGGCGTACGAGAGCGACCGCTCGTGCTACTGCCAGCACCATGATCAGCTTCATCCTGTGATAAAAGTATATACAGAGAACCATCCTTCGGATCCGGGAGGAAGCCGGCTCCCCCAGGCGAAGTTGAGCTACTGAATGGAACCTATAATAGGCACAAGGAAATGTTAGAACACCAATGCATCTCCAGCCTTACAGCATTTAAAAAGATAATATAGAATTATGATATTTTAAATGACTCGAAATTCAAAACTCGCCGTTACACATGAATGAACCAATTAGCTCTGTTTAAGCATTCTTAGTCTCGCCTAAGTTTTCAATTTGTTGAGCTCGATCGTGAACTTACTTGGCCTGCCAACACCATTTGCTTGGCTTTGTTAGGATATGTCCAATACGATATAAATTGTTCAGATATATTTATTATATATCTTCAGTTATTTTGTGACTGACGCACCTTGAGCACAGGATTCTCTCTGATGGACCACTGTATAACACCTGTGTTCTTATCGACAGCCGCTAGCTCGCCATTAAGCATTGATACCAACAAAATAGGGTTCGATTGAGTACGTGAAACGTTCGATTTTACGTCTTTTCTTGTCGCTGCTGGTGAAGTAGCAGTTTTCTGTAAAAGAATGCAAAAATAATCAAGTCTTTAGTAAAAGCTAATACATCCTCCAATACTTACACAAAAGTTACAGCATAGGTAAGATTTTCAAAAACTTTTCAAAATGTTTACATTGTCAAAAACTGAAAATAGAATATATGAACACCAAATGTTTAAAACCAAGTATTGTTACTTAGATCCGTGTTTGGTGCCTGACCGTACGAAGATATCGACTCCGACTATATCTAAAACAGTCGTACCACTTAACCAGAAGTTATGAAGATTTCTCCGAACTAAATCGTTAACGCTTAAGCCTGATGGGAGGTTTTATTCGCGTATACATGAAATAACATAAATAGATCTGAAATGATCAGCTCATATCCACTCCATTGGTATGTTCCATGGGGTCGTAAAATATCGGTCTGGGTTGAAAACTTCATCATGCCAACGGCGTTGAAAGTAGTAAATGACACTTCGGCAAATGCCATTGAGTACCTGCGTCGTAATGAAGAATGAATCAGTCTAAATTAAAAAATCCATATCGTCTTGTTCTCTATTGCATAGAAGACAGAAGAAGTTTTGACGTACGCATTATCTGCCGTTGTTTTCTCTGCATTAAGCACAAGCATTGCGTTTATTTTTTCCTGAAACTTTTTCATAATGACCTAACCTTTTAGGAAAAATCGTATCACAGAAATCCCTTGCCCATCGACAGTCCCGATCATAAGTAACTGATCGGCACCCTCCTGAGAATGCTTTTTCTGCCCATTTATAAAAGTATATCAGATCATAAAAGGCGATACATTAATAGTAATACCGAGTGAAAAGTCAAAAAAAACTATGTTCCCGTCCTGTACTGCCGTTAAGCGTTGCTTCGACCAGTGGGCTCTTAAAAGGGAACAAAGTATGCTTTCGCCCGATTTCAAACTTAGACCTCCTCATTTAGTAGGAAGACGTGTTAACACTGTACGGTGACGGGTACGCGAAAAGAAAGTGAAAAAACAGGAACAGGTTGGCATCTAGCACATTTTAAAATACATCAAGCAAAAGAAACAAGGGTAGCTTTTATCGTATAATTTGTGTTAGAACTTGCCTGAAAGGCTGAGAAACGAGGTTCGCTACCACATATATTCTTAGCTAAGGGTGCCTAATTTGAATAGAACTGGAAGCAGCATCAGATAGGAATAGCCCGATGGTACAACACCCGGGTCATACGACGGATGCATTAAAATTTCCTATATAAGTTCTTTCAGTTTTCGCCGGTCAGATAAACATGTATGTGATCCAACGTTGTGATGGTGAAAGGCGACGCCTCTTTTGTTCTTAGTTCTGACGGTTTTTTTAAATACCTTGTTATAATCTTGTTAGATTTTGACAGTAAGGGTAAGTAATAAGTAAATTATGTCAATCGTTTTATCGTCTGGCGCCAGTCTGGCTTTGCCACAGCTACATAACTGCACATTATTGTTATATGTTATCGACTTTTCTCACCCGTGATCAGCTACTTTAAGTTTGGCTCAATTTGGTTGCGTTTGTGTAAGATTTCCTGTTTTGGGTAAATCCGTGTAGTACCCAAACAACGGGCTTCTTTGTAGCCACCTGTTTCAACTGATTTCAAAACTATTCAGTGGTAGATGTTTAAATCATGGGGAGATCGTGGCTACTGATGTGTCGGTGTTGCTCAACTTCCGTAACGGTTTTATCAGCAACAAAAATTTTATCAACTGCTTAACCACTACGAAAAGCATCTTTCATATCAAAATTTTTGTATAAAAAAATGGTGAAAACTCTTTTTGGGGCGTTTCATCCGATTACGCAGTTGATCAAAAACAGCGCAATTTCTGTTTATGGGCTTGGACAGCATACTTTTAGCCTTAATAGTTTAACTGTAAAAAACGCGCATATTTGCATACATTTTACTGATGTTCAAGGCGTTCTACCTTAAGTATAAATGAAGGCATTCAAACAGTTTCATCGCATCTACTACTGCTTTCAAATGACACCGACCGGCACGACGCGATTCACTACCTAGGAACTGTAACTTTAAAGTTAATTAGCTTGAAAAAGAGTCAATTTTGACTTTTTCAATAACTCGAATTATTAGTGGCGCAAATCGTATGCTAGCAATAAATTCTAAGCACATGATGTGCTTAGAATTTATTTCTAGAATTGCATCTAAACAGATACGGACTGTTGAATGAAACGGCATATTCTACAGGTATCATTCCAAATGATTATGTTAATTTTCATATAAACTTCTCCATTTCTAAGTTGAAATTTTATGTTAACACCGTTAATTTTTAATTCGGGATCTAAACTACTCATTAGTTACTTTCAGAATTATTCTTTAAATTATCTAAATGCACAAATAACTTTATCACAGTAAGCGTGCCTCAAGTGTTGACCCAATAAAGCGTCGCTCAAGTATATTCAGCAAAAAAAAAACAACGAAATTAAATGTTGGCCTGGGCCAAAAAGCCCAGAAGGTTCAAAAAGGCGTAAAAGTGGCGCAATCATCGAAAGATACTTTTTTTTTTTTTTTCGAAAATGGCTGCTAACGTCTGTAGCGAAAATTCGAAATAATCAGAAAGAGAGTTCCAGATCATTTAAATTCGAGCTTTTTCAAGCTGAATCATGTTGAAGATTTGTTTCATTTTTTGCTGTTATACCTCTTCATTGAATTTGCCATTTGAATATTGCCAATAACGTGAGCGTTCGTTCCAGGTGATAACTCTGATGGAGGTTCGTCCCGTGTTTAGAAACTAGATAAAAGCTGATCTTCGCGAACGAGATGCACGAGGTTTTTGTCATGGTGAGTTTTCTCTTAAAAACAATTGGCTTTTGTATACTACAAAGAATAGCGCATGAGCAGAGGTCTACCATGCAAAGTGGGTCAACAAAACTTACTAAAATTCAGACGGGACACCTGGTATATGCAGAAGATATACTTATTTCTTCACACCTGTAATGATTGCAATCCGTTCTCTTACAAGGATTGCCCAGAGACAAAAACTGAAAAGACACTTATATACTGTAGCAAGAATGAGCATAGGATTTAGAAACCGTGAGGTTCTACTTCCTATCAGCCAACAACAAAGCTAAGGCAGTCCGCTTCATTTGGATAGCACCGGTGGAGTGGTTGACGGCGTAAAAGAGGTAGATTTAGAGTCGCCCGTAGCGAAATTTGACAATAGAATGGACACAGAATGGGCTGAGAAATACGAGCGGCCTGCGAGGGAACGGCGATGGTCGTCGAACCCAGTTGAGGGAAGCGCTTAGATATCTGCGAAGAGTAGCTCGCGTTCGGTTCGATTTGACGTCGATGCAGAAAAGACGTGAGAGAACTTTAAAGAGAGGATGTATGAGCACTTTCGTTTAGAGAAGGTTGACTTGCTGGAACAGTCCATCTATCGTTATAGGGAAATACGCACGATGTTCAGTAAGGTCGTGAGCCCCAGGCGGTCTTTCCTAGATGGGCTAGTCGTAATTCTAGTTCAGTGTGTTCTTACATAGCATTCTAAAGACAACGATGTGAGCACCTTTCGCGGACTTGCCTACCGCGGTAAGACTCCTTGAGTTCGTCTGGGGTCATGCAAGATTATACACCGGAGAAATATGGCACTTACGGTGGGAGCGTCCCAAGCTAACTGTCTTAGCTCGGCATTGAAAAACACTATCAGGCTTAACGACGGGACTGCGGCTTGAATAACTGGTCAGGCCACAGAATCGTTCTCCACAAACCTTTATAACGGTGCGGACCTCGCGGAGCTACTGACGAGACATCTATGGCCACAAGTAACCAATGAACTCCAAGAAGGTTAAAACATGGGCAATTTCTTACATAAACAAAGCTCCTTTTACCGTTCTCGCGCAAAAAAATGGCTTCTGAAATTGCAGGCAACCGAAGCTTTGCGGTGTTCTTTAAATGTAACAAGGTCATCGAAGCGCAAAGATAATTTCTACGCCTAATGGCATATTATTTTTCGGACAAAAGGATTTGGGTGAAGGATTTGGGTGAAGGATTTGGGCTAACGCACCTACGTACGTAACGCAGCTATAACGTGTGCTAACTTGCGGGAGGACAATAGTCGTCGTGATCGCTACGTGTTACTACCAGGCCGATGAAAAAATGCTTCAAGGCGACCGGAGAGTTAGCCCTGTGGATCTGTTGTGGATTCGTGCCAGGCACCCCCGACGACATCGAAATCCGTTAGTTATGGTACCCGCTAGTCGATTTTGGAAACCATAATGGAGATGCGCTTGCAACGTATCCGTATGGACCGCGAAACGTTCTGAAGTTAAATGTCCTGGTCGCAGGAATATATCAACTGCAGGACAAGAACATTCCTCGAGATTTGCGTAATATACCATCGTTGTGATAAAATTTCATATACGTTATTTATGCGAAAGCGCTAGACTCTGTTAGCCAATGACAAAGCTAAATAACTCCGCTTATAGATTTTTTTTCGCGTTTTATCGCTATTTGGTCAGCTTGAATGTTTATTCATTTTATCTGAATCGTTGTGTACCCCGTTTCCGTTTGCGACGATACTTCTCCTGATCTGACTGGAAGACAGCGATAATCGAGATTAAGGGTGACGGACTAATAAAGAAACAAAATAACTCATTGGTTTACCAGTCCTAAAGCAGTGCCAAATCAAAAATAAGCTATGTTTTGTGAAGCTAAATTGTTGCAATACATAACCACCTAAGAAGAGTGCAACTCAGTTGACGAGGGACGCGTATTAATTAACAAATTAAAGTGGAGCGCTCCATTTCCGCACGCGTTGCATCACACGTCGATATTGTCAGTGTATTATATATAGTAGCTTTTTAGACAGAATTTAGGATTTATTGGCATAACGCTTCATTCAAACAAAACTCTATTAGCAATATATGCACAACACTGCGGAAAACTTCGAACAAGGATCAAAAATCGCCAAGGACGGACAACTGTTTATTCCAAAGCCACGCAGAACCATCATTGTTAGACAAGACTTCGTGTGGTAAAGTTGACTCCGGAGAACGGTACGTACATTCTTACGGTTCTCACCTCTCGGGTGAGATGAAATTCGTCCGCATATTAATACTGACGTCACGCAACAGTTGGCTTTATACTGCATAGCAGAGCCTGTTTACGAATCATAACCTTTAACATGCTTGGGTTTATAACAAATCTAAAACACCGTCTCTTCCAGCCATAATCACAGCCTTTTATAATAAAAAAAAAAAAAAGAAGGAAGAACGTATTTTCCTATTAGTTTGATGTAACTGACCGATACTAGCGATCGAGAGTGATTGTTGACATTAGAATCTGTTGCTTCACTTACTTGGAATATAAGTAGTAGATATAACTCTTCCCAGGATATCGGACATTTTGCGAGCAACAGCTCCAAGTTTTGCCAAGCACTGATAGTGAACTGGTTTTGAGGTGAAACTAGTTCATATAGTGTTTTATTATAGTGGAAAAACGCATAGACTTGACAGCCAAGCTTTAAATACCACAGTAAAAAGTAGCAGTAATATTAAACAGGCCAAAATCAAAGGACATAAATGCGGTTGTAACGAATTTGTTGTAAACCCATAGTGCTACATGAAAAATCGATGAAATTCAAAGTTCCTTTAAGACAGTCGGCTTCACTGGCCTACTCGCATCATTGATTTAACATGATTGAGTTCGCTTGGCTTGTTCATTATGACAGCGATGTTTGTTGAGAGTTATGTTCCATCGGCACACATGAGCTGATTAGTTTGCTAACTGTGCTTATTCCTGTACCTGAATTACTCAATTATTACTGTGCCGACAGTCATCTCATGTCGGCGGCCAACAGATTGACAGAAAATTCTTGTCTGGTCGTCATTTCTGCCAACGCCTGTGCGAGTAATCGCATCAATTTGAACTCGTTGCGATTAATCACTCAAAATGTTTATTTAGTACAAATAGTGTTTTCACACGGTTATTTTAACGTTCAACAAATGAACACAAGAAATCAGTCCTTCGTAGTAGAGGACAACGATTGCTTAAAAGTCTGCATACCTGTTTTAGTTATCTCTGGTCAAGCAGCGAGACTTTTCAAAGCATCTTCGTCGATATCATTTCCTCGTACAACTGGAAGCTTGGTGTTATTGGCACAAATAGTAGATAGGCGTTTTTTTTTTAAATAAATTGTGGGATATGAATTATCGTCACGCTTCTGACATGGTCAACTTGCACCCGGATACCAGTCAACAAGAAAGAAAGGCCGAAACGATGGGTTTATTTCTATTAAAATAGCAAATTACCAAATGTTTTCTACTCGATAACGTTTTTTAACTGAGAATTATAGCACGTTTGCCTCTTCAATCTGTCTCAAATCTATCACTGTACATTAATATGAAAATTGGAAAGTAAAAGGCCACAATTTATCACATCTGTACAGCCTTATCCAAATGTTTTGCCTAGTAGAAATTTTATTTCCCTGTAAATATTATATATACAATCAAATTACCTTAGGTTTCGTTACGGTTATCATTTACTGTATAATGAGACCGTAAGAGCATTATCTGCTAAAGATGAAATATCTACAGCGACATAGACAATGGAAAAGATGATGCATTTGAATGTGTATCTCTGTTATTTAGTTTGACATACATTAACTCACGGTTCTTATTTTGATCACAGTTATATACATGGTGAAATACACATATATATATGTGTGTAAACTCTACAATATGAGTCATCATTTTATACGCGCAAAGTGCGAAAAGCTGATGGAGTGTACGGACCAGGCATGGCCAATACACGATTTGCATAACGTCCGCTGATCGTTTCCATCGACAACGTGCGATATTCTTTATTTGTGATTCTGGTTTAGGCTATCGCTGTCGAACGTAGCGCTGAGTCACTGATCACTGATACAAATAGACTATGTTCATCAAAAAAAAAATGTTGCTCTTAAACGCCTTGGTAGACGGCTGTGAGATGAGGAAATCGTGACTTATGTACAAAAAATGAAATATTTTTAGTTGACAAAATGCATTGACAAGAACATAACACTAAGGACATCAGTAAAGCCTTGAACGCTGTCAAAGACCGTCATAGACACAGAAAAAAAAAGTGACCATTCTGCGCGAAAAGCTAGCATTCTAGGAATCACTAGCAGGCATACCCAGGAATCAGAAATAAGGTCGTATATTTAAAAATAAAGGACTGGTTCCCTTAACACATTGGAATTACTTGTGATTTGGCCAACAAGCCTTTCCCACGCGTTTTGATAATGTACCCACCTGTTCGGCCGCGGAAACGTGTCCGGTGCAGAGACAAATGACCAATACTTGTACGAGAGCAATTTTTGTGAATGACATCGCGGTTCCACGAAATAACGCCATGTCTTTACGAAGCCAAATTCCTGTTTTTCTGAAAGGCCCGCGCTGGCGATGTGGCATAGGTCTTGTTGCAACGACCGAACCCATTTTTCGTCTTAACACGTTTCTAGTTGATAAGTTTCACCTACCCTGCATCGCGGAATCTTGACGGATCGTAGGGCAATCTTCTCCGGGTTAGAAAATCCACCCCAAAACGCGTTTTCTCTCTAACTTTGGACGAACGTAGCGCCGGCGCCCAGACGTGGGACAACGTCCCGCGCACAAAGCGCTGCACTCCAGTACAGTCGACTGTCACACCCACGGTTTGAAAAACAAAAATTTTGATAGTTCACGGTAGTAACACAAATACACGCACACACACATACGCACACACTACCAACAATAACAACAGCAACAAAAACCTCTCACCCCTCTCACCAGATTTCCAGTCTACGGCCGGTTCATCACTAGCGCTTAGCTGCAATCTTTTGTCGTCGCGGTAATTCGCACGATCTAAAGTGCTGCCAGTTTTGGCGGAACGTACTATGACAGTCATTGGCCGTACTAGCGGCTGGAGATAATGCCGAAAATGTTTTTCGCGTATTGACAAATGCTGTTGTTTTTCCTAATCGAAATCGAACCGATTCCATTCGGCAGAGTGACTCACACAGCAGATCTGCTATGTAGCATAGCTCCTACCTTGTCGAATTTTTGGAAATTATTAATCAATTTTCTTTTATAGTGGCTTTTACTGCTGCATATTTTTATCGTTTGAAGTATTGTCTTTGCGGTTATTTTGATGGTTGCATGTTGCATTGAAGTTTCTCTGAGAGACTGTCACGTTAGATATTCCCTCTGGTATTATCATATATATGACCGAAGTGAATCTTCACGTATCATCACCGTGTTGATTTCCAATAACAACGGGATGTTGTTCCATTCTCCAGGAAGTTTATTCACTCGTATCGATGCGTCCTACTATTCTACCCAGTAACAGTTCATTGAGTTGAAAGTTTTCGTCAAGGAGCTTGCCATACACACGCACGCACAGGACACATACACACGCCCCGTAAACAGTTCATTTGATTTTCATTATCCCTCGTGTCTACTTCGAACTAAAACCAAAATCATTGCAGCAGCAAGACACACATCTAATGCCATACACTTCAGTGGTGAGAAAATCTCTCTGATGTGAGTGTTACTCTTCCGTTAGTTCGTCTACCGAATTGGTCCAGAGGCAAATATTCCCCCAGAATCTCTCGTAGATGGCACCAGCGCTACTCGAATTTTGTGCGACACCTGTCGAATAACTGTACACGATCAGCACCGCATCTAATAAAGCACCGAAGACAGTCTTTGCCGCTGCTAATGTTGTCAACCGCTGTTATGACTGACTGCGACAGCATCGATCTGTGGCGAGAACATCAGACCGCCGATGTATGTCGCTGGTCGACATACGCTGCCTGTGACAGTCTCTTTTTTCTCTAGCGGTCCTCGTACACAACTGACCGACTGTGGCAATTAATACAGTTGCCTTCGGTTTTTTCCTTCCCTCTAACACCGCTTGTTATCACAGCAACATTTCTCTAGAGTCAATTTGCAGAACACAATTACTGATCATGAGCCAGACAAACGGCAGATGCAGGACACGCGAAGCAAGGTACATCGACGGCGAGAGTCGCTCGTTGCGGTCCAAACGAGTCTCCTTGTACAACAACAATGTTACTACGGCTGCGGCTGCTGCTGCTGCTGCTGCTGCTGCTACCCACTGCGATCAAGAGTGTGCGAAACAGCTGTTTAGCTACAGAGAATGGTGGATCAGTAGAGGGAGTCGGAGGTAAACAGATAGACAGATAAACAAAACAAAGTAGCGGGTAAATTTGAATTTTCAAATAGGACGACTACGGCACACGCGGCGATAGTGGTCTGATGGGTAAAAGTAGGAAAAAAGTTATGGGGTCTTATCGATTAGTCGCCTAAATATAAATAAATAAGCATGCAGTACAAGAAAAATACACGAAAAAATTACTTGTTAGGTGCAATCTAAGAAACAGTGTTGCAAATAGCTTTGTAAGCGCTTCCTATATTCGTGGGCGGACCGTAGAACCCCGAAGCGCATAATGTTGCAGTTTGCCTGTTGGGCCTGTTCTTTAGCAAAATGGTCACCCATCGTTATAAAACGTACCTACGAAAGTTTTATTGTAGTTATTAATGCACACATGATACGAAATATCTACTTTGGATTAGTAGTACTGGTAACCTAATTCATTTTATTAACAGCTCTCTAAGTACAAATCTGCAGGTGTTCGTATAGTAATCAGAGTATCAAGTATGATCAAAGGTTACAATATTGATCCAGTGGGAATACACGTAAAGCCAGTAATAACATGAGAAGAACAGGTTAGGGATTTCCGGATTGCTATATCAGCTTGCACGCGTATAAGTGGACTTCTTAAGTATTAGCCTGAATACTATGAACAAAATCTCTTAAAAGTAAATGTTCTTAATCTCATAGGACCGTGCTATAAATGTGCGTAATCATGACATATTTATTAGCGAAATGTTATACTTTTCAGATTGTTGCCATTTTAACCCTTATCAACAATGATCCTTGCCAAAAAAAGGGCGACCGTACATAAGGCATTAGCTAAGATCAAAATAATTTTAGTTTATAAATATCCGCTAGGATATCCCCGCGCTAACTTCGTAGGTAACCTCTTTGCCTGCTAATCTTAGAGACACTTGTGGTTTGGGTTCGAACCCATAGGGCATAGACAGACATGCTTCATTTCGTGATGGCTGGAAGCTATTTAGCCAGCCGTCTGTTTGATGTACTGAATGTCTAATAGCGATACCGGACTTAAAACTCGAAACATAAAGACTAAGGAACTGTCGTCTGCTAAATCCACGACTGGCATGAAAAACTCACAGCAAATTTATTATTTGTCTAAGAATCGGATTACAAATCATTATAAGCCAATTTTTGAGTTTTCCGTTCCATTAAAGTGACCTGCTCTTATCTACCTTACGCTTCGACACTGAATATTTTCCTTAGCAGACTACAAAGCATTTTGAACGGTAAATTAACTTTTGTCTGCGAGCTTGAAGGTGCTATTTTTTTTTACTGTTGTTTCATTACTGTTTCGTGTGATCGCAGCACTTTAGATGTGTACAAATAACATAATGCTACCTTAATATGATAACCTGATAGTCATAAAGGAAGGTCTAATTTTTACCCTACAAAAAGTTATGATAATTTTCAATGCTAAACATAATAATATCACTCAACGTGCGTACGTATCATTATATAGCAGGCAAATATTCCCTGCATAAAGTAATGCTTTTGAATTGAGACGATTCTATATGTAGTGCTCAGTATGCCAGGCATCGCTTGAACTAAAGGTACAAAAAACTAGAACATCAATATGTTTCAATGTTAGATCAGTTAAAATTTATAATAAAATGTCGGTTTTGAATAAATTCGAATTAAACGTACCAACCTACTCCGCGGTCTAAAGACAGTTTGCACTAGATGGCAAATGGAATTTACTGAAAATTTTTATTACGTAATATTAATCGGATTTCGGAAACATGAATTCAATTGTTACGCGTAAAACTATGTTTTATGTGTGTTATTGTCAAACGGCGGAAGAAAAAGCCACCGCTAACGAAGTGGACTGATTAACAGTGAGTATAATCGCCGTGTTCGTCGGCACAGGGTTGCTTCAAGAAGCATCGAATCAGTTAAAAATCTACTGATATTTCCTGAAATTTTAGACAAGTGTATTAAACATGTGGCAGCCATTTCTCTTTTCAATCATGTATGATTCTGCGTATATCTAATAATGTGTAGTCTAGGAACATCGATGTTTAACCGATTTGTTGACAACAAATCAGAGAACGCGTTTCGGAGATTTCACGAAAACGTGTTCTGCTTTCACTTTCGCGCGTCTCTATTCGGGTAATCTAGATAGCACGCGCGGATTACCTACATAAACAAGTGTCTCGAGTTTGATAATGCATCCATCACCGAAGGCGGGGAAACTTCTAGATGCCCATCCAATACCAACCAGCGCCTGTGTTGGGAGTTAAAGCAGCAGGCAGTTGAGCAAGCATGCGAGAGATCTGCGCGCGTTTGTGGGTGACTGTTGCGCTGCGTGGATAAGACCGGCCACGAGCCGACTCACCTCTGCGTTGAGAATTCCGTACAGTGATGCGAAATTTATGTCACCGACTCTTTTTGCCAGACTATCTTGCAGCTGCGCCGGTTACTTTACGTTGTCTTCGCACGTTTTTCGTTGCGGTCGTCGCGGCGCTGCTGTGCCTCGTAGCGCTCCTATGGCGACAAGAGCGGCAGTAGCAATAACAATAATTCTACTTTGTCCGTTCTGCTACGACCGCTACGACGATTGTGGCGTGGAGTGTTGATCGGGCAGACCTGCAGACCGCCGAGTTGCAGATTGGCAGAACTCTGCTGTGTGTTGTGGTGTTCTCTGTGCCCGTTCAGCGTGTCTAGCCGTTCGGTTAAGCTTATAGTACTAACTTTTTCATCAGTTTACCGCCGCTGTTGTCTCGTTGTCTGCCTGTTTGTCTGTTCGTGCGTGTAGGCAAGTGGGACGAGGCCAGAAGTTTACGCTGCGTGTATTATTTGCTTACCTAGTTTAGCGTCGCGGTGTGCTACGCTGTGCGCCGCTACTGCTGTTGTGTGCGCGAATCGTCGTGTTGTTCGGTCAATAACTTTACAGCGGCTTTAGACACACTATATCAGCCCTTCATCCAGCGTTGCACTGATCGTCTTTATCTCGCCGATTGCAAAAGGATTGTCTGTGGTAACTATCGCATGAGTGATTTAGTGTAAATACGTTGAGAGTGCGCGATCCAGTTAGTGCCTCTTGTCAATCAGTCCTAGTCGAATTCGCAGATTCGTCAAACTCTTCGTGAAGTGATGTATTTTGTAGCGAAAACTCCGAATGGAGTGATCTCCAAGACTCGTTTCCACGGTAAGTATCTAAATCGATTAATCATAACTAGTCATAGAAACTAGCGATGGAAAGTTTTTTTTTTTCACGAGTAAGTGGTTATGTCCGTCGATAGCACTTAAGGGCAATCGGTCAGCAGTAGCGATACATTTAGGTGGCTGACTAGCCGTTTGGGGCCGCGCTAACGGCGGCTGTCGACCGTCCTGAGGGAGGACACTGCTGAAGGACATTGGCATCATCGAGCTACCTTAATATTTGATATCGCTGCTATCGGTGTGCCGAAGTGAGCACGCCATAGGAGTGTACCATCGTTGCACATGTGGTGCTCGCATCGCGTAGAGCGGTCATCAAGACAGGACAAAGACAATGAAACATGCAATAGCGATTGCATGCGAGATGACAACGCATATATCCGATGTGTATGTATGTATGTGTAGAAAGGTAATTGGAACAGCAGCAGTATACAACATAACAAAGGGAGCAAGAAAATTGAAATTTATACTATTTAAGTATGTGATGCTGATAACAAGCACGCTGAACGAAACGTTTCGTGTAAAAACGCCTACAAAATATAAGAGGTAGATGTCATGGCATAAACAGTATGTGCCTCATAGAATGTTAAATATCTTGTGAGCATTATACATCTCATTAAAGCGGTGGGATAAAATAGCCTATAAAACCTTTTTAAGTTGACTTCTATTGCACTAATGTGTTAGTTTTATCTAACAGATCGCACAAAATAATCTTCATTTTAAAAGAACGCTCCAGATACACCAAGGAATGATATGTCGAACTTTAAAAAATCAACAGTATGTTAGGTGTACTTCCGATTGTATCCGGTTAGTATTGACGTGTATGTACCTTGTATGCGCGTGTATATCTTCGTTTTTCGGATAGAGGTGTCATGGAGATTCTTCCTGTTATTAAAAGCTATGAGCTAAAGCTAAGTGTTCTAATCTAGAGCTAAGCAACTAATTCATGCTGACTAAAGGTCAATTGGCGATAGTATAGTAATTGTTGCAATTATTATAGAACATAATCCGTCTGTTGCGCTATAAGCGTCGGTCAGTCTGGCAACTGGTTCGTAAACTAATTGGTTTGTAGAACGAATGGGTTTGTTGTTAAAAGCCTGCTTAAAGTAGAGGCGTTTTGGATCTTTACTTAGCCTCTTTACTATTTCTTTTTATTGCTTCTAGTAGCGGTATAGTATAGCAGTAGTATATTTTATCGTCGTGCTACAGTTTAACTAATCCGGAATATTTCGGCTATGTTTGTACGGCTATCACTTTGTCCTGAGCTTTTTAAAACCTAAACATTATCATTATTATTTTCTTTTTACCAGGTCTCAGTGGGCTAGGAAAATTCAGTAATAATTCGGCGCGAATTATCGAATCCATTTCACCACCAAGCGGATCGCGTTCGCCCGAGGATGCTATTCGCCGAAGTCCAAGCGTCGAAAGTATTACCTCGTAAGTATATTAAAATCTGCATCTTAACAAAGCCGCCAGTTTACTTTTGTACCGGTCGAGTTGCAACACGTTTTTGTTGAAATCTCTGATATTTAAGAAAGAAGGTCGTTCATGTTTACGCAAGGGCATACTGTACACAATACTTTTATGGCGGCTCTGAGCAATGACTGCATAATACTCAAGGAACTTTTTACATGGTGTGTTGGCGTATTTTATTTAATTCTAATATTTAAAGCGCAATGATGGAACCCAGTTAAAGATAGTTAGTTACCATTAGAAATTGCTTTATTGTTATGTAATAAGTTCGCGTCATGATGGATTACGCATCTTTTGGGCTAACTGTTAATGTCTCGTTTTCTTGGACATGTCATATATTTCAAAAATAAGGGGGTAGAAGCCGGGAATAACTACCACGGATCGCGCGCGAGTCTTGTACGCGAGTTGGCATTATTGGCATCGAAGAATCCACGTGTACCGAATTAGCGAACACGCTTGTCCTGGTAGCGCTGGTTAGTCTTGTTTACCTCGCCATCGCCGTCATCATCAGCACGAGAACGAAAGTTGGCTCGCGAATTTTTGCTTCGTCATTCGAGACAAATGCCAAGACGCAGACTCTCGATTCGCCACAACGGAAGCAGTGTCTCATGTCTGCGCCGCCTTACGATGACTTTTCCGTTCCCGCTAATGCATCGGCAGCTATCCACTGGGCAGTAAAGATCGACCTAATGCAAATTGTTAAGTTGAGCAATACACTCTTGTCCATAGGGTACATCTGACGATGAGCTTTATCGATGCCCTATTTTCTGTGCGCACTATATTCTTCGGCGCCAGTAAAATAACAACAGCAGCAGCAGCAGTCCACAGTTAACGCAGTTGAGCAAAAACCAATGGTGTACAAGCCCAATGGCAAGCCCGGTTTGATGGCTCGAATTTTATTGAGGTACCTATATGACTAGGCAAATGATCAATCCAATAGAACGATAATGACTATAAAGATTAAATAGATTCTCAATGCCAACATACGAAACGCAGCGCGTTCTATAAACCAGCCATATATCTAAATCAATGTTTCAAGTACTTACGTACGACGCTGCCGCTAAGTGTTGTTCCATATAGTTGATTCTAAGACGAAACGAAGTGTATTTGCGTCCAGTTCATGTACCTACTCTACCGGCGTTGCAGCAAGATTCCCGTACTGTACAGCAGGTTATTTGTCTTGACACATCTCTATTGCGCCGCTGAATTATCAATACTTGCTCCAGAGGCACGGTACCATCACTTCAACAAACAGACGGCGTGTTCGGCTAATCTCTGTAATTGAACTGACTCCGGAGTTCTTAGGTTTCTCGAAGGCTATTATATTCTAATCGTCGGTGCTTCCCGGAACGAAGTCGGCATCCGTAGACGCCTCGATGCTCCGGCTGGAAAGATCGCGAAGCGCAAAAGCTCATTGTTTTTCCTTAGCTTTCAGTTTTCTTTAGTACGTATCAACCGAATGATCGGAGTTTTGGAATAAGTTTTCCGATTTTGAATCTAATACAGAAAACAGACATATCTAGTTCTCTCACATGTGGTTTACAGGTGATTTTTCACGCAGTTTTCCATCAGTGTTCGTGTATGCGAATATGATTGCATAGATAGGATGTGACAGAAAAGCCTATTATCATATTGAGACGTTAACATTTGATTAATTTCGTATGGGGAATAATCACGGAATCAGCTGGTGGGTATCATAAATTAGCAAAAACAGTGTAAGCGATTATGAATTTACAAAGCAAGCATTTTAAAAGAACTAATTACTGCGTAAAAATGTCATCTGCTCAGAATTAACAAAGTGGCCCCGTGGAGACCTGTGAGGATCGTTGAGTTTGCGATTGAGATGGCTGAGCTACTTCAATCCAACTGTAAATATCCTACTGAAGTGCATGATGCACAGCCCGTAAATAGTTAATTTTGTTTTCTATATATGTCCATTGTATTTATAGGTTAGAGTCACTTGCGTTGTCGGGATCTCTAGTCAGAGTTTAGTATCAGGTGCTTATAAGCAGCGTTTAGAAATAAAGAAATCAGGCGTCGCGTTGGTAGTAGTCATTAGTGACGATCATCAACCTCCTGAATTTATATGAGAGCATTGAACTCAGTTTTGTTTGAATGAAGCAGCATATTGGCGCTGTCTGCATTCAATATGCTTTCTAGAGTAGGTTTTATCTTTGACTGACAGGTTTATAATGAGAATTATAATGGAGGGGAGAAGGTTTTCATTTCCAACGTAAGGGAAATGAGAGTAATAATGAAACAAATTATTCTGCTAGAGTTTCGACTTTACACGATTAACTAATAAAACTTGTTTTTGAGTTGTTTAAACAATGACAAACTTTCAGGTTAAAACACCTGCAATGATTGAATTTTAAAGTGTTTTATGTTTCATATCGTCGCTAATGAGATAGAAAATAAAAAGAAAGTTATCAATAAGTATGAGGAGGATCGGTACTAGAAAGTAATAATCTAATGATGCTCTATTAGAATATTTTTATATTACCTTTGGGAGAACGAGAACTAAACTTGTTTCATTCTCTCGCTTATATTACCTTTTTTTGTACCTTTATAACAACATCTAGTATAGATTAATGCTTCGACTTTTGCGTCCGGTGCAATGCCTCCCACCGGGACGTGAACTGTGTAGAGGTTCAGACCCAGGTCATCTATTTAGTACACAAATACCTTATTTCTGCACTAGAGCGGGAACATAACATATATAAAGGTAACTTTGTCATTTAGCTTATTGGTCACAAGGATAGCCCTTGGATTTTTTTACCCAAATGTTATCGCTGAGAAGTTGTTGGCAACAAGTTTACAATATATGCATTATAACAACGGTACCACATCGCTCAGGCTCATACTCGAAGAATCCGATGACTTGAATTTAACTACATATGTCTCGTGTATAACAAGTACTTGTATAAACATGATGCCTAATTGATTGAAATGAATGATCATATATGTTTAAATGCGTTAGTGTTTCAATTACTTCCCGTTTAATATACGTGTGTATGGGCTGGCTTCATACATTACCGGCGACAGAATTGCTGGTTTAGCAAAGCGACACTCCGAACTCATAAAGCTGTTGGCGGGCTTACCGTTGATATTTTCTATATTACACGTGTCTACGATAGGGAAATGATTTCGTCCGTTACTAGCTTACCTTGCGTACTTAAGAAGATGAAAAAGACAAAATACTCTCATGATTATCAGTCACCGAACGCTGTCCATCGTTTCAGTATAATCTGTTAGAAACTACTCGGTAACGTTTTCTCTCTTACTGAGCGAAGAGTCGATCATTGGCTCTTTGATAAATTTGATGGTAATTTCAACGTTGGATGCAGCGCACGTAATGTACCAAAATATATCTGTTTGGGTGTAGTATCGGAACTGGATGCGGTAAGCGATTATCTGAGATTAGCGTCACATGCGCGAAATGAGAAGGAAGGGAAGCCCGGGAAGGAAGGGAATGATAGCCTAGAGGCCCACCTCAAAATGATACTGTAGTGAAGGTCGAAGACAGCCGCAGAGTACGAACTGACACGGGTAAAGTAGCTATTGAAGTAGTTTCCACCCGGTTACAACTTGAAGACAGATGTTGTAGTTGAATCGACGTTACAAATAATAATAGGTGTTACTTGGTGACGGTAGACGCTCTCAGTCGAAGCTGACTTGCAAGTATCTGTGTATTATTCGCTGAATTCAAGCAGAGGATACCAATAAGCTACTTTTGTTTATTTATCCTTTTTCTTCTGTTACGGACCGTATCTTTCATTGAAAGTATATAAAGGTATATTTTGCACCAATCTGGAAGATGCTTCTATAATACAATTGGAAAAATTCGTTTGAGGTGTTCTTGTAAGAAAGTAAATGGTTTTGAGCTGGTCGACCAGCTTGACCTGATTGCGTGGGAGGGGGCTACTTTGTTGTTTTTGGCAACAAACGTTCAGTTACTAGTTTTTTATACATATCTAGAGAAACCTGCATTTTCTACGTTGACTCCGTTATTGTAGGATACCGACCGAATACAGTGCATTCGAACGGTATAGAAGGCTAAACTTTATCAAATTGTTATGAGTTTATGAGTAACTGATAACATCAGAAGTAGATCTTTCGTACAAATGTTAAAAAGAAGCTACAAATGGTGGCTCACGATAGTGATGATCACTAGAGCTGGTACCACAGTGTTTCTAACAAGCCGTACCGAATTTTTTTCATCTTTTTCTCTTAACATAGACTAGGGCACACAAACTGTGATCAGACTTCTATAACTCTCATTATTGTCTCAATGTTTACCTATTGGGAGTCCTTCGTTTAATTTATGGCCAATACTGGATTTCCATGGCTAAAATCGTCTAGGGAATCGGGCTATCTATGGCCGAAGACAGCGCATCATTGCGTTTATTACTCGTTTTCTGTTAATATTGCGTCTATAGTGTTTCCCGTTATCTAACTTCTTAGATTGAGGTCAATTTTTTACTGTTGCACACTTTGATACTCTAGTTATGTCCTATCCATTCGACCGGTTATGTATCGCTTTCTTTGTTGGTCAGTTCAATTATTGGTCCGCCTCAAGGTTCTCCAAACTAATCTCTACATGTTTGTATATCTTTTAGAATCGGCCCACGCCCAGTATTTCTCGGCCCTGCCAAGAAAAACGGTCCAGTGAATAACCGCCGTGGGTCGAAGAATGGAGAAAACAAAAAACAACACGAAGGAGAGCATCACCAGCAACAGGTTTGAATTCGTTTCTTACAGGTGGATTCTGATGTCGTATCATTTTGTTTGCACAATTATGTTAAAGCAAACTGGATTCCAGTAATTTTACCAAGTCAAACAAAAATGCGGCCTCAGAGACACTTCCTGTTGATTATTTTAGTGTTTGAACTTAATTATTATTCAACGTTTGTAACGAACGTTTTTATTTTGTTTATAATTCTCATATATAACCAGTCGTATCCGAAACAGGTGTTGTTTCCTATAGGTACTTCTTCGGAACACAACAAGGTGGGACAATAACCAATAAGGCGATATTATTCGCTGGCTTAGAGCTTTTCAGCTTTTATGAGTACATCAATTTTCATCGTATTTCGACAAAAATCAGGCCACATTTAATATCTGACAATTTAATGTGGTCTATGTTTATGACATGGAAACAATCATCCGAGCTCAGTAAGACAAGGACAGTAGTTCAACTGTTGTGCTCCTTGTATCTAATATAACATATTGCAAGGTCTATGATAGAAATCGCTCTTTTTTTTCAAATGTTCTGCGATATTTAGTACAATGTCATAAAAATGTTAATGACATTAATTGTATTATAAAAACATTTCATATAATAGTTAATATTATGTTATGTCCAATGCTGTTATTTTTTTGGTTGGGCAGGCGGATTCGGCAGGCACGCCGCGTCCCGACGACGACATCGTATCTTTTTTTGAACGATCTTGGAGGGACGTGAAAGATGCACTCGCCCAAAACATACCTGAAGGGCATCCTGAAGCGCAACAAAAGTCTGCCGCACGACGTACTGTCGTGCACTATAGGCCGGCATCACCATCAATTTTAACAGGTAGGATAGATTGATCGTATGAGAGCCTTGGTAATTTTAAGCGGAAAGCAGCTACAAATTTTTGTAAATCTGGTACGCACTGTAACTAACTCTATTCATTAAACTAACTATACCAATGTTCTTTGCTATGATTAAACGGTTAAAAATGTGGTAAATTGATGATGTAATCTGCAATTACAGGTTCCCTTGATTAAAAATGTTGCGGCGACTGATAAGAAGGATTAAGCTAAAATAATAAAATTTGACGTGAATCTATTAAAAAGCAATGTGGAAGCGCGTTCTAATAACTGTTGAAAAGCATTAGCGAAATCTGTGCGATACATGAATCTATGCACTTAGAGGAAAAATTCACAACAAATACCAACGCATCCTTGTACGCGATAGAGCCGTCATACTATTCCTCGCACCGCAATTGTTCGAACTTAAATGCTAAATATAAAGTGCCTTTCTTATCGGTTCGCTTTGTGGCTTCATTTCAGACTTTGTGCCCTGCAATTACGAGCATGTTTGGGCAGACCATCAGTATCGCAAGCTGATTAAACATATTGACTTGACAATTCAGCGAAGTCAAAATATGCAAGAAGGCAAGTCATTTTAACTCTTCTTGCATACCGAGATGAATAGTACAGAAGGAGTTAGTTCAACAGAAACAAAATAATGCCGCTAAAAGGCAGCTTCCCATAAAAGTTCTTCAGGGACTAGTTACTATCTTTTCGTGTAGTACACAAAACTGCAGGTGACAGAAGTGCAAGTCGAATTCGACGAGAGAATGTGACCACACCGAGAAATTGGAGTCTTTGTACACGAGATTAACATGCCGAGCGCATTCAGTTTGTAAAGCATTGCTCCATTCATCAAAAACATCTTAAACTGCATTGGAGATGAGAGTAATAAAAAACAAAAAAAAAAAGATGACTACTAAACTTGCGAAACAACACTAACTAACTGCGAGAGGAATGCATTCACACCGATGTACACAGGATCATTGTTAAGTCCCATGATAAGCTACGAAAGATTTCCTGAGACTTTTAGACATCGCTGAAGTTTACATCGTCCGTTCGTCACTAGCCTTGTTACAAAGCTGTAGGAATTGCTGCAGGAGCAAATGAGACGTGAGTCAGAATTATCGTGGATGCTTAGTCTTGATCAACGAACTTGGCCGGTCAATTTCAATCAATGGTATGGCCTTCATTCTCAATAATTGCCGCCTACTTTAGGAGCTGTAATTATTAGGTACTATGGCGATAGCTGCTACACGCAAACTAACGGAGCGACAGACGTAAGCACAACGGAAGGGTACAAACGATCGCTGTCAAATCTTGCTATAAAATTTCAACTGTAGCACGCTTGAAAGAACAGTGAAAAAAAAAGCCGCACTGTCCCGCACGTAGAATTCAATGAAATCAAAAATAATTAAATAATATACCTGGGGTGCGCGATACTGCCGTCGTTACCGCTCACGAAATGAGTAGTTCTTAAATAGCAGTTTGTAGGATGTATGCGATCACCACAAACGTGATTACGAGGACAAATAGAGTTCTAACTAAACATCTGCGACGCCATCTGTTTTTACAAAAATTGCAAGAGAAGCTTAGCCACGCTGAAATTACAAGAAGTAACAATGTAGAAAAGTTTTCCATATTACGTTTAAATAGAATCGTGAAATTGGGCCAGTATGCAATGTAGTACAAATTTAACAAAACAAGATACGTATATGTCGAGCCTAATTAAAACAATGAAGAAGGCAAGGCTATTAATTTTCTTTTAGCACGTAAAAAAGCATCTATAAGCTAACTAGTCTGCGAAACGGTTTTATCGTAGTAGCAACTGTTTAGTAAAAGCCCGTTCGGGTCTGAAACTCTATGCGGTCATGCAGATGTTGCTATTTCACATAAGTATTTTGGGCTTGCATCGGTGACTGTGTAAGCTAATTGTGTTCAGCGCGGAAATGGTGGCGAAACCGAAAATCTTATAAAAATTTGTAGTTTTCGTTTCTTATATAATAATAATATATAAATAAATATTAAATAAATTTGGAAAAGTCCCAAGAGCCATGCCATAATAATGCCACAAAAACGAAAACTCAATAATAATGTACTATTCCTATAGGGAAAGTAAATTTCGCTTTATTGAGAGCAGAAAATATTTGACTTCCAAAATTCAACTGCCGAGCTGCTGATCAGTCGAGGTAGTTCGAGCTGAGACTTCAGGGAAGTACAAAGTTTTATGACTAGAATCGGTGAAACGGTGTGAGAGTTGATTCAGACTACCCGCGTCACGTTACGGAATATAAAATAACTAGCTTGAATTTAGACGAAAACGTCGAATCTACTGGGCAGTCGCTCGTCTTCCTGCAGCCAACTAAGCGCCGTTTGAGCTTGACTACTACAATCTAAAAATGTAAAGTAGAACGACAGGTAGCCTCGTGTTGTGCGAGATTCAAGCTGTGGCTTTTGCACCACACGTACATCTTAAGGAGAATTCCTTACATGTGGGTAGGGCTCTCGATGCAAATAGTAATAGGGCTGTCTTAGGAATACAATCGGTCCGCAGTTAATGATCTAAATATTTTGCTGTCGTAAGGTAGATTCTACTGAAAAAAGCAAGAAAATAAGATACTCGAATGAAGCCCTAGGCACCGGAGAAGGTTTTTGGGTGATGTTCGATTTGCTATTATAGCCGTCTGTCTGTAGTCACCGCCATGTGTATATTGATTCATCAAACAAAAAGGATCAACTTTTTTCAATAGTTACATAATTCAGTAGTGATGGTGCAACTAGTATGGCCCAACGGGTGCTAGTACATAACACGTATTGTCCATAGACTTGCAATCAATGTCTATAATAGTTAACTTTGCCATTGTTCCATAGCAGTTTTGCTTAAGGCTTCGACTGCTGACGACGTTTGCTAACAGGAGATAGCACAGGAATTAATATATCAGTGTGTTCCGCGTTGTAATATGTAACAAAGACCCTACGACGTTCTTATGTGTTGAAAGGGAACCCGATTAGCCACTCTGATGGACGTGTGCGACCAGTTTAGAAAAATAACGTAGGTAAATCGATCAAGAATGGATAAATGAAAAGAATGCTTGATGGAGTGCATGGATAAATGGGTATGTAGATGTAAACAATGTTAAATGTGTTATGAGTGCTGTATGGACCTTATAATTGTTCGTTTACTGGCAGATGATCGAACTGAAAACGCCAAGAACTGATATGTATTGGATGTTCGGCAAGCAAAATGAATATGTGCTCAATAGTAGGGTCGACAGCGAAGCAATCTTCTACCTAATATACAGTAAATTTATACACAATACATAGTACGTAGTGGAATAAACATGTATTGGTTTATAGAATACATGAAAAAAGATACTTCAAAATAGGTAAATTATATTTAAGGTAAGCAAAATATAAACTGCAGAAAATGTAGAAAATATTACGCATATACTTTTAAATGGATTTGCATTCGTTTTTAAAATCTGTAGAAAATTACGTGTATACATATGCACAGTCGCGGTTCGTAATATAATACTGTCAGGTTTTTATCATCAGTTAATTTTTCTTAACAAAATACTCGCACTTTTGGGATATATATACACATTATCGATTCGATGTCGATAACAAAAGATCATGCCAAAAATAAGAAACAGTCCAAGTATGAGAGTCGCATGTCGGCCTGAACTTGTGATAAAAATGAAGCGAGAATAAAAGTAGGATAGGCAGTAAGTATGATAGTATGCGTATGCGTGTATGTTCGGCATCACGAAGACGGAAAGGTCGAGCTGTCGTTTCTAGAGTTGTGAACGTTTTTCTTGGTCGCGGATATGTCGAAAACTGCTGTATGTAGCAATCTATGAGACAAGTGAGCAACGATGGGGATTTTAAATGACACTTTTTATGTCCCTGTATGCCGAAAATATGCACGACTGTATGCGATACACTGACAGTTAAATAGAGAAGGTAATGAAAAATAAAAAATAACGCTAGAAATATAACCAATGAAAAAAGGGATAGTCTAATCGAATTGTCAGGTGTATGAGCTGCCGGAATAAAACAGCGGTTACAGCAAAGTAGCCATCAAAAACACACACAGAAGTCGAAAGGATAACGCGCGGAAATGTATCATGTGAACTTAGGAAGAAACACCCTGTAGAAACTTGACTTAGCTTGTATAATGTTGAAAGATTGATGCAAGTTGAACAACTGAAAACAACTGAAAAAATGATACCTATGTGATTTGGATGTTTGCAGCTGGTTGGAAAATGAAACAATTACTTTCAACTTGTTTCGACCGAGATCCACTGAGAAAGTGCACTTTGATCATATGTTTACAGAATCGTGTTGTATGCTTGATTTACTGATCGAAAACAAAAAATAAGTACAGTTTAGATGAATCTTAGAAACATGGCACGTCTAATATATGTAGAGTAGTAGGAACGAACTCTGCGGACATAGAAGCGAACTGAGAGAAGGTAATCGTGGAATGTAGAAAAATAAAAAAATGCGAAAGTATGTTAAAATGGAAATGGAGATGCACTGTTGGAGTGAAGAGACGGAGAGCAAAAAAAAAAGATGCGGAAATGCCTGACCGGCGTCGTAGAGAACATAAAAATAAGATAATTATATATTTTATATGAATAAAGAAAATAATACGTTAAATATGGCATTTTCATAATAAATCATAACGGAAAAAGAAAAATACGTATCAAAACACTCCTTGGAATCTGCATGCAGTCTTTTTCTTAAATTTCAATGAATCAAGACATTATGTGTAGTAGACCGTGTAATATATGCATATATTTTTTGTTTAGAAGGCTATATGGTATGTGTTTAACGAGGAAAATAACCTCAATTAAGAGAATGTGTTTTTTCAACCAGTTTAAGGAAAAGCCCGATTGGCAAACCTCAGTTCTTCCAATAAATTCAAGACACTAGTTTTTTTGTTAAAAAAAAAGTTGATCTATGGATATTTCATACACCTTTCACGACTATTTGAAGCTAGTTCTTTCATGGCCCATAGAATGAAAAGCTTTCAACTTTTTTTTGGCTACACAAGGCCTTGAGCGTGTGATAATTATAATAAGAACTAGATAAACTTAGTTGCGATATAAGCTTATTGTTTACACCTAAGCTTCGTCGGTTAGGGACACGGCGAAGTTACCGAAACTATTTTATAATTTTCTTCTGCAAGGGCTGCTAGAACTAGTGAGAAAAACGGATTTTCGACGTTTCGACAACCTAAACCTAGCTAACTTTATACTGAGCTAGCAAATGAGTGGTATCGAGATTGAAATTTCTTAAGAAATTAAGTCTAAAAGATCTTCGTGTAAAAGGGGTTTCAAGCATCAAACAAATGCTATATAACTCGAGAAACTTGATGTATTTGATCCATTACGTAATATATAGTACTGTAATATTAATAAAGCAAACAGTACAATAGATCGCAAATCCGTAGAAGTAACCGGCGAAAGATAGAGCTCGGAGAATTAGATAACGGGAATCACAAAGACTCCTTTGTTTCCACTTCGAACTTCCGCGGGTCCTGTCCAACTCATACAACGAGGCACATCATATGAATTTTGTATATTATTTTATTTTGAGATTTGTTGTTGTTGTTGTTTCTATTTATTCCATCGTCATCGTCATCATCCCCATTATCGATACCGGCAATATCGTGAGATAAATCTCACTTTCTTTTTTATTTCTTCTCTCTCGCATCAATTCTGTTTCTTTCGATCGCCAACGGGACGCGTTGTTTCGGTCGCCACGCTTATGTCCTTTCCAACAATAGTGTGTCTTCGTTCGTGACTGTTTGCTGCTACTCCTCATCTTTAATGCATGATTTTTTTTCAATTTTCTAGTTTGACGGTATGCATAATCTTGTGATTGCCTGCCGTACCTTCCATTTAATATGCGATACGTAGATCAGGCGGCGGCAGGAAAAGGACGGCCGTTTGCATTTCTTAGTGAAATCCTATTTTGATACCTTCCCATATTGTCCTGTTATGCCATGAAGTCATTCATAACTCACCCAACATCTTTTCGCCATCTTCCGGTGACTCACTCAAGCCTCTCGCATGTTGTCACTGCCGTTTGCCAGCACAGTCTTTTGGTTTTACAAGTCTTCAATTATGCTTCAATGTGTCCTAAATGAGTTTGGTGTTCCTTTGGCTTTTTCAGTCAGTTTTCTATTTCTGTTTATTACTATGTGTGTGTGTGTGTGTGTATGTGTGCGTGTGTATGCGCGAGTGTGTGTGTGAATGTGTGAATATGTGTGTTTGCGTGTCCCTGTAAATATGCGTGTTGAGAATTTTCTTCCTGCCATTCCTCTGCCTGGCTCACATATATTGATGTAGTAAATGTCAAGTTGCGTTTTTACAGTGTTATCGTATCATCTGGCTTCACATTTGTTTTATTACATGCGTTACTTATTGGATCTCTTTCCCTTCCCGTCTTTCTATTAAATATACACAGTTATGAATGGACTGGATTCGGTTTGAACTCAGGGTTCCTTCTTACGTCCTTCCTAACCTCAGGCTTGTTAGTCAAACAGCCTACATCGTTTTGCTGCCTTGTTTTGGTTGTCGTAGTAGCACTAGTAGCATTAATAACTTTGTTCGCATGTCTCAAGCAACGCTTAACGCTAGTATCGGACTTAACACTCGAAACACTTAATTAATAATTTCAATAATAGGTTTATTGTCGGTCGAAGTTCGGCCATCCGAATTTGAAGAATTTGATTATACAGAATGATTCCAGGAACTCCTATGGATGTTTTTCGCGCTACTCATCATTTTTTGATAGATAAATGTAACCGAAAAGGGTCACCTCGTTAAGCCTGTTTTGCCTTTCTAAGTGTCCAGTTGCTTTAGAACACTGAACGAGATTTATTAGGCAGTGGATAATTACTGAATTAAATCCGCTCTGTTATATATATTTTGGCTTCTTGGCAGAAATTACAGGATTGAAAAGTATTTTGCATGGTCATGTATGATGAGCATTTGATTTATAATTTGCCGCCTTACAAATTGGTTAATATGGATGGCACATTGTTATCAGTCTGGATCATTATTCAGTTTCGGAGAGAAATAGCCGTATCGCTGATTATTCAAGCCTTGGTATTTATTAATAGCCGAAAGCTAACTAGATGTACTTAGTCAGGAAAGGAGTAAAAGTTGAAATAATAATAATATTAGAAGCTGTAGTTAGTTATTTATACACATTATATAATAATCTTATAATATTATGTTGTTGTTAGTATCACCAGAATGTTGAGTGGGGAACGGGCTAGGTTAGACAAACTTCAGAAAGCGCACGCTCAGATCTTCATCGTTATTGTGCTGAATTGTTTGGATTAGAGCTCTATAACCGTATACATATATAATGCGACCTGGTCAGACTTGATGTTTTCAGGCGACATAAGTCCTTTTCTTAAAACTGGAAGCTGTTACATCAGCGATAACGCTTTAGGTCGCATCAAGGCTTAAATGAGTTTATGGTATCCAGACACTGCATAGGGCCGCAAACTGAAACACTAAAAGACGGTATTTGCCGTTTTCGAAAAAATACACAGAGCAAGTTTTGACAAAGTAGGTTTTTGCTCGAGCTAATTGGAAATCAACTGCAAGTACCGATTGGCCAGTCAATACCAAGTTAACACAAGTAATCAGCGCAGTTTTTACCGTGTTTTTTTGTGCGTCTCAAAACCTTTTTCTAAGCTAATTATCTTCTTTGGACGTGTACTCCCGTTTAATGTCATCAATCGACATCAGTATAATTAGCCGCTTTCTAACTTTTCTCTATCCCTTAATGTTCATGAGATTTGCACAGACCAAACCAAAAACAAGACACCTAAGACACGCCGTGCGCTAACTGTGAATTTCATTCTTTTCCTATCTTTGTTCCCCTACGTCTGACACGATTCCGATATTTGTGGACGCGCGAATCCTCGGCCATAATCCGGCAACACTTTGATCTTTGCGGACGTACCCGGCTTAGCCTCGATGTTATTAGCTATCTCCGTATCATTATTGTTAGACCTATACATGTGACTAGGGAAATATGACAACGTTATCGCCACCGTTTCACATATGTATATATAATGAACGCGGTCTAGGTAAACCAACTTGGTAGATAGCGAAAAGAAGTAAAGCGTTCTCCATATGAACAGGCAGTTGGATATATGCTTATATGCACGAGTACCAGCGATATCTCCCGTCGTGCTGGTCGACAGCTTCACCCTCATTTTCTTTGAACATGGCGGGCTTTGCTTGCATTGACTAGGCCGATGATTCGCGCGCGCGTACATTCAAATTTTCATTTGTTTCCCATTTTCTCTCTTCATATCGCTCATTATCGAAATTAGCCGCGTCTGTCATCGTTCTGAGTTACTTAATCATTCTCGTTCTTTACGTATTATGTAATGTACAGTTGAGTTACGTATGTTAGCTTTCACACGTCGACTATAGTCGACCTGCTTCTGCCTTTCATTCTTTGGAAACTTTCGGGCAACTACCGATACGATTTCTCTCGCCGCCAACATTAGGTGTTGTTTCTCCGTGTCAGCGGGAGCTTACACTTATATATTTTTCGTATATATTTATATACGGCATTCACGCTTGTCACTAGGATGACTTAGCGAGAGGAAGAAATAGAATATAAATTAATTTAATTATAATTATTTTATCCTGTTAACATGCTCATGTCAGCATGGTTTGTCTGTGTGTATGCATAATCACCTTCTTATTCTGGTATTTTTATTATTACTATTAGCATTATTAATATTATTATTATTATTATAATTTTTTTGCAACTCTCCCTCTCATTATTAGTTCTTTCGTATAATTAATTAGTTGGTTGTTTGTATTTAAGTACATGGACGTATTTGGTTTCTGCTTGTTTTTTTCTTGTTGCAAGGGGTTAAAGGGTGCGATGATTGGGTTTGGGTGGGGTCGGGAAAATCTAACTGACAGAGCGGCCGTACACTTAATGTAAGGTCGCTCCACGCAGGCGATACTTTGGGCGTTCTGTTCGTGTCATTTCGTGGGCATTACGTTAGCGGACGGGCTTGCAAAAAAGCAACCAATGAGGGGAATAGACATTTTTGAGGTAATCATAGCCATCACGCGAGCTTAACTCTGGTTAATAATGAAGTGCAGCGCTCGTGAATAGCGGCTAACTTGGTCGGCATGCTTCCTCGCCGCTCGAAGAATCTCATTCCCACTAAGCTTTATAAAGGGAACTGCGGGCGCGTTTTTATTCGTTCTGAAAATACAGTACTACGTCGCGGCCAACGTAAAACGACGCACATTTTATTACAGCATACCGTAAAGGCCATGTTGGCGGCGAGCAAGACCAGTGATATTCGGTGATACTTTTACATCATTTGTCAGCTGTCCACGTACCGATAGCGTGCTTTGACACTTTGCCACATCGTGAAGCACACTCTTGCTATTTGGGCTACGATGACTAAATTCAGAGAGCAGTTGGAGTACTTGAGGATACGAGGCATAGCTACGGGTCATGCAACTGCTTAGTTCATGCATGGTTCCGCTCGAAACAAAAAAATGACCTGCGGAGCTGGTTCGGCTTCACGCTTATCCTACGATAGAGCGAGCCTTGCACTGTTCATGCTTCGAACTTTTCCGTTTCCAGTTTCACAGTTATTGGTATTTCCGATCAATTTTTCTTGAACTTGAGCGACAATAATTACTAAAGCCCTGTTTCGGTATTACTTGTTGTTCTGACAAGCCGTGCTACCTTATTTCGTTCATTGGCAAGTTAACTGCCACGGTGCTGACCGCCGCTTGGTAATTCCACGTACGACGTCGAGCGTCGTGCGCGCTTCCAATGGCTTCGATGTTTACTTGCAACGTTTGCAACAGTTTCTTTGTTGCAGCTGTATTTTTCAGGATTACTTGAGTCGACATCGTTGTCGTTGTTGCCTGCATCTCATCATCATATATAATAGTTCAAATTTTATTGAAGACGAGACCAGTAGCTGGCAGGCGTGAGATCGCTCGCTTCCCCCGGGACTTGGACGGGCACTGATACGCCGGCGGAAATCACCCCTGCAATTAATCAGAAAGAACCAATACCCGCTCAGTTTAAATGTTAGCGTCAATATGGATGACAAGTAATTTTCTATTAATAGTACAAAAAAGAAACGATATATAGTTGATTTTAGCGAGTTGCTATATTGATCGAGTCAACGTTTACTATTGAAGTGAGCTAGAAGATTGTTAATAATATGAATATATTAAACATCTCAAATAAATATCTCCCACGATTGCTTCCATTTTTACCTGTGCTAGCAGTGTTAGAGGGCGGCGAATTGACGGACGGAAACTGGGGCGCGCCTACAGACCCGGACGAGCCGTGTTGGCCGTGTCCGCGTTGGACTGACCCGTAGAGCGAGTCGTAGGTTCGGTGACCGTGCCCCGTAATATACGAATTCTGTTGCAAACAAGCATTGCCCATTGGCCCACTACCATACGCCGTGAACTGTGAGATCGAACTGCAGAATGTCATTGCGACACAAACGAATGTCTTCATTAGAAGTCGAAGTGGGTTAGATCAAGGGGCCTGTGCTGGTAAAGACTAGTGGCTGCCCAAAGTTCAGACAGGCGTTCCATTCATACTCAGTTTCATTTAGTATCAGAGACTCACTACACAAAACGATTATTTTTAACAATAGTTCCTTTGTGACATTACCACTAAGTTTTCACAAATTTAGTTCTTGAATGATATAACAACTAACATTTCGTTGAGCGGCTATTTAAGTACCTGAGCTCTCTAAGCGTGAGTACATACAAACAAGAGCAGGATCGATACAAGGTAACCTAGCCTTCTTCACCAACAGATTAGACGATATTCTCTTCTACAGCTTGAACTCTTTCCAGCATGGCTACACCATGTCTACCTAAAAACGTTTAGTAGACACATAGATACACACGTGTCTATGTACGTGTAAAGAAAAACACGCACCCATAGCTATCGTGACCGATGTGCGGATGGTTGTAGAGATTAGCAAAGCCTCCAGCCGTGGCCGGATTGAGTTGGCCCGCCGAAGCAGGTCCGCGAGGCGGCGAAGCGGATAACGGTTCAAGTGCCGTCTGCAGCGCCGAGTTCGGGGTGCGTCCATTTGTGGCGCTAGGCGCAGCGGCTAACAGCGATACCGAGACGCTTGACATGTTGTTGATGAGACTGCTGTGCGGACTGCCTGCGGTCGCGGCTGCAGCGGTTGCGGCCGCTGTGCTCAATGCGAGCGGAGGCGAATCGGCCGCCGCGTGTTCGTGATCCGTCAGACTGACAGCGCTTGCCACGCTAGCGGCGCTGGCAGCCGGTGACGCTTCGGGGCCCCGCTGGTTCCGCAGTTTCTCTTCACGTCGCCACTTCGCTCGTCGGTTCGAAAACCACACCTGTTTTGATGAATGGTGAATAAATGAAAGCAAAAAAAAGATTAAGACATAAGAAGATACTCCGCTAGTCAAGATAGCAAATCTAACAAGAATATGTAATAAAAAGAGCTTTTTTTATTCAACATTGGTTGTGTAGTATATGTCACTTGCGGGATTTGAACCACCGATCCCATCCCCGCCCGCTTTAAAATTACCGACGACAATAATAATTTTCGCAATCACATGTAAAACAGACACATAATGCAGCAAATGCGTATGGTAATAACGATAACTAGAAGTTAGTAGGGCTAGATATCAGCCGCATCGGTTTCATCCTCTACGTCTAGCCTTACTACAGCATAATATTGTACCCGTTCATATACATAGATTAATAGTCGCTAATAGTCATTGAAGCAGTATATGTTTGCATCATGTGGGGGTGTGCATGGACCAAACTTTGTTAATGATCACCGCATCGGCAGGCCGCGCATTCACCCCCCTGTCTCCATCAACTGACCGTATAACTGGCCCCTGGGTTGAGGTAAGCGATAATGCCATAGAAAGGAGTAAAGGGCGAGCCACGAGACTGGGTCTGTGTTGGAGGACGTTTTAGGAAAAGAAAATGCCAGCGACTGCCGGGTTTCGACTGCTTTCGCGTCGGAGTCTCTCCCACACGCGGCTTGCGAAGCTGATGGCGATGGGAGTCTCTTGTGGCCGACTAACACCGCGAACAACGGTCAATCCGAGCAACCATCATCATTAAGGGAGAAAGCGAGCTTTTACGGATGGCAGCCAAGAGCAAAGGCGATCAGGAGAAGCTAAACTGGTAACGGGCATGACGCTCTTCATTCGATCAAGGGAAATGGGGGAGCTCGGTTTCCTGAACTTCCATTGAATCGCCAATTCTCACTAGGGGGTTGTCGGGCCAAGGGTGAAGCCGCCCCACGTATAGGGAGAGTTTATGGGTAAAGCAATTATCAAGGGCTGTGTCGTCCCGGACGTAGCGGCCACGCCGGTTAGCTCAATGTATCAGCGGTTGTTTCCCAGCAGAATGAAAACCATTGGAAAGGATTTCCCGGCTTAGTTTGGATAATACCGCAGGGTACTGGCCTTGCGGGGCGGTAAGCCACACCAGTTTGGTTGTGTATTGAGGCACGCGTGGAAAAAGGCAATGTCAAATATACGATCCCCGAGGTTGCAGGAGTCTATTTCGTAATCAAATCTGCGGTCGTATTTGACGGTGCCAATTAATGAATGGAGACAATTGAACAAAAATAACATGATCATCCTAAGATAATACGTCCTTGCAAAAGAAGGTAACGTGATTTGACTCAGTAGCCTACTATTTACTAACCTGAATTCTTGCTTCGGGAAGGTCAATCTTGCCTGCTAACCGCTCCCTAGCAAACACGTCAGGATAGTGAGTTCTTTCGAATTCTGCAAGAACAACAAATAGATATTTCATTAGAGCAAGTTATTGTTGAAAAAGCTTATCTATCTATAAGGGTTACTGCTCATTGTCGTTGGTTGATTGAACGGCCTGTGCACACGTTATATTCTTATAATCACCAGTTGCGTACCCTTTTCGAGTGCGTCGATTTGATCCATCGTGAAGGAAGTACGGTTCCGCTGAAGCTTTCGTTTGAGACGAAGACGCGCTGCGGCTTCATCGCTAACCGCCGACCCAAGTGAGTCGCCGTCCAAACTGCTCGCATCTCCCGCTGCCGAGCCGCCGCAGTCCAGATCGCTATCGCATAGGTCTTCTGCTATAATTCAGAAAGCAATAAACATACAAAACCATGTATATTACAAAAAATTGACAATACAGATATTGACCATGTATCTCTGAATTGCTGATTAGAAAAACTGGGTAGCGCTATGATTTAGTGCAGTAGTCCATCGAAACAATACGGAAAAAGTTCTCGTAGAGATGGGATTAATTAGCAGGTCGCAAAGTGCGTGTTCAACGTCCATGCTAAATACTTGAGCATAAGTGTGTATAAGGTCTGCAGGTAAGCAGGACGTGGTAGCGGGTCGAGCGATAGTATAATCAGCTTGCACTTTCGTATACCATCTTTCAGCCCACCGTACGACTGGCATCTACCCTGTATTTAACTTACTTCTATTTACTAGGTTATCGAAAAGCTACTGCTAGTTTTTCCAGCTAGACGGCTTAAGTCACATATCTGAGGCAAAATGAACCACGACGGGTCATCATTGGTGTGATTGGAAGCTGAGATTTGAAAGTAGTCGAAGGATGCTCTTTGTAGTGGCAGATCCATGGCAAAAAAAGTTGATAAAATTGTTGCGCAGGTTGGGCAAGACTAACCGTCAGTAGCCATACCATCGCCAACGAGCTAAACATTCGTTAGCAAACAGCTTGAAATCATACGAAAAAAACTGGCTATAAAGACAAGCTTGATGTTTAAATGGCACATAAACTTACTCGATCATTATGTCCATTCGTGGAGTTCTTGGGAAACGCAACAATATCGAGCCATTCCTAAAGCTGTGTAAAATATGCTCTACAACCTGTGGCAAACCCCGTACTGATGCGGGAGAATATGATACTCTGTGTTCGGTGAAATTGGAAACGAATCGTGCATTAAGAGCAGCTGGTGCCGGCCAATAAATCGATTAATTCGGACTTCTTTTATAAGCAATTAAGAAAATCACAAAAAAAACATTTGGAAAAACATCGATCAGGGTGAGTAAAGAGAAAAAAAAATTGTCTTCCAGCCCGAAAAAAGCCAGAGAGCTTAGATCTTCACATACCCAACAAAAAACGGGAGAACTTGAATGGAAAACTTTAATACATTCGCCATATAGTCCGGATCTTGCGCTTTCACTTTCTTCGGTCTCTGCAGAACTCCCCTGATGCTGCTAATTTAATTTCAATAGAAGGATGCAAGAATCACTAGTCCCAATGTTTCGCCTAAAAATTATAGAGCGAACATGGCGCATAGCGTTTCCATTTACATTGTTTTAAGATATGAAAAATTATAGTATTTTTTTGTAATTTTTACTTGAAAATTGATAACGACTTTTCGACCACCCAACATCAATCAGTTCTTACGTATTTATCCTTGCTCGCAGTGGTTAAACCTTTATATATAAAAATCAACGATACAATCTAATGATGAGTATATTTAAACATTCAACATATAGTTTGTGTTATATGGGTTATGCGAGTTTTTTTTGAGTTTATAAAGCGAATTTAAGAGATTTGTCAGATGTCCTATAGACGGTAATAAGGAGCAATAATCGTGATAATACTTTTCACAACTCTCACACATCTGGAAGACCTGCATGAGTCGTCAAGCTCATTTCCTACAGCGCTTATGGTAGAATCCACGCACAGCAAACCGAACAACGACGGGTTTGTTTTTGCCACTCGTTGTTTTCTGTTGCACAGAAGTAAGAAAACTGCCCACCCAAGAATATGATTACGATGTTTGGGAATTATGCTTGTCGCTCAGCTCAGCTTCTGAAAAACATTTTGTAGCATAGCCTCTCCTGTATAGTCCTTTTCCTTCAAGTCCCTCATTCAGTCCGCGATTCATGTTTGCAGCGAAAGTCTCATTTAGCTTTACCTAGCTTGCAGAATACATGCGCTCGTACACTCAGTATAGAATAATTACTCTAAGATATAGAGGATAATTAAGGTGCCTCTTGACGGCTATAATTATCGTTGTGCTCACATTTAGGACAATGTTAAAAATAGTTACTTAACTGACATATTTAAGCTCAGAAGGTTTCTTACAACGCTTTCACATTCCTACAAGAGTTTGTTTCATAAACAAAAAAAAAAAAAAAAAAAAGTAATAAAAATAACAGTGCAGATTCAGTATTCCTTAACAGTTAAGCATTACTACGCTCAGAAGCAAGAGGCGCAACGATAATATATAATTTGTCAAACTTGAACAATAAAGTTACACACTGTAATATCCAAAATGAAGTTGCGTTTATACAGCTACTCTCGTTGCTGTAGTAAGCAGTCACATAACCCCCAGAATTCTCGGTTTAGCACGAATTTTTTTCCCGTTTCCTCCTTAATATATGTTTAAAAGGGCTTTGTCTGATATGACGTTCCATCAAAACTTGTTGTTCTGGGAATCTTTAAAGTGAAAACCTCTGCCTCAGCCATGCGGATTGGAAGAAAGGCATCACCGACCCGGCAGAGCTGTCCGGTGAATTTAAATTTGGAAGTTTGGAAGAAAATGCAGGATTTAGAGTGTGGCAGCCGTTTGAAGGAGCAAGTCGAAGGGGCCGAGAGGACTCTAAAGTTTGCGTTGCACATAGGAACCGAAAAGAGCTGGTGGGACGGCGACCTGAGAAACCCAGAATCTGTCGCTATGACCAGTTGCTTGTCGGTGTCATTTAATGAACTCGCCCCAGGCTGCTTGAGTCAGGCTAGACTCGAATGATTTCAACATAGTTTCAACCTGCAATGCATCCGAGGGCGCTGCTAGCTATAGCCAACTACTAGGATACGTAAGGGTAGCGACAGATCGAAAGCTTTTAACAAAGAGTTGTGACAAAAAAAGCTAGAATTTGAGAAAACATTTAATTATTGTTTGCGTATGCATTCTGTTTCCCAACAATCATGTCAGCACGATATCTCAAACCCGTCAACTATTCGATATCACTTCGTAAACCCAGCTTCGTAGGTTCCACAAACAAAAATCGATCTCCACAAACCCATGAAGTATAATATTATATGATAGAATTCGGCTCCGCGCGATCTAATCTCATTTTTCCAAGTAACAGAGCTTGTGGTGCGTGAACACTCCCTTTTTTTTAATTAACCCAAACAGGTACAGTATTATCTAGCCGCTAACAACCATGGCGTTATTCATACTATCCCGCATAAACTGACTCGTAATCTTTTCGTTTTTATGTTTAGCTCTCACCGCCCTATTTACATACAACGCACCGGTCGTATTCCGCACACCGCTGTATATCAATGTCGTGCTTAGAGAAATCGACGCAAACAACAACGGAGAGCGCGAACGCCGGGGGCGAGTTGTACCACTGCCACATATCGGTTATATGCTAGTATGCGGCGCTCTTACCGCTGTTGGCGAGCTTATTTCTGCTTAGAACTAGTGTCGGCCAATGCACCTGCGTCGGATTGTAGTTTTATCGACAACATGACAATTTCTACTAAAGAAAATGGTAGTGAAAGTGATGCTGACAACGGCGGCACTCTTCGCAGTGGTGGAGCACCAGCGTTGACGATAGCACGATCGCATATGGTCATATTGCCGCAGTAAACAAAGACGAAAGCAGCGACAGCGAATTCAGTGGGGACGACATTAATTACGGTGCCGGGCAAACTGACATTGCAGAGGCCGATTATTGAAACGTTTGCTGTGACGAAGATGAGTAAACAGACTGGCGAGATTAGAGCATCTAGGCGTTAGCAACAGTCGGTGACGAAAGGCACTTGGCCGTTCCAACACGCAATGATAAAGCTGCCCCTTCACAACATCGTGTCGAATGCCCGCCGTTCTGCTGTGGCTCGCAGTGGATGAATACCAAGGCGGGCAGAAGAGCGTCGAGCAGGGCTTCAGGCTTCCTCTGGAACCTCGCTGTTACGGAGTAAGCGAGCCGTCTTCAGTCTCTGCCGTCTGCTGAAGGAATGTATATCTTGAGATAGCGGCGGATTTTCCATCGACACTAGCGCCCCTGGCGGTGCGACGAAAAATACGGCTGAGGGTAGAAAGAAGTAGTCGCAGACAGGAAACGAGGCCGCTAAGACATTCGGATGGGTGATGCGAACAAGAACCCGTGAAAGAAGAAGGAAGAGAAAAGTGGAAAATAAAGAACCGAGAAAGGAACTACTCTGGCAGCAAACAACGAGAGAACTATGGGTTAATACATGAGTGGTGCTGCTGCTGTCCTCTCCGCCAGCGGCAGCAATGAGGACTGATTGGTCGATGACGAGACGATGCGAATCCGACGAGGCCAGCGCTGCTTACAGGACTAGTAGAAGCAGTAGCATAGTGGCCATAGTGTTCGTGCTTTTGCTGATAACTGAAGACCATGACCGAGCTAGCCGAAATAGACAGAGTCAACGAGTAGTTGTGGAGCCTATTCGGACACCGTGGGCAGCTTGTCCCATGCACCCTGAACCTTACGAGTCGACAGACCGACCTTCTTTTCTAGTGGAAAAGTCTGTTTTGCTTGCTTATCAAATCCCCTATACCCAAACCTTGTGTCGCTCCTATGCTAGCCCACCACCACCTTTGGCTGCATTGCACGCTTGGCCCGCCTTCGCCGTTCGCCCGGGGGGGCGGGAGGGGGGCAAATGGCAGAGTTTGTCTTAGGTTTTTCTTCGTTTTCCTTGGTAGCAGCCGGTCACCCTCTTCTCAAGTCTTCCCTTGTAGCACACTTGTGTGTTCTGCCTCCCGGGTAATGTTGTCGCGCCGTCTATGATAACTGCAACGTGACATTCTATCAGCGCTCACCCAGCCAGACAGCGAAGCAAACGGCTAGTCAGCAGACTCTATAGCTACGATCGGTTGTCTGCGCTAGCTAAAGCCTGCCTGCCTGCCTGCAGATCTGCTGTAATGGAAAGCAGGCCTTTCTGCAAAGCTGCTTCGTGTCCCGTTACCATTTGAGTCAAGCTTTCTTGGTTGCCCCTTTGGTTAGTTCCTAGCTGGGCTTTCTACCTAACTGCCTGGCGAACAGGCGGCACAGTAGTGTCTAACCGTCCGGTTAGCGGTAGCACTACAACCAACAGCGCCGAGCCAAGCCGACGCTACTCGTCAGACTTCGGTGACCAGCGGAGCCAAGCCTCTCTCGTTTTCTCCTTCCGCGTTTGCCCCTATCAGCTTGCCAGCGCCGACGAGATGGGCTGCTTCGCGCACCCAATCTCCTTACACTTGTGTTACCCTAACCATCGTCTGCCCCAGCCTGAAGTCGTTCCCCGCAGCGGTGCCCCCACCAAGTCTCCCCATTACAGGACCTGCTTCGCCTTGGCCCCTACACTATTCCAACCCAAAGTGGTTCTTCCTCCCAAACCGACCAACAACTGCGCCCCGACCGCTCCTTGCATGATAGTGGGCCCGCCCCGTCAGCTCGCCTCGGTGGGCTCTCATTATTATTGCCATAGCAACCGAAGGACCCTTTTAGATAGGCGCTACAACAGAGGTCTGTGGCGGCCGCTGCTCCCCGTTGCCGCCGACACTGGCGAGGAGTTGACGGAGACTGCGGCGCCAGGCATCGCAGCTCCACCAGCAGTCTAAGGCCTCGTACTAGTTCCAACGGCGCCGCTGGTCGAAACGCGCCGATGTCTGTCTGTCTGTCTGTCTGTCCACAGTTGACAACTTTCGTCCGTTAGGTTGTTGAGCTTCGGGCCGACGTCGTCTAGCCACCAACCCCCCTCCATTTGATTGTTCGTAGAGTGACAGCGTTAGCTGGCGCGGCCGTATGCTGCTAGCGGCCTACATCCCTACTTGCTAACATCGTACTAGCTATGACCGTCTGCTGTAGGACCATTACCATCCTCAAAGAGCCGGCAAGCCAACAGCTCCTCTAGTAATGCCACAACCACGACGCTTTTGATCGATCCGTTCTGCCTACCACGTCCCGTTGCCTTTTCTGTTCGATCTGATTTTGTTCTATTTACTGAGAGACCGTTTTTAACTTGCGCCGCGTCTGCTCCAAACTGTCGCTCTTCTCTATGCTTTGCTGTCTAAGTTGTTTAAAAGAGAAAAGCGCCAAACGGCCGAAAGAACGTCGCGTGGTGGGGATGTAGCAGTTCCTTCTTTTAGTCATAGCCTCTGTAATGCTGTGCTGTTTCCCGTGCAGAAGCTACTGCTACAACTGGGCCAGCCGGGTTGATTCTGCGCAGCTCCTGGCGGTGTTTATCGGCTTCATGCCTAACATTCGCTTCGCTAGGGTACGCTCTGACCTGCTTCGCTTTACTCCATCGTCGTTCGAGTGAGTTCGGATACGGATTCAGTTCCATTGTCAGATCCAACGAGAAAGGGATCAACGTATCTGTTGGGGCCGAGGGAATGACGGTGGCTTCGGCAGCAACGATAGAGGTGTCCGCAGCGTCGGTGGGTGATGGCGAATTTGGCTGCGTTCGCGATGGAGAGCGTGACCGACGAACACCCAGAGCGCCGTCAGAGAAAAGCTAGCTAAATCGGTAGAAAGAAAGCGATGCAGAAGAGGAATTGCGGGGCGAAGGCCGGGGTAAAAGGAGGGCTAGGAAAAAAAGAAGCAAAATATGAAGGGGCGACGACAGGCACTATGGCCTGTCGGAGTGGAACAGACAGCAAGCGATCCCTAGGCCTGCTCCGAATACTACTGCAGGAAGGAATACGCAGAACTAACTCCGGCATCTCATGTTAAGCTTCTCGTGTCAAGCCAACTCGCAGCGTCTGAGAGTTGGCTTGCTCAACCCCCTGCAAGGGAGATCTACTCTTTTCTTCGTTTCCCTACAATTCCCTCACTCGCGTCCTTACTCGACGTCCCTTTAGCCAGCCCATCTAGCCAAAATGCCCCGTTTTACGGCGCCGCCACTGTCGCTCTTTCTTTCGCTAAGCAGCTTGCTCCCTTCCTCCACCACTAGCGGTGCTGCTATTCTGCTTGGCCTGGTCGTCCTGTCTGGCGAATTCGGTCTGCATAGCAGGCCAGAGTAGTCGAAAGAGCACACGGAGGACCTGAGATGTGCTTATGGTAGCAGCGACGAAGACGACCGTTGCATAGTGTTGGTACTGCTGTGCTATCGCTGGATGGTTTTCTGCAGTGGCTGTCCCTCACTTTCCCGTTTGGGCGTTCATTCACTCGAGTGCTACAAGCCACGGAGCTCGCGTATACTTCCACTTGCGGTGGAGCTAGGCCAGCAAAGCTTGCCAGCGGCCCTAGGAGGGGAAAGGCTCTGTCGCCGTTTGGGGTTTTCGTGAAGAACTCTGGACTCTTAGCCTGAGGAAAATTTGGTAAAAGAGGACGGACGGCCAGGCAGAAGAGGGAATACCAGCAAGAAACGGAGGAAGAACATAGGGAAATTGCTGGCAACGTGTGAGGTACCGGTTCCTGAATTCGGCGCGTAGGCTGGTCGAGGCAGGGTGCCAATTCCGTTCGAACAATCTACTCTCTGCTGCTGTCGACTCCTTGGGCTGAATGGGCTGGGCTGTTTAGAATCTGGGTTTGGCTTCTCTGTTCACGCAGTACATTCCAGTTATCGTGGCTGAGGCAAAGCGGAGAAGACATGGTGGAGCCAGTAATGTGGACGAAGTAGGGCTGCCTTGGGATAGCCTTATAGTAACCGTTACAGTGGAAGTAGAAGTAGTACTAAGAGCTGTTGTTCTTGCTGCTGTTACCGAAGAATAGAGTACAACGGTCTTGCTATCGGTAAATTCTACTGGATCTTTCGATTTTCCGGCATCTACTTCGATTGGCTGACGCAAGACGTGCTCTGTTCAACCTCGAACCGCAGAACATTTGCAAACGACGGGAGCGACCAGAGATTATAACGACGGAAGATAATCAATGACAGTGTAACGCGACGGTAAGCGAGCAAGCTCGCCTAACTCTTCTCAGCAATGTGCACTTACTATTATCGAATAGTTTGGTACTTCGAAAAAACTATAAAAGGACGCACCAAGCAGAAAAAACAAGTTCGCTCAACAAATTTGGTATGCAACTGCCATAAAAATGGAACTCCAAATGCTTCTACGCTTAAAGATTAAAAATACCGCACCTTTATAGGTACAGCTCAAACGACAAGGAAGGTTTGAGCTGCGATGCGGGAGAGTTGAGATAAACGAACAAAGGTTCTTTGTTTTTTAGCACCGAGCTCATTAGATGACTTTGGATGACTATGTTAATCTTCTACGTACACGGATGCGTAATAAATGGTATAATTCATGTGAAATAGCAACTACCCTACATTTGTCAGCAAATAGAAAAATGTTGGTCGGATGCTACTAAAGCTTATTTCTTGCCTGACTTTTTCCTGGGAACACAGAAATTACAACTATGAACTCGTGGGTTTGGTGCCCAATTGAGGCTAACTGATTTCTACATACAAGTTGAGCTTTTAATTTCAGGTCAGTTCACCGTGCAATCACGGCTGAATATCACTACAATCTCTGATCATCTTATATAGATCGCTCCTTATCATGCCACAAGCACTATTGCCCATTACTGCAAAAATATAGGCGCCAAAAAAATGTTAGCTCCAGCTAAAAAAAAAAAAAACTGAAACATTCTAACGATATTTATTTACTTGCATGCATCATACTATATAATTGTTCTATATAATGTTCATTAGTGTTTCATGTCCATTCAATTTACCGTGCTTTCTGTATGTTGAAACACGAATTGGTATAGATTACTGGCGGCAGATGTTGAACTGGTTACGCTACGCCCACCTCTAAAGAGAATACTACATATTTCATTGCGTTAAACAGACCTTGATCGGGTTGCAATCCATACAGGTCTGGTTAAATCCTATTCCAAGAAACTCCTAGTTCATCTCGCACCCATTCAAAGATTATCTATCTGTCCAGATACACATAAACACCCTGAATAGAACAAATCTAAGTGATCATACAAATAAAATCACTATGGTAAAATGCTTTCGTTTGGACACCACTACTACCAATTCCTGTGCCGTTAAAAATACAAATTGAGCGAACTCTGTCGAATCTAATGCCAGACGAACTACTGAACCCAAGCAAGAACCGTTAAACCAGTCCAACTATATAATCGAACAAAGTTCTATACGAAAAATTAGATAGATCTTCGCTATCGTATAAACCTACCGTTTCTACCTTTTTTCGTATCGCCGTTGAGGTGAACGCTGTGCAGGCTGCCTGGCAACGCCGTCGGCGGCGCTACCGATGTCTGCAGCGGGAGTGGACTATGTTTTGGTGCGGGTGAAAGATGGCCGCTGTGTGCCCCGTGACCACCCGCATGCGTCGGGTTGTAGCCAGCCGATGGGGCGGCAGTCGCTGTGAGTCCACCGAACAGACCCCCATTACCGGGATGATACCACGGATTATGGGTCGTCGGTGGCCACGAGCTTCCGTTGAGCATGCGCAACTTATCGCAGACGTTCGTTGGACTGGCCGCGCAAGCGACATCGGCGCTGCCCAACGTTGCATTGGGGCTGCCAGACGTGCTATGCTGCTCCTTCTGCGCGGCGATGTTGCGCAAAACGCGGTTGATTGACGAAACCTGTAATGGCGTCAGCGCGCGATGATGAACAGAGCAGCAGAGAAAAGGACAAACTGTATAAGGATCAAGAAACGCGCTAAATCGCAAGCCTGCGATGGTGCAGTGGTAAAGTATCGGCCTACTAAACTTAAAGGCACATGGTGGCCTAATTGCGAAACCGGTTATGAACACGTTCTATTTTGTGCTAGTAAAGACCGTCTGCTAAGCCAGTACCGACCGTAAAACTTGAATCACATCGAGTGATTGTTAAATAGCAAATGGTAGAGAGTAAATGTTGCTCTAGGAAATTTAGCGGTAAAATGCCTCATATGATCTCTACTTGTCACGGCGGTCTGAGCCGGCAGCATGTGAAGGCAATAATTTGATAACGAATTTCATTGTATGCTGGGTTTTCCTTCATGATTATTCTATGTTCTCTATAATATGTTATCTATATATTGAGTGTTGTCTTCCGTATACCTTGCTGATAAAAGCAAAACGCCACGTCGGAGAAGATATCTAAAATGTGGATGTAAACAGTTTTACCCTGGCAGGACATCGAAAAGACTCTAGTTGGGGTAGAAAGAGCGAGTAGCACTTACAGGCGCCGGGTAAATACATTTCCTCTTAGGCGTTCAGTAAAGATCGTATAATTGTATTAGATACGGCGCACCAGCAGCAGCAGCAGTGGCAAAAATGAGCTTCTTACATCAATCGCTAAAGCATCTCTACGAAGTACAGACGTTTAGAATTCTATTAACGTTAAATACTTGTATGCACGCAACACTTACACTTTCGACATCCTTCTCTATGATAGTAGCTAACGTTCTTCTTATAACTATGGAGTATTAAATAATTAAGCCGTACTTCAAGGTCTACCACCGCCACCACAACTCGTCGCCTCGATAGCTAATTCCTGAAGAATCCCGGGCGATCAACTCTATTTCGTTCGCCATCGACTAAGCTATATCATTAGTTATAATAGTTCATCATCAGGTTGTAGCGGAAGCCGGCGCTATCGAGCAAGGACCAGAAAGAAAAATGATGTGACGCTAGTTGATCTGACACCATTACCGCCCACGGAAAAGTTAACACACCCATGGATCAGGGGTTTAGACGACAATCCTCTTAGAATGCGAAGTTGAACTTCTAAAGGACAACTTTTTTTGCTGGTTTTCTCTGCTTCTCTTTTGTTCTCCAGCCTCGAAGCGTTCTCATCCGTCCGCTTAATTTTGGCGTCGCTGTCATGATTGCGCTCCGGCCTGTTTCGGTATTGGTTGCCATTTCGATGGAAGGACCTCTCCAGTAGTACGGAAATAAGACTAGTAATTGTTGCTTTGCCGAGAAGCAGAACTCTGTTATGAAGCAATACCTATGATACATCTATTCATCTTTGACACATCGTCTGGAAAAGGAAGAATTCTCCCCCTGGTATGATGTTTCATTTGCACGTGCCAAAGGGTGGGTATGTAAGTGTGCCGACCGGTAGATTGGGTTGGATCGCACTGGGCTAAATTGCGACAACCCAGTTAGCAAGAACGATCGAAGAATGGCAGCGTAAAGCCACTTGTGTGTAAAGCGATCTTCAGTGGTCAAGTGGATCACGATTACAAAAAACTGACTTTCACCTATGTCTGTTGGTTGCTCCCACTTGTTGTTGCGAACACAGTCTCACAAACTGGGCTCCACATTTGGGTTTGTATGTTTAGTTCTACACGATATACGATTTCGTCTAAGCCATCGTGACCGCAAAGCGAAAGGGGTCATATATGCTTTACGACAAATACAAGTGGAGTGCTGACGGTGACTGCCTTGGTTGCTCGATGGAACTTGTTTACGTACTTACCTATTACTTTCATTGCTGCAATTTTATTTCGACAAAAAATCTGCTCAGTCAAACGAACTTTGAAGTGCATAGCAAGAATCACTTACGGACGGAACGTTGTCATTGTTACAGACGCCCTCAGAAAGCAATCGGTCACGGATCTCCCAGGCGAAGATAGACGGGCACTCACGCTTGTAATCGGCAATCTTGTTAACCACATCGGGCGTCGCCACGCGCGGCTTCGAGCCGCCGATCGCACGCGGCCGGATCGAGCCCGTTTCGTAGTACCTGTAGTTTTAAGGGGATTTTTTAATATTTATAAAAAGTCAAACGTAGCAACAAATGAGGATGGCCGTAAGGATAATCCAGTCATTGCTTCTTGGTTGTATAGAGTTTAAGCTATATGGATATACCGAGAGTGTTCCTCGTTGCTTTGATTGGAACTCCTGCCTATTCAGAAACTTAACTTCGAATCGAAACGGTTTAAAATGACCGAATTCTCTATGACGAATGAACTAAAAATCAATACCGAAATACAAAAATAGGTTTTGTGATGGCTTTTACATAACCTATTGAGGGTGAAGTGTAGTGTACGATTAACAAATCAATCTGACTATTTTCCACAATCGAGTGCTAGAACTCAATCCGCTACTTAAAGTTACAGAAAAAGGAACCTTCACCTGGTCGGACACTGTTAACGCTATTTACTACTATCACGGATTTCCGAGTAGTGTTTCTAGACTACGTGCTAGATGCTGGCAACTAATGGTTTGCTTTACGTTGCTTTTAACTAATATCATCAGCTATGCACAAATGACTGTGAATGTTTATGATTTAAATCTTCAGATACACGTTTATATACAGAATGCGTTAAATTTCGGCAACTTTAAAGAGAAGTGTCGGTAGGGCCGTATTAGTACTAACCGTCCGAGGATCTTGGAGACACATCCATTGGAGACCTGCAGGATGCGTGAGATGTCACAGGGCCGAGCGCCACTGTGGGCAAGCTCGACGATCTTTTGACGCGTCGAGTCCGGGAGAGGTCGACCGTTCACGTACACACCGCCCAGCTGGTTGATGCCACTGTGCCCTATAACCCCCCATATATGCACATCTGAGTAGGTAAAATAATCATTCAAGCCACAGCCCACTATATTAGCGTAAGTGCTGTTCGACGATAGCAATTATTCAGTAAAATGATGAGACGAGATAAAAAAAAATTGTCGAATATTCAAAAGGCCCGACGTTACCATCAACTAGAAGCAGCTACTAGATACTACGCCGTTGTCTTAATTATAGACGGTTAGAATGCACGCCGATTCCATTAACTACTGCATAATCTAATAATGTTCGACCCAGGTATTCCTATATGGTTTACTCTATCAAAATCGGTGTAAACAAGGTTAACAATAGGGTTTCTGGCGCATCATCTCGTTTGTGGTGCATCTTTCATTCGGTGGGTCAGTTCAGTGGGACATATCTACCTCGAAACACGTTATTTTGCTCCCATTCATGTCCTGTCTGTTACAACGCTTGTTCGATCATTCAGAAAACTTGACATTGATACGATATAAAATCAATTACTTTTCGTTGTCGCTGATACATTTGATTGAACTGGCGCTGTTTCTGTTACGTAGGCCAAAACAGGCGTATTCTATGTTATCCATAGTAAATACTCGGAGAAGCATTACTATGGTGCGGTAACCAGGCTACCCAGAGTTGATGGAATTTGCTGCCCTCATTGGTCACCCGAATATTTATTAAAAGTAATTAACAAAGCTTTAACGAACCAGGCTCGGTGGGACCGATCAGGTGTGTGCCGGATGAAACGTGGCAGCCTTTGTAGATATCTGTAAGGTCAAACAAATGGAATCATTACGTAAGATAACCTTTCATTGTAAAGCGTTACGGTACTTCAATGGCACAGTTCGGTGATGCAAATCTTAAGCAAAGTCTGCCTTCAGTTTCATTCTGGCAAGCATCGCCCGCCCGCGCAACTAGGTAAACACGCATTTCCACGAGATAGACTAAGAAAGAAGGCCAATGCCTATTCAGACAAGTTCTATTTATAATTCAATCCAATTAACCAAAGTCTATAATCGTGCAAAATTCTGAAATGGTAATCGAATGAATCTATCTCATTTATTTCATTTAAGGACTTCTAATCTCGGTGCGCATTTTAAATCGTACCAGATTTTTATGTTTCTTCACAATCACTATAAATTCACACATATTGGAGATCTCTTTTGACGAACCTCATCAACAGACCTTTGTTTCTTTACCCCATAGCGTTTTTTCACGCGGAAATATGTAACACTACATGCACCAGCGTTTTGTTTCTTCTATCATTTTGTTACTAAGGCTTCCGATAGGGCTGCCCACTTCTTGGGCCACCCACGCTACTCGAAGCGAAAGTAAGTGGTTTGTGGCCGCCTTTCTACGGTCGTTTAGCACAGCCGACGCACAACATCCCATTCTAAATATCACGGTCTGGCCGGATAGTCGCTAGTCACATGCTGAGAGCAACAGTCCCTCGTGCCACTGTCCGCGCACGATTACTATAACGTCCAGCATTACTGGCGTTCGTTGGTAACTCGATGGTGCATGTCCTGTGTTCATTCCACCTTCTATATAGGGAAAGCAAGGCCGTCAGTCGTCGGTTTATCTGGGTCTCTGAAGTAGCAGCATAGCAAGTACCTCCTGACCTGCATGTATCCAGGACGAATAGGATACCTGCGAGGAACCGATACAGGATAGAATGGCTTTCAGCTGATTCCTGTATAGATTGCAACTAGGGTCGCGTGAGAGACACGTGCTAGCTGGCAGTGAAGCTGCTTCAAGGACACGCGTCCGCGCAGGTCCGCTCTAGCTGCCGACTGCAACCATCACGACTGCCGCCCTCCACTAACCGGCAAATCGCCTGGTATTACTAACATAATAGTATGTAAAGGAACGTACGAGCCAGTGAAGGCAAGAGTAACGATTGCAACTTGGTCGCAGTCTTCATGAATCGTCTTCACGAAGATAGAAACAAGAACGCCTATAATTTCGCCGAGGAGGAATATGTTTCCATCGTTCCTCTGCTAGAGACGTTTGGCCAAGCCTGGCAGGACTCAAACTGGACTTGGCGGCGGGCACAACGAGTGTGGTGCGAACAACGCCTCGGCGGTGTAGCGAGCATCGTTTGCATACATGCTTATAGATGTAAGGGTGAATGCGTACAGCCTGTGGATACGCAGTCGTGCAGGCACCATGGATGTGGTTTAGTCTGAGATTTGGGGAACGCGAGAAGCTGCTTGCTGTCTTCGGCAGCTTGTTGTCGCTCTGGTCCTATCGTCAAAACCGAACCGACCCAACAGTGCCATTGCGGCCAGTGCAATCTGAGATTTAACTGATAGTGATGGTCGTGTGTGGGTGATACTAGAGGCGATAACAAGGCAACAGGATTGACCCAGGTGAGAAGGAGACATATATATACAATAGGCGCATGGCGTCCAGGGTAGATTATAGCACGCAAAGGAATGACGAACGAAGAAAATGGCCAAAGCCGGTAAATAAGCACCGCATTTAGGCATGAAATAAGTGTAATAATGCTGAATTGGTTGAGAATGAATGATGTCGTAGCAGACAAATCACCTAATGTTGTACAATTAGGCTATTTTTAGCTTCAGACACGAGCGGTTTGCTCCTGACTCCTAGAGAGTTTTATGTAACTGAAGTTGTTCAGCGCGTATTCTATCTTTTATTGGGTAAAATTGAGAAAGGGTTCTTCATCTCGATTATCTTCGTCCGCTTCGACGAAACAGTCTTTGGAAGTGTTATCCTGATGAGCACGTTACTGTTCGTACCCCGTTCTCACCCATCACATATAATGATTAAACCTAAAAAAAACATATTGGGCCGACTAACAGTGTGCCCAACTAATTAGCTAGATTTCCCCTGAAGAATGTAGTGATTCGTCTACATCTGCCTGACCTGAGCATTTTTAATTTGCCCTTCACAATCAAGTCAGATGATTTATACCAGAACCCAACCATTGAAACTACGCTATTTTTACTAATAGCTTGCATTGTAATTTCGCTAGTAAGTTCGCTAGTACTATACAACTGTTACGACCCGAGATTTGCGTACTAGATATTAGTAAGTTTCCATTGAAGACATCATCCTAAAGGTGGATGGCGGGAAGCAATTAAGCCATTCAATTATCATTTTACGTATTTCTATAGGCCCAAACTACAACTCCAATTCGTCGCTGTCGTTATCTGAGCGATGAATCACCGTCGCTAGGGTGTTTGCAATTTTATGAATCAGGGTCTATCTCTTGACAGCTCCTGCTGCACAGGGACGACCAAATGTCTCCATATAGAACCGGAGCGCACAGAGGTATAAAGACACAGGGCTAAAGACCTGAGGTCCCGTCCTTCTTGCACTGAACAGGGGGTCACAAACAGAAGAAGGCGATTTAAACACTGACGCCTAAGCTGCAGCAGAAGCTGCAGGATCATACGGGGGAGCGACAACTTCGCCCCATATGACCGTGCGAGGGAGTGCTCGTCATCCTGTTCCATGATACTTCTATGTCGTTGGTGCTTAGGATCGAGCAGGCCGAGGTTCATGTGAGTAGTAGCAACCGATTGCAGCCTCAGGCTGGGAACGCTCGCAGGCCAGAGGCGGCCGATGTGGCTCGTGCAATATTTGCCACCTACATACAATTACACTGCTAATATGCTCATTCCTTATTTATTGTATACGTACTGTTAAGATTTGATCATGCTATTTAGGTCTTTGCTGTTCTGTCTGTTACGTCTACGTTTAAGCAAGATAAACATTTAATAGCCTAGCCCATGTAAAGCGAAGTCGCTCAGAAGATTTTCAGCTAAATCGTCGCGATAATTCGATCGAGATATGAGAAACGATCGTATGACAGACGCATTCCGGTTGTATACGATGTCATGCTGGCGTTCTTAAGCGATCTTTCCGAATTCAAATGCATTATATTGATTTACACAATCGCCTTTACTGTCTTGTTTATAATTCGCTGAGCCGACACCGGACTGCCCTCCAATAATATTCAAAACCTCTACGGATATACATCTATTCGCTAGTTTATGAAACACTACCTTGTTCTAATCGCTGTTACTTATTTTGTTGCGGCAATAACGAAACACTGTTTTTCACCAACCCCTTTCCTCTCCCCCTTAAACACGATAATCAATAACAAAATAGTTGAACAAATCCTTATGACAGACAATCGGCTGGTTTTTGAATTAGACCGGTGATCCAACGAGTCCTTAACAGCGTGTACTCGACCAAACACAGAGTTAGCTTGAAGGGTACGTAGACACCCCGCGGAGCGCTCGTCAGTTGGCGATATGTCTACTGTTTTTGTTTATTGTTTAAAAGACATTACGAATACTGGAGGACGCACAAATTCAATCTGGCCAATCTCTATGTATGTCTATTCTTTCATCACTCCGATCATCGTTCGGCTTCACTGGGACGTGCGGCCTCAGAGTGCCGTCTCGTTTTGTATCAAGATGAACAATATTATTAGTAATCTTTTATGTGTGTTTTTTTAGCTGGCTAATATATGCTAGGTTACGTCGTACGAGTTTTGTACCAGATTTGCGAAACTCTGCCCTTAAGCGATTGTTTGTCCTTACACCTTCCTTCGTCTGTCTCCTTGTCTGTGCGTCCCTTGAAAAGCTCTCCCAAATAAAGTAAATTTGTAACGTTTATGTAACTGTTACTTAGTTTACTGCAAAGCACATAATTTTTCGCCTCTTGCCCATTATTAGAGTTTCATTATTAGAGAAAGTACAATTTCTTCACAAACCTGTACTTCTTACCCGCGTGACCCCTTGAAAAGTCAATATATTATTAGATCAAGGACGTAATGTTGTTTAGTTGCCAACAGCTTACGCCTTCGTTGTTGCTGAGGCATTGCTCGTGAACCACCTTTTCTTCCCGTCAAAAAAACAATTCTCAAACCCAGCCGTGCCGTCATATTAAAAAACGGATGAATTTACAGTGGGCAACTCCTCGGCCGTAGAAAAACTGTGAAAGGTCGTCTGCTATTCGATAGGAATCCTTCAACTTTTTTTGGCTTAAGTATGCTTTTGAAACGATATACGGACGATACCACCATCATATACCATGCACCCATGTGTCGTTACCTGTAATAACGCACCAAGGCTCTGAATGAAATCAACGCATCTGTGCATGCGTCACGGATGTCCTAAAACAGTTTTTAGGATATACCATGAGTTTTTTTTTTAACTTTCTGCACGTCCCCGTCCGGCCTCGATATGAAATTTTGTCTTTAGGTTTTCCTCGTACAAGTCAAACTGTTAGTACTACTTGTACGCGCGGACTTGACTCATAGCCTGGGCTCGAAAACCGTTTGTAAAATTGGCGCCACATGTGAGCGTTTTGATTTCGTTAGTAACACAGAACAGGATGCTCGGTTTTCGTATGTCAGAATAAAAAATGGACGGTAGCCGATCCATTCAAACAGCTGGAACAATATAAAGCACACGTTTAAATGCTCTGAAATATATTCAGTCGATGCCAAGCAAGTACGGTATCTCAAACCCGGTCACAACTCAGCAATGTTCAGATTTTTATCGATCGATTTAGAATTTTTTTTTTCTTTGTACAGGTAACAACTACAATTTTGATTGTTGCACACGATCTATCTCTACCGATTTCTTCTAAAGTTCGTCAGCAATGTTATGTTCGATCCCGTTTACCGCTGCGGGTATTTCCATTGAATTTTTGCCCATTTTCTGCCGTTTCGTACTGTTCGAAATTGTTCAAGCGTTTTTAAAGGAGATAGGAGCAGGTTCAA